GTCTTAATCAGAGCAGCCGGGGGATTGCTGCCACTGATGCATTGCCCTGGGCTTCTTCGGCCAATTTCTTTGCGGTGGCTGCAAGTAATGCGGCTTCTGCAAGCTGGAGCTTCTGCATGCGGCAGTTTTTCTCTTGCGCAGTCTTCTGCTCTCCACCCAGCATGTACGGCTTGTTCCGTTATAACTTAGATCTTCTGCTGTGTCTTTGCTTCTTCGGCCATTTCTGCTGCACGTTCAAATGCAAGTGCAACATACTTGCTCCTTGAAGCAGATTCTGCCTCCGCAAAAGCTGAGCATCTTTCTTCATATAAAGCAGCCTCATAGACGACAATTTCTTCTTTTGCAGCTGCTTCTTTTGGGCGAAAAATCTCTTTAATTATTAGTATTTCAATTAATGCAGCTTCTGCAATAATCATATATTCTTCTACAAGAAAAACATTAATTTCTTTTAGCTTGAATGTCAGATAGTCATTAGACACTTCTTTGGAAGATGCAGATGGGTTTCCAGTAGATTGCCCTAATGTATGAGATTCTATTTACAATATATTTATATTGACTAAAATGTAGGTATATGTATTTGAAAATAATACTTGTAATTACTTACAAATACTGAAAATATTTGACTGGTAACTAGTGAAGACATTGCTTACCATGTACTTCTTTCTAGGTGAGGCTTTCTGCTATATTTCTTTTTACCAAGTGTCATATAATTATAGTACACGTTCTGAGCAATCTTTTTATTCCACTTGGAAAGAAAGAAACCATGTATATATAGGTTTGTTATTAATATCTTATTGTTTATCTGTCTATTATTATATAAATAGATAAGACAAGAAAAAACCTACTAAATGCATTTACTTTAATTCAGAATAAAATTTACGTCTTGTAAGACTAAGGTAGTGGCTGGAGTTAAAGCTAAAGTTTTCACTAAAACAATGTATTAGAGAAGCAAGTGAAAGAAGGAAAATATATGTAAAGAAAAAAGCAGTAAGTTTTTCATTCTTTGAAATTATTTCTAGTAAGCAGTATGTGACGTAAGAAACAAGAGTCGCTTGATAAAATTTATATGCATCAAGCATGTAAAAATATTAATCAAGTGTGCTCTTTTACATTTGATGAATACTCTGATTTTTTTTTTGCAATTTCTCTCTTTCCAAATGTCACTTTGATTGCATTGTCTTTATGATTACTATCTTTTCTGAAGTTTCAATTTCTTCCTCTTCTAATAAGATGTTTTTCATAGCTATCTTTTCTTTCTGAAATCCCACTATCTTATTTTACAGATTACTTTTTCTTATTTTCGATTTTATATCACTATTTTTCAAAATAAGCTGGTACAATTGACATCTTTATTCTAATACAAATTTTATCAAATCAATTATCTATATTTTCATGTAAATAGTCAGGAAATTTCTATCAAATAACAAACAGCTTTTCTATTCAATTTTTCAGCTTTCCAGGAAACTTTCATATTTTTTTTTGGAAAACAGTATTGTCTGTTGCAGCAATTACATATTTATGAATAAAAATAGTTTATTAAGTAATAAATATGCGCTTATTATGAACAGAAAACTATACAGCTACTTCAATATATATTAAATCCAAAAAGAAAGAAAATTTATTGATTTATTTGTTTAATATACTTTCAAATCGACTCGCATCTTTGGAGTATATTACATACTATAGCACTGTCTTAATATTTAGTATATCTCATCTTTTTTTTTATATATATTTAGTTTTATAAAAAAATTAGAGGTTTTCAATAAAGAATATTCTTTCCACAATAGATTCCCTAAGCATCTTCTATTTGAATATTTGATTTTTTTTACTCATCTTGGTTATGAGTTTGCTTTAAAGATTCAACTGCTTTATTCAAAAAAGAAGAAAGTGAATTGAATGTAGTAATTATTATTTTCTTGATCTGCAAATATGTAAGTAGTAACCAAAAAAAAATAGAGGATCATTAAGGTATATAAAATAATAATATTTAAATTCAATTTGTCTATTAATTAAATGCTTTTTGCAAAATGATGTTAAGCTTTTTCTGTAATTGATGCATTTCCAACTACAACGTATTTTATTGCTTTTTAATGTCTATGAGCTTGAGTGTGGGAAGCAAATGTATCATTTTAAAAAAATGGTTATTTTTTTCACTCTTTAATTTTGTTCTTCTTTAAGGCGAATAATAGTATATAGCAATAATTAAAAGAAATAATTCAAAAAAATTATGATTATTATAAAGCTGATAATGTTGAAAGTATTTAGCTTGCTTTTTGTTTTTATTAAATTATAGTTAAAAGAAAAAGATTTAAATAAAAATATCTTGAGAAAATAAGAATGTATTTGAAAGTATAAGTATTTTTCAAGTGCTTTTTTATTGAAAATAAAAGTGCCACAGTAGCAAATTCTCATAAAATCACAGAATCTCAAAAGATTTTATAATTTTTAGAAAATAAAATTAAAAGGGGGGAGTGAGATGAATATCAGTCATGCGGTCCATGCAAGAGTGGCGTTTTAGAGAAACCTTATATTTTTTTATAAAATGATTGGGTAGAAGTAATCAAGTGTTTCAAAAAATATCACCACGGTTAGGAAAACTTTGGTGATTTATAAACCGGTTCGTTGGACGGGGTAGCTATTTGTTTCAGAAACGCCTTAGTGTTTCAGAGATCTTTTTAGATATTTTTATAAATTGAATTAGACGGCCTATTTTTTTTTTACATATAAATTCTATGCTTTTGTGAGGCAAAAAAGGAGATACCTTCACCATTCATTTTGTTAACGAATCTAAATATATCCTAACATTTTCAGAATTGGTCAATACCCAAAAATCGTCCCGTTACTATTCGTTTATTAAAAAATCCAATGCTTTTCTAGACTCTTAGAAATAATTTCAACATATAATCAATCCTTCACTATTCGTTTTATAAAACCAACCCCCCAAGACTCTCTTAACTCTGACTTCATAAACACATAACTTACCCTTCCCCCCACTCTCTCACTCCCCCCTTTTAATTTTCTTTAAAAATTACAAAATTTCTTAAAACTCTGTGATTTTATTATAGAATCTGCAGCACTAGCACTTTTACTTTTACTTTTACTTTCAGTAAAAATGAAGCATTTGAAAAATACTTATACTTTCAAATACATTTTTATTTTCTCCAGATATTTTTATTAGACCCTTTTCCTCTAATTATAATTTAACAAAAAAGCAAGTTAAATAATTTGAGCATTATCAGCTTTGTAGTGAGCATAATTTCTTTGAGACTTTCTAACTATTGCTATATATTACTTTTGGTTTAAAGAAGAAGAGGAAGTGATTAAAACACAAAGTCAACTATTTTTTTTGAGTGCTATATGTAATTTTTTATGCTCATAGTCATGAATATAAAAGAGTAATAAAATGCATTGCTGCTGGAAATTCCATGGCTGCAGACAATTTTTTAAAAAAAATGTAAGTGCTACGTGCTGTAAATGCTCTAAATAATTCCGTATTTATTTTTTCTAGTAATATATTTGCAGGCTAACAGAACAAGAATCAGGTCCATTCAATGTACTCTTTTGTTTTTCCATGACAGCTTTATACTTAAAAAAAAATTATAAATTAAGATAAAGAAATATGCAGATACAAAATGCTCACGGAATAGAAATACAAGTACTAACAGAATGCTTTATCAAAAAAAATATTGAAGCCCCCTAAATGTTTTTCTTTTATAAAAAAATAAAAGCGCGTGATGAGTTAAATGCAAGTACTGTATCTGAACTACTAATTTGATGCTCTAGTCAATACTATACTCCAACAGTATAAAATCATTTAAAAAAATATTAAAAAAGTCAATCAATCAATGAAGGCTTTTTCTTTTTGATCTTACTTCTAAGAGCAAACAGATATTATTCGACTTTAAGACAAAACTCTTGATAATAAAAGAAAATAACAATTTTCAAAAGGGGTACTGATAGTAATAAAAAAATATATAGTTTTATATTTGAAAATTAGAAATATGTACCCCCTTACTCTCAATAGCTGTTTATTTATTACATCATTACCATAATACTAGCAAAAATTTCTATATTTGTCGATCAGACCGACCATAGCACTTTTATATAATAAATATATTGAGGACGCTAGAGAACACCTCTAATAATTTTTCTTGAATTGAATGAGAATTTGTACAAACGGCTTTGTTTTGTATATATATATATATGAATATATCTTTAAGAAAAATTCAAGTAATTACTTACGATTCCTTGTTATACTAGCTTTGAGAACTTGGTACAGAAGGCGCAGCTGTTGGTTGCCCCTAATCGGCAAATAAGTGCAGCAACATAAGAATATTGCGTTAGGTAAAAAGGAATGAGACGAATTGGTAGTCAGTTGTCCAGGCCAACAACCTGACCATAGGCACTTTGCAGATCGAACGCCATTACTAATAATAAAGCTATAACTAATTACTTAACTCCCCAGTCAGATACTCTATTGCCAACATGTGTATTCTAAATTGCAAATGATTGACTCAAGGTAATCTAAGAAGCAAAAGAAAAAAGGAATGTGTTTGATAAGAATATGCAGCCCAAGGGTTATCACTTCCGCTTTTTTTTTAAAAAAAAAAGAAAAGGTACTCCCTTTGCTTTTTAGTATTTATTTACATGGATAGTACTCTCAAAGGGCAGTTTGAATATCATAACCTATCTTTTGCGTCTCTTGGACTCTAACATAATAAAGCAAAGAACAAAATCTACACTGCTCAAGTAAAGAAAACAAAGAATAAAAAAGAAAAGACTTGAATATTCATCAAAGAAAAAAAAGCTTTTTTGTTATTACGCCTTTTTGATTAGTACATGCATATCTTATCCATAATAACCCGTTGTTTACCTTGAATATTATTGGCCAAGAAACTTTCCAAAGAATCAAAAAGAAAAAAAAAGGTATAAAAAAGCATCGTTCCCCCCCTCCGTTGGATTTTCTCTTTACACCCATTCTCTTATCGCTTGTTTTTACAATGCCTCGCCTCAGCGCCAACCTCATCTCCAGCTCCAACCGCACCAGCAACAGCCACCGCTACCGCTACCGCAACCGCAACCACATCACCAACCGCATCACCAACCGCAACCCCAACCGCGGTCTTGTGAGACGCAGACGCTCGTCTAGAAGAGCAGACGCGTTTGGTAAGTTTCTTGTTCTTTTTATCTCTTTATATAATAATAGACAGAAACAATAAAATACTAATAACAGCTTTATATATGTAGTTCCTTTGTTCCCAAGAGAGGTCAAGAGAACTGTGCAGGACATGTACGCTGCTGACATGTCGCTTGGCCAAGAAGAGAGAGAGGCTCCTCCCAGAAAGAAGCGTGCGGTGAACATTGTCTTCACCGATTGTCGGTCCAGCTTGGCCGGTGTTAGTAAGTAATTACATATATTAGTAATATATTGTATTCTTTTTATTCTTTTCTATATGTATACCTATATAACAGTCAACCTAACAACATTGTAAATTTGCTTTTTTTTCATTAGGGGGACTTATTGAAACCCCATCTGAAGTTGCCGAGCGTGAGCTGGCTATCAAGAATGCCGCTGCCAAAGCTTTGGAGGCCGAGCTGGCCGAACGTGTGCTGGCTGAGCGTGAGCTAGCTCTTGAAGCAGCAGCAGCCGATGTCTTCCTTGTCGAAGAAGCTGCTTTCGTAGCTTCGCGAGCTGAGGAGATCGCGGAAATTGCCGTGGAACTTTCCGAGAAAGCTGCACAAGTGGCAGCAGATAACGCCGAGCTAGGAGTAAGACTAGCTGTACAGGCGATTTCCCGCGCCGAAGACGCGTATGTAGCGGCACGCACACGCGCAGCCCAGTCAGCAGCAGCATCTGACGATGCTTTCCATACCGCACTCTGTGCCGAACAAGACACACTGGCTTACATTGGAGCTAGTGCTCCATATTCTGGCTCGGGGGCAGCCTATGCCATTGAGATGGCTCAAGAAGCGGCCACCAGGCAAAAAGTGGCCGCAATCACGGCTAATGCTGCGCGCGTTGCCTTTGTGGCAACCATCACCGTCCGAGAGAGAGTTTCTGTGGCAGAAGCCAAAGCCAGTGAAGCGGCGCAAGTTGCCGCGGCTGCGAAGAAGATGGCTGAAAAGGCCGATACAAAACATGCAGAAGTGGCCGAAAAAGCGGCTATAGTAGCCGAAATTGCTGCAGCAGCAACAGCAGCAATCCCAAAAGCCAAGAACCAAGAACCAAGAGCCAAGAGCCAAGAGCCAAGAGCAGAGAGCAGAGAGAAGAGGATCAGGATCAAGGGCAGGGGAAGGGGTAGAGATGGATTTAATAAATAAATAAATTGTTTTGTTATTATATATTATATTTTGCCTTTTATCTTTTGTCCCATTACTATTACTATTACTATTAGCATTACTATTAGCATTATCATTAGCTTTATTAGTTTTATCGTTATGAAATAAATTATCTATATGACTATTGCTGCAACATAAGAAAAACTGTCTTTATTATTAATAACATAATTTGAACTGAGAAAAGTCATAATTTTGTATTTTATTTTATTTTATTTTATTTTATTTTAATTTAATTTTAGCTTTGTCCTTTTCTTGTCAATTGATTCCAATATAAAGCACACTCACATCCACACCCACACCCACACCCACCTACATTTACATCTACATCAGAAAGCAGTCATGGTCCTTTATAATAATAACAAAAATATTGTTGAGTTAAAAGATCAAGGAGGCCTAAACCTCTTTTTGAATTTCAGCTTGAGAAGGTCCAACCATCATAAACCTTACGAAATTGAATTTTTCGACTGGTCAAAGTATCATAAAGAAGTTTGTCAAAAAATAAGTAGAAATTACCCGCCTGAATCTCCGGACGACACGAAACCAAAGAAGAAAAAAGAAAAAGATAGATGAGACCAAATGGCATGTGAAGATTGTACAAAAGAATCCATGTACCTCTGGTAATCATCTGAAATTGGCATTGAAGAAGAATATTATCGCTTGTAAACCAACATTGATGTAATCTATTTCTCTTTTTATCTCTCTCAAGTAATCCGGTAGTAGGTTTGAGTATTACAGCCCTCAGACTAGCTTTGACCAAAAGATGGTAACAACGGCCGTTGCAATGGGGCCAAGACTCATTCCAATTGGGTAGACGACCAATCACGAAACATAGTCTGGCTGGATGGGTCAAGATTCATAATGTGGTAGGTAAAGATGGAGTTGTTTGAGTGGTAAGAAAAACAAAATGAGGAAAATAAGGGTGTGAAGATTTGGAGCTATCTACATGCCGGTTGATAGTTCAATAACCAAAAGAAAGAGAAAAAAAGCTAATACTCATCATGTCATAAAAGCTTAGAAGATCTTGATAGTACTACTACTTGCTTTGTTAACTATGACGGCCATTCAAGAAAAACATCCGCCAGTTAGAATGCCAAATACCCTGTGCTGTGATCGGTTGCAAAAAAGCAAGCAAGGTTGACGGTGATGTGGGGGCCATGAGCAGGAAGGATATATTGACTAAAGAGAAATCGGGACACCATCGGTATCCCTACAATGAAAAATAACCTGAGAGAGAATAGTGCTTCATATCCGTCGCTTTTTGTGGAATCCAAAGAAGAAGAAGAATATGAAGATGGGTAATTTGTGTTGATCTGATCTTTCAATGTAGTTGTGTAGATTTTGTGGGTAGAAAAACGAACAAAAAATCGGAATTCATTTGAAACTGTTGTCAGGTAACAGAGAGTTTGCCACTAAAGGGTTTATATCCAGCCAATTACCCACGTTGGAGACAAGTCATTGCACTTCCAAATCAAGTTTGGTGTAATAAAAGCAAGTAACACAGAACAGCACAGAACCTGTTTAAGCTGGATACTAGGATATCAAGGTGGTATTTGCGTCGTTTGTCATTTGTCATTTCGGTCATGTCTACAAAAGGACTTTAGCATTGCTGAAAACTGTATTATCCAGTCTGGGAGTTATCTTGAGCAAGGAAGATAGAAAGATCGGGAGAGGTTTAACCAACTGGTCAGGCTTGAATTCTGGTTCTCGATTTTATCGAGTATGGATTGTTATGTATGGGCTGGTAGTCTCTCGAGACCAGGATGGTTGGTGAAAGAAGGTTAATATCAAAAAGGTTGATATTATGAATGTAAGTGTTCAATATAAATATCGAGTTGTAATTGATGTCGAGCAGAGCGGATATACCCAAGATTGACATTGATATTTATATACATATTTCAATAATAAATATATATATATATATATATCAACCTTGTATTTGGAGTCTGAATGATTTATATGACATTGCTAATTAAGAGCTATATGTTATATATATATATATATCTTGACTTGGTTTTGCTCTACTTTACTCTTAAATTTCTTAGTCTCAGAAATCGAAAAAGAAGAGTAGGCTTATCAGATATTAACTTCAAACGAAAAAGGGACATAAGACACAATATATATACTAGCTCTGAGGATTTCGGTTTGAATATACAAGGGAATTGGATAAACGATTAATATGAAAAGAGTACAATGCCAAAGAGAGTGTATTATAAAAGGTATCAAGTATCCGTAGAGCTTTTGATATGTTTTTTTTTCTTCCTTAACATTTTATAAAGGAAGAGGGGAAATAGTGTTCTTCTTGTCTTTTGTTCTTTTTTTTTGTCATCACATATTAATTGGTTTGCTATGCTTGAAAGTCTAGGAATATTTCTATGAAAAGAGAGGGAAATTGTTCTAATAATCAAGTGTTGCTAATACTAAATACTGAAAATGGTGTAATATATAGGATTTATATAAAATATATATATATATATAATCTTACTCTTATAAAGTGTTGAATGGATCCTAATGATTAGTTCGGGATCAAAGAATATTTTAGACAAGGTAAGCTATTTGGATCAAATGTAGAAAAACATAGTAAGAATGTAACAAAAGGAAAAAGTCGGTTGTGGGAGAGATGGTAGCTAGTGGGAAGAAGAAGAGCTATAGTATAATCATCTTTCTTGATGTAGAGTTGGGTCACTTAAAGAATAGTAGTATAAGTTTAGTGTTTTAGGAGTCAAGGTTCTTGAAAATAACTTGACGAGGTATAGAAAATAAAAAAAAATATACTGTGCGTGTTTCTGATGATACCCCACGGGAGGGATGGGAGTCTCTATATTTCACCCAGATGTGTCACGTCGTAAAAGATCGGGATAGTAAGTACCATTCAACGATACAAGAGAGAGAGAGAGAGACAGAAAATTACTTGAAAGGTAATTTGCGCCGAGAAGATCCAGGATAAAAATATGACAAATAATCGTAGTAATTACAGATCAAAAATTGGCTTGTAACCATCGGCATTATCCTCAAATTATTATTATTATTTTGGGAATTAAATATATCATGTATATATATATATATATATTATGCAGCCGAGGAAAGATGGAGAATATAGGCTAACTATAGAAAACATTTATTTTTTGAAGGAATTGACCCATGATTGAACAAGATTTGTCAAAGAGGATTTCTGGGAGTAATTGTCACACTTATATATATATATATATATATATATATGAATTATCAACTACAAGTAAAAGTCAATATGTCAAGCTCAGTGATATAATTAAAAATAGAGTGAGTAAGTACCATGTTTTGCTGTTGTTGGAAACTGAATGGATAGTTTGGTTGTTTTATTGCTGTAAAAGAAAATTAGTACACAAGTAGATTCTGAGGTACTTTTCACACAGTTGTTCAGAAAGAAATCTCAAGCTCTTTAAGCACCCAAAAAACGTGTATATATTTGACAAATGCTTTTTGTAATTACATGCTTTTATTTTTTAGCAATGTAAATGACCAAAAACTCTTGAAAGAGACTTAATAAGAGTTAACATCATATAGATAATTTATCTTGAGAAAATAAATAAATAAACACTATCAATTAATTATATTCTTACCATTTCCCTTTTGACAACTATTGAACTTATTTATTCCCACTGGCAGCTCTTCTTTTATATATATACAATATTGAGACCTATTTCTCACCATTTCTTCACTAATTTTGTTTTGTCAGATATCTTCAACCAATTCAATGCTATAAAGCAACAGAATATTTAGCACTGGTTGGTTGTTCAAAAGTTTTGCAAAGGATGTTCTTGATCCGGTCTCAGTCTGTACCTCTTATGGTCTTACTAGAATAGAAGAAAAGTATGCTTTCTATCCTGTGAAAAATATTGGACTGTGTGATCTGATATGTTTTCTTATTCTTTCTTTGTATATACTTTTAAGAATACGTAGTGCACTACCTTGACCTGTTACAACACTAAAGAATGGTTTAAAGTTTCTTTTCTTTTTTTTTCCTTCTCCCCTTAAACCTCTGTATACTTGTTTCTGCATTGATATTAACCTCGTAGTGCAGCAGGCGGTAAAAAAAAAAGAAAGAGAGAGAGAGACAAATTGCTAGCCAGAATATACACACATTTCTGCACCATCACCAATGAATATATTTATCCATACTTTCTTTAATTGTTCCACTTCTTATCAAACCCTGTCTATTATAATTTTGAAGGAGTAAAATGCACACACATATAGCGTAGGGAAATGAATACTAAACACTTTAAACCACTGTGCCTTATTTCTACTCTTATATAGTTTACAGAGTTAATTCATTTGAGAAAATAGATAAATAAATAAAAGAAGTGTAAAGACATTTATGATTAAGTAAACCTTAAGTTTTGGGTAATGCAACACAATATGTTTGTAGTCAGATTGCGCAACATCTCGTAAACCGCTTTTCTTCTTCTTTTTTTGTCTTCCCATAAAAACGGATTTACCGGCAAGCTCCTTTAAGAAAGAAAGAAAGAAAAAGAAAGAAAAACCTTCTCTTGCAATCTCCGCCAAAATTCTGAGGAAAGGTACTTTTAACAATTTTATGTAAATACTTCTTGACTTTTGGAAGCTCAATTAATTTCTTTGGATTGTTTTACCTTGTACTTGAGCAGCTACTAATATATTATACAAATAATAAATATAAACCTTTATTTAAATATACATATTACAGCATATGGTAAACTGTCTCTTAATCAACATTTTTGGTACAAGTGAATTTCGACAATTAAACAACTCAGCTTCATACATTTCAACAAATAATATACTCTTTCTCTTTCTCCCCAATTAACGCCGTGTTACCTGCTATCGAATATATTTCTTTTGATGTGTTGCTTTTTAAAGATAAAATGCTTATAGAATAATAATAATAATAATACTAAAACGAGAATGATATATATATATAACAAAATGAAAATGAAAAGCAGAAAGTTAGGACTCTTTAAATTGGGTTACATTATTTGATTCAGCGTCATGGTTACAAAAGTGCTGGAAAATAGATTTCATGAATGCTCTACTAAAAATAAATATGTAAAAGCATACTATGTTTTATTCTATAGAAAGCAAAAGACAGCACTTATTGATTTGCACTTGAGTCTATATGTACATTCATACATGTACTCCTTATGATATTTGAGGTAATGAGCTTTTATGAGAAGAATTGGGAAATATTTCTTTAATGAAATGAGGTATTTTTATTTTCCTATTATCATAATTTTTTTTGGGATTTTTGGTTTGTGTAGTAGAAAATCAAGAAGAAGAAAAAGAAGCTCATTTGTTTATTTTCCTAGATCTCTTGTGAAATGCTCAATAAATTCTTAATTCTGAGTGAATTTCTAGTACGTAAAACTAGAGACAGAGAAATGGATCGTATTTGACTTTAGTGAGCACTAAAATAAACCATGAGAAAATCGACTATTGAAAAGGAACCCGTTTAAAAGCTGGTCTTGCCAAATGATAATTATCAAAAACCAGGTTTATAGCTTTAGCTTGACTGAAATATATGTATATGTATATGTATATGTATATGTATATGTATATATATATATATAATCGCCTTCAATCTTAAAAATAATAATCATAATCATTCATAGGATATAGATTGTACTACAATAGAAGCATAATTTCGGGTAAAATATTATGGGTATATCAAAGTCATAACCATATACAACTATACAAAATATGTTAATGTACTTTAATATTTCTAAATCTTTTCTTTATGCATTTCTTATATGGTAAGTAGGCAGTTACACAGACTATGGGAAAAAGTATTCTGGATTTACCTATTTGTAATATGTCTCTAATTTAGAAATAATATAAGCTTCAAATTTTGTACACATCAATATTATCCCACCCTATTTTCAGTGCAACATTTCTCTAAACTATATTTCACACCCTCCCCCATGTTATTTCTCTCGTATTCTTTTACTACGGACAATCCCCGCGACATTGTATCTTTTCTTATATGTATATATATATATATTTCTTTACGGTGCTCTTTAACCAGATTGGCTAATTGTCTTTCATCCGACCTAATGTCAGATCCAAAAGGGGGTATTTTTACCTAACATATCAATTCAACTTACCGACTTCTCAAACACACTCCATTATCTATCTATCTTAATAAGCATATGTTTTGACAGACCAAAAAAAACAAAGTCTCAAAAAACTATATATAATGATAAAATGGTAGATCAAAAAACGGTATTGATTTCACCAAAGTTTCCTTCCTCCTCCTTTTCTTTCGTCTTTAACGTCGTTTGATCTGTCCACTCGGTGTCTTTGATCCAATCAAATTTGTGTCCGTACTCTTTCCCACTTCTATATTCACTACAAGCCAACCAAAACCATGTACAAGTTCGTCTTATTGCTCTTGTTGTTGATTTCCTTTGAAATGACAATCGCCATGCCCAACCTCCCTTTCTTGGATGGTAGAGGTGTCGACCCCGCTTCAGGTGGGCAGTGCACCACATGTTTGGATAACTGCAAGAAATCCTCTGATCCCTACTGCAGTGCTGATTGTTGCTGGAAATGTATCCCAGGAAGAGGAGGAAACTGCCACTGTTGTTAATTGATATTGATATATACCATAATGTTATAATAATAAAATATAATAAATTATACCATAAAATAATATAATACAATAAAATATAAAAAGGAAGCTGTTGATCCCTATGAAAAACAATAATAGTATCAAATCTTTGTTGTAATGCTGTATAGAGTTCGATTGTATATAGAGCTTACTCGTATTAGATAATATATCCCTTTGTCTCTTTTTCTGTCTAAAATATTGGGTCCAAATACATGGGGTGGATATCTGATACATTGTGGAATAGGTTACTATGCTTTGTTTTCTTTTGTCTGTCTGTATGTATGTGTATGGATATTTACTGAATATTCTTTCTGAATATAAGAATTGAATGTAGAAAATATAGACATATCATTACAGAAAAAAATAGTTAATACTAAAATGTTAATAAACAGACAGGTTATTTGTATAAGAAAAAACGTCTTCTATTAGTATGATTATTATTTTAAAAAAGGTGCCTGCTAAAGATGTCCTGAGTGCTAGAATTTGTAAATACAATTTCTGCGTGAGTTGTATATTTAAACTTTCATATATATATATATGTGTGTGTGTGTGTGTGTGTGTGTGTGCCCTAATATTCCCACTTCATTATCATCCAATAATGTTAGGGATGTAAAAGATGCCTTATTCAGCACCTCTATCTCCTTTGCATCAAAAACAAAAAAAAAGAATACCATTTATTAATTTCCTTTCAGTGTTTTCACAACTCTATTTGCAAAAGATCACTTTAAAGATTATTGAAACAAGAATCTCTGTAGTCTTTAAATATTGAGAAAAAGTGATATTTATTAAAAGATCAATATTTGATAACATCACTATGACATCTTTTCATCTGAGCTAATGTGATTTTGGATAGAAATATAATGCAAATTGCAAATTGCCACTGAGATATGTTTCCAATATTCATGGGTGGCCATGTCTAAAGACTTATAGAGATCCGGTAGACTGGGTACTCTTAAGATGGCTGTGAGATCAAGACTATTTTACAATCATGCCATTAGTGGCACATTATCCACCTTTCTCCTATGACTATTAATGCGCTTTATCTTTTGACAAGGTGTATTTTTTCTATTTAAAGGAGCTTGCGCATCCTGTTCATACAAGAACCCAGAAACCATGCCATAACGAGTTTCAAATGGTGTAACACTTTCTCACATATAATCTAAAGATGTCTTTTAAGTTTTTTTTTGTTAAAACTATACCAGTCTTTCTCAATCTTTGATTTGATTTATGTATATTTATCAATAGTATGTCTATCTTTTTTGAAACGGGGCTTAATGATCCATTATGAAGCATACGACGGTTAGTAAGCAATCTTTTATAAGCTAAAATGTCCTCTTCGCCTATTAAGACTACATTTTTTGACTTGCTGGGACCTAGTGAGATCTGAAGCAGAATATATATATATACTTTAAAAACACACAACAGCAACAGCAACAGCAACACAGATATTCTGTTTTACAGAGGTTGAAACATATGTCATCGAATGTTATGAATGTTAGGAATCCAAGTGAATCTAGAGAGAATAAATACTCTGCTGATAGACTAAAATATAGAAATTTATAAAGCATTATCAGACACAAGAATATAGTAGAAATGCATAATAGAATACATAAAAAGAGACTGAATATTTTGTACATTATACAACAGCGGATAGTAACTTGGCTTTTGCATTACAGTCAATACTAATGAATGTTCTAGCACATAACTTTCCATAATCCTTTTGGACTAGATAGCGTAATTAAATGTAAAGAGACCTAATATTAAAAGAGCTTTGGATTAATAAGACGCCTATGCTTAAAGCAACTTAAAGCTGTATTTGGTTGCTTTGCTACTTAATTTTTTTTTCGACTGAACAATAGCAAATATATCTGTTTCTTTTTTTTTTATTCTTTTAATAATTTTTCTTCTATTGTTATCTGTATCAGGATTAAAATATTTGCAATATACTTACACAGAACAAATTCCAATGATTTTTTATTTTTCTATTTAAAAGAAAAATACATCTATAGCGATATGTCCTATGCAAAACATGGTTTTCTTGTTTTTGTAGCTTAAGTGATCCATTCAAATAAATGAAGAGGGCTACTTTATACAATATCTTATTCGCATTTTAGCTGCATTGACTAATGTTAAATAGTGCTCTAAATATTTAGAGCATTATGATCATGACAGATATCATAAAGGGTTATGTCTTAAGTAATAGTCAACGGTCCTACGGTGATGGATATACACAAAACTGTTATATAATGCTATAGAGCTGGAAGTATGATTTCAAATCAAGAAATCTGATCATTTTCATTGCCAATGTTAGTGCTGAAAAGCTTTCCCTAATAGTGTAAACCTACAACATTTGCAATTCATAAAGTAAATATGAGCTATACATAATGCTTTTACCTTCTACCTGATTTGATTGCCTTGACTTATACTGTGAGGGTATTTCTGGGCATACTAAGACAAGGCAGAGGCAATAGATGAGTAAAATCATAGACCAGAGAGCAAAATCTCAAAAAATAAAATATCGAATTTTCAGTTTCCAAGTTATCAATATGATAATAAAGAGATGGCTGCCAGGTTACGAAGTACACTGGCTAGCTCTTCGTGTACAGTCTCCGAATGTTCTGTGCCCATTAGTCATGTATTGTTTTAAAAAAAAAAGACATCTACGGTTGCACTTGAAAACCTAATTGGTTTCGGTTGACTGTTGCACTACATGAGACTGTTTTTTAAAATCTCAAAATCTCAAAATCTCAAAAGCTTAAAAACAGCGTAGATTGGACAAGAGTGTTCCCCAGCCAAAATTGAACATTTCGTCCCAAATGTTTGTTTTTGGGATTTTGAGGGTGGCAAGAGATGTTCTTTTTCAAATTGTTAGCCAATTATACTCTCTTATTTTCTATACTAAACTACCTTTAGATATTAACAGTACAAAAAAGAGGGGAAATATTTGATATATCCGCATGTAATTTTAGTTATTTTATAAGTCTGTCGTACCAGATTAAATAGATCAATTTTTCAATCTCCCTGTATATTATCAAGGACAGTGTAGCACCAGACATTTGAAGAAAAAATATTCAAAGAAACGAAAGCATAAAGGCTGTTAATAAAAACTTCTTTTTTACTTTTGATTTCTCTCTTTCTCTCTCTCTTTATACAATTATTATTATGGGATTCTCAGGACTACCATTCGAAATTCTTTTGAAAATTGCCGATAATCTAAAGAAAAATGAATTGCTGGCTTGTTCTCTGACGTGCAAGGGATGGAGACACCCGTTTCTAATAGTTCTGTGGAAAGATATACATGTTTTTAACCCTAAAGGAATGAAAGCATTCATCAACAGTATTAAAGCCTCAAAGAATGTATCCAGCTCACACTCCCTCTTGGCTCACACTTTACGCATACTTCTTGATTCCCGTGCTATCAGAAATTTCGATATGGATATTTCTGAAATATTTAAATACATGCAAAACTTAAAGTGGCTGGACCTAGGGGATGTAGACTATAAATCTATTTACACCGAAATAACAAAGTCGGAAAAAGTATGGACGTCTCTGGAAAGGTTGACAATGCGATGCCCTATAGCTTCTGAGATACAGCCAGCAAAGAACGTACTTGAATTTATATATGCATGCAATATGCTTCAAAGATTACAAGTATTTTATCAAGCACAGAGTTATAACACAGAGTTTAGTGTGGATGATTTTGACAACATGCACCAAAACTTGCAAAACCTATCGTCTTTCGACCTTAATATATATCTCAGCCCTGATTTTTCGACTACAATGAACAAAATCCGGAGTACAAAACCAGCTTTTGGCATGACATCCTTATATATAAGCTCGAGAGAATATCGCAAATACGTAGACGAAAGCACATATGTATGTCAGAATAACTGGAATCCTTTGTGGTTATGCTATTTTGGATACAAATATCCAAACTTACGTTCAATAACGCTGGATGTTGCGGATGCAGGAGATATCCCGATAACTTCGGACCAGAAGCAAGCAGCCATATCTCTTTTCCGATCCAATCCAAACGCTTTTCGACATCTGGAAGAATTCAAACTTGCGACCGACACCTATTTCGAGTCTTCTGATTTTGTTTTATGGGATTTGCTTTGTGCGTTAAGACTCCCTCTTAAGCATTTGAAGTTAAATGCGACAAGATTCGGCAAAGTAGATCCTTCGTACCCAATGGATGTTAACAGGATTTTACAATACGTTTCCGAAACAATCGAGACACTTTCGCTCAGAGGATTTATATATAACAGAAACTACCAAAATACGACTCTGGAACTATCCTATTATTGTCCGTTATTGACGAAGCTTTGCATCAGAGGAAAGAACGTGTCTCTTAATCTAGACAATATATTGGAAAAATGTGTGGCCCTCAAAAAACTGAAGTTCGCTGGAGAAAGATTATTCGTTAATACGATCACGACAAACGAAGAGCCAAAGCAACAACATGGACTACAGAAACTGATGCTATATGATTGTACTATAAAGGCCGAAGTGTTTCATTACATATCTTCCAGGTGTAGACGTCTGAAGCGTATGACTTTGAGGAATTTGCACATCGAGGGATCTATTTGTGAAGAAACCGGGCGTTTATTACTCGACATGCCATATACTTTCTTAGAGGCTCTGTACATCGGGAAGATTAAATACGGTGATGAATACCGACAAAGTGATCTAGGTAGTTTTGGTATGACACTCCTGTCTCAGATAAGCAAACCTCTACTATCAAATGGAAATAACAAAAATCAAGAAAAGGAGATAGATTCAAAGTACCCTATAGTAACAAGTCACGATATTAAATGGCTGTATACATATGTGTACGCTTGGGTTAATGATGTTCCCGTCACAGACACTATGGAACCTTCGCACAAAGACGTCGATATTGTACTTGATTACTTTAAAAACTTTCAGATTAACAAGGCTAACTCACCTTTAAATGATCACAACTTGTATTATGAAGAGGAACCAGAGAGCTGCTGGAAATACGAACTTTATAAAGGATACGGAGAATTCAGATTTGGCAAGGTTAAAGGTTTTACTTTTATATTGGAAGTAACCGAGGACGAGCTTTAGGTAATATGCTATAAGAGACTATTTTCAAAAGCAAATAAAGTAAAGCAAAAAAAAAAAAAGATACACAAACAATATACTGTGATATTTTATTTTGAGTGTAATAAGGCAAGGAATTAAAGGTAGACAAGAAAAGCTATAAAACAAAGCAAGAAATCTTAATAGTAAAATGTCTAATTTTGAGCTGTCAAATTATCAATATAATGGGATAACTGCTCTGTCTTGAACTGTATGTTTAAGCTTGCTAGGACATGACGTAAATTAATGGACTCTTCTTGTGCACTATTCAAATTCACTGTAGCCATTAGCATTCTATTGTAACAGAAAAACACACACACACAACTGTAGGTGCACTTAAAAACTTAGCTACTTTCGGTTATCTGCTATCCGCTTTCATTTCTATGAGCTGGTTCTCTTCTTTATTTTCTTGTCCTCCTTTCAAAAAAAAAGATTGTGTGTTACAAAAACTAAATGAAAAAGGTCTTGCCTTTTCATAAGATCTATAGTGCAATGATTTGATTAATATAAAGAAAAGCTATAGAATCAGCTTAAACTGAATTTAGCTCTTTGATGTCAAATACATTTCTACAGTACCATGTTCTGTTGACAGCACTTGAATACTAATAATTTTCTTTTATCTTACGTTATTTGTGTACGGAGAACTGACTGCACCTTGTACATCTTGATGGTTACATCAATGATTCGAATGTAAACAGATTTGTAGCTCCCAATATCAGCTCGCCGCAGTATTTTTTCTCTCTCTTTATTATAGCTGTCGATTTTGATTTTATTGACACTTATATATATATATATATTTCAATATATTTGTTTTTCGTATGTTTCTCTCTTTTTCTCTTTATATAATTATTATTATGGGAGTATCAGAATTACCACTCAAGATTCTTATGAAAATTGCTGATAATCTGTCGATACTGGGCAAACACTTTTGTTCTCTGACATGCAAAAGATGGAGACACCCTTTTCAAAAGTGTCTGTTGAGAAACATAGTAATTGGCCCTCATGAGGGTGCCCAAGTACTTGTCAGTCTTTTTAAAGCCTCTGGTAAAAATGCTCCCACATTATACGGCCTCAACCTCTGGATTCATAGTCTACAAATACATCATTATTTTGATGTGAGAAAAATATCAGATATGCATTTTTCTGACCTATTCGGATACCTGCAAAACTTGAAGCACCTGGACCTTTGGATTTTATCATCTGATGATATTTACGGAGAGGTAACAAGAACAGGGGCAGGATGGAAGTCTCTGGAAAGTCTGAAGATACAATACAGTATGCCTGAAAAGAAGTGGTCAGCAAGAGACATGTTTGAATGTATAAATACATGCAGCATGCTCCAAAAATTGAAAATACACAAGCACGGAGAGGGTTATTATATGGATTTTAGTTTGGATGACTTTGAAAAAATGCACCAAAGCTTGCAAGAACTATCTTCTATCGAGGGGGACATGTATCTAAATACTGACTTTTCGTCTACATTGGACGCGCTCCGAAATATGACACCAGAGTTTGCTATGACATCCCTAGATATACGCTCGAAAAAGTACGAAATGAATGATGGTGAATTTAGTAGAAATTGGAATGAGTAGAATCCTCTATTGCTGTACTATTTTGGTCACAAATATCCAAACCTTCGTTTCCTAAAACTAGACGCCACGGACGTATCTGATAATCATACGAATTTGGACAAAGGGCCAAAAATCAGATCTCTTTTTCGATCCAACCCAAACGCATTTAAACACCTGGAAACATTCGACTTCACGACCGACAACTATTATGAGTTTTCTGACTTAATTTTATGGGATTTGCTCTGTCCATTAAAAGTTCCTCTCAAGCATTTGGCATTAAATGCATTAAGAGAAGGCAAAGTAGACGACTCAAATCCAATAGATATCAACAGAATCCTACAATCATTTTCTGAAACACTCGAGAGACTTTCCGTTCAAGGATTCGCATATAGCGATAATGTCAAGAATCAGACTCTAGAAATATCCTATTACTGCCCGTTTTTGAGATATCTTTTTATCGGTGGCAGCGAAGTATATCTTAATGTGGCTGATTTATTGGACAAATGCGTGGGTCTCAAAGAACTAAAAATCCGTGGCGGGAAGTTGTTCATTAATCCAACCACACCAACCGAGGAGTCAAACCAACACCATGGGCTGGAGATTTTGAAGTTACAGAAATGCTCTGCAACTGCCGAAGCATTTAGTTACATCTCTTTCAGATGTAGAGGCTTGAAACATATGACTTTGCATACTTTCTGGGTCCCTGGATCTATTTGTGAAGAAACCGGATGTTTGTTAGTCGACATGCCATATACTTTCTTAAAGACTCTGAACATCGGTCAGGGCCAATACGGCATATCACGCAATGTCTCTTTTGGTACTTCTATTGGTCTGGTCCTCCTGTCTCGATCAAATGATACCCCATTATCAAATAAAAAAAAACGAAAAAGAAAAAAAAGGAGATGGACTTAGAGTGCCCTATAATGACTAGTCCCAATATTGATTGGCTCTACACATTCGATTATTATGTCTATCCTGGGACGTATGTCCTAGAAACTAGAAAACTTTCAAGGGAATACGCAGATGTCATACTTGAATATTATCAAAACTTTCAGTCAAACTCGATAGACCAAATAACAAAAGATAATAGCTCTTACGATGTAGCAAATCCTGAGACTGGCTGGGAATATGACCTTTACAGAGGATACGGCGAATTGAGATTTGGTAATATTGAATCCATTTCTGTTATAAGTGAAGAAAATGATGATACATTTTAAGGGATCAGCTGTATACCAGGCCATTCTCAACAAAATAAAATGGAAAATAAAGTAAAGCCAGACTTACACAATTCAAACAAGCCATAAACCAAGGAACAAAGTCTAAATAATAAAATATCTAATCTTGAGCTGTCGAATTATCAATATGAAAATAATGAAATGACTGGTCCGTCTTGTAATATAAATTTGAATTTGCAACTTCACAATATATTTGTGCACTCTTTACATTACTTTTGATTGACTGTCATTTCATTCCACTTCTCCAAGTTGGTTTTCCATTTTTTGTCTTTCCTTAAAAAAAAAAAGGGTTATTGTGTTACAGAAGCCGAATTAACAAGGGGTTAGTTTGTTATATACTCATAGTACAATTCTTTCGGTAAAGACAAGTATAGCCCCCCCCCCCCCCCCCCTAACGCACGCACAAACACAGCAACAGTTTGAACGGCCTATAGTTATTTGATATTAATATATTCATATATGATCATGTTTTTTTTTCGACAAGATTTGTATACTAACAATATTTCTACTTCAAGCTATTCGTGTGTAGGCAGGTGATTGCGAATTGTATTCATTTATGGTTACCTCAATGATTTAGATATAACCCGAGTCATAACTCATAATATCAGTTTGCCGCAGTATTTTCTTCTTCTTATGACTGTCAATTGCCATTTCATTGCATTGACATTTGTATATTTATTTCAATGTATTCGTTTCACACATCTTTATCTCTTTCTTTCTTTCTTTCTTTATCTAATTATCCTTATGGGGGTGTCAGACCTACCATTCGAAATTCTTACACAGGTTGCTTATAATTTACCGGCAAGAGACAAACGCTCTTGTGCTTGTACGTGCAAGAGATGGAAATACCCGTTTCAAATGGCTCTGTGGAGAAACATAAAAGCTCGTGACTATTCCGACATCCAAAAGATTATTAACAGTATTAAAGCTTCCCAAAGTATATACCCACTACACAGTCTCTGGGTTCATAGTTTACATATGCATCATTCCTACGGTGAATCAAATTTACAAGATATAAATCTTTCTGACCTATTCAGAAACCTGCCAAACTTGAAGCGCCTGGAGCTAGAGGTTGGAAACTGTAAAGATATTTACACAGAGATCCCAAGATCAGACGAAATATGGAAGTCCTTAGAAAGTCTGAAAATAAAATACAGTGCGATTATATCGAGGGAGCCGCCACAAAACGTCTTGGAATTTATAAATGCGTGTACCATGCTCCAGAAATTGGAAATACACAAGCACGGAGAGGGTTATCGCATGGAGTTTAATGTGGATGACTTTAACAGCATGCACCAAAACTTACGAATCTTATCATCTATCAAAGCTAAACTATGTCTCAGGGCTAACTTTCCGGCTACACTAGACACAATCCCCAACACGACACCGGCGTTTGGCATGATATCCCTAGATATAGATTCAAGAATATCCGAAAAGACATTCGGCTATATAGATTCATTTCGGAGTAACTGGAATCCTTTATGGCTGTACTATTTTGGCTACAAATATCCAAACCTGCGTTCCCTAAAATTGAATGCCACGGATGCATGGGAGAAGTCAATGGATTTGGACAAGCGGCAAAGAATTATCTCTCTCTTTCAATCCAATACAAACGCATTCAAGCACTTGGAAACATTAGTCTTTACGACCAACGAACATTTCCAGTTTTCCGATTTTATTTTATGGGAATTGCTTTGGGCATTAAAAGTTCCTCTTAAGCATTTGACGGTAGATACAACATATAATGGCGAAATAGACGGTCCATACCCAATGACTATAGGCAGAATCTTACAATTCGTCTCTGAGACACTTAAAAGCCTTTCGATTATAGGGCCTATATATAGCGATAATGATAAAAAGCCGACTCTTGAACTATCCCATTACTTTCCGTTTTTAACTAATCTTTGCATCAGTGGCAGCAATGTGTCTCTTAATCTAGATGATGTATTGGGCAGATGTGTGACCCTTAAACAGCTGAAAATTTGTGGTGGAAGATTATTCATTAATCCAAGCATGACAACCGAGGAGTCAAAACAACAGCAACAACAACAACAACATCATCACCCTCAGCAGCAGTATGGACTACAGACATTGAAGCTATATGATTGTACTATAAGCGCCAAAGTATTTAATCACCTTTCTTTCAGGTGTAGAAGTTTGAAGCACATGAATTTGAACACCTTGTGCATCCTTGGATCTGTTTGTGAAAAAACCGGATGTTTGTTACTCGATATGTCACATACTTTTCTAAAGACTCTATACATCGGCCAGATTCGATACAGCAGATCATACGAAGAAATGAAGGCAAATGATTATATTAATATGACACTTTTGTCTCAGTTAAATGATGCCCCATTATCAGACGAAGAGAGCGAAAGAAAGAAAAATGAGATGGATTTAGAATACTCTACTGTAGACTTTGGCAGTATGAATTGGCTCCACACATATGAGTTCGACTCGGATACTGGGGCAAAAGACTATGTCACTGTAAGACTTTCGGCCGAAGAGGTCGATAGTGTACTTGAATACTTTAAAAACTTTCAGTCGAGCAGAATTAGCTCAACTTTTGATGATAGCAGCTCATGTGATGGACAGGAAACACAGATCTACTGGAACCACGATCTTCACAAAGGATACGGCGAATTGAGACTTGGCAATATTGAAGCTGTTCAAGTTATATGTGCACAAAAGGATAATAGTTTTAGGAAATATGCTGTATGATAGTCTCTTTTCAAAATAAAATAAAACACAAATTTACATAAATAATATACTTGGTATGGACAGACTAAAAGTTCAAAAAAAAGGACAAAACAAGTTTATCCAGAACTTAGTCAATCAGACTAATTTATGGCTGTCCACACCTTGGGGTTACTCAGCCAGATTGATCGATCACATTTTAAATTCAGGCCACAATATTATTGGATTACAACTGCGATAGCGACGATCAAAATTTGATCGATTAACGTACGGTTCTCTGATTGCCTGAATCCTCACTTTTTTATATGCAATACAATACTGTTTTTATCTTCCTCCTTAATAAATTCTAGAATTTACTGTCAACAAAGTCATATAATAATTTTTTCTCTCCATCCTACATGTCAAAATATAGAACAAAGCAACAGACAACCGATGCCTTAAAGAAATCGCGTAAAATCAGTGAATTTATCGTGAAAAAAAACACTGGTAGTCTTTATCAGCAAGTAGAGACGAGCTTATTAAAGATATTTTAGGAGTAATCGAAAGGGAAGTTAATGTAAATTTGGAGCGGATAGCTGCCGTGAAGGAGCTTGAACAAACGCTTAAAGCCAATAAATGCATACACAAGGTTGGCAATGTATTGTCAGATCTTGAGCCAAAGGAAAAAACACTTGGCTTTTTCGAGAATCTACGTGCATACAGGTTCAAGGAAGAAATCAGGATGTGCAAAAGCTTATTATATAAATGCTATAAAAACTATGAATTTCGTACGAATTTTGTACTTTTGTCTTTTGGTGTCCTCAAGTACAAATTGAGATCATTGGCTAAAATTCACACAAGAATTTGATCAATTAATCTGGCTGAGTACCCCCATTGTATAAAAATAAAAAAGACATCTATGGTTGCAATCGAAAACCTAATTGGTTTTAGTTGACTGTTGCACTACATGAGACTGTTTTTTAAAATCTCAAAATCTCAAAATCTCAAAAGCTTAAAAACAGCGTAGATTGGACAAGAGTGTTCCCCAGCCAAAATTGAACATTTCGTCCCAAATGTTTGTTTTTGGGATTTTGAGGGTGGCAAGAAATGTTCTTTTTCAAATTGTTAGCCAATTATACTCTCTTATTTTTTTATACTAAACTACCTTTATATATTCAGTACAAAAAAGAGGGGAAATATTTGATATATCCGCATGTAATTTTAGTTATTTTATAAGTCTGTCGTACCAAATTAAATAGATCAATTTTTCAATCTCCCTGTATATTATCAAGGACAGTGTAGCACCAGGCGTTTGAAGAAAAAATATTCAAAGAAATGAAAGCATAAAGGCTGTTAATAAAAACTTCTTTTTTACTTTTGATTTCTCTCTTTCTCTCTCTCTTTATACAATTATTATTATGGGATTCTCGGAACTACCATTCGAAATTCTTTTGAAGATTGCCGATAATCTAAGGAAAAATGAATTGCTGGCTTGTTCTCTGACGTGCAAGGGATGGAGACACCCGTTTCTAATAGTTCTGTGGAAAGATATACATGTTTTTAACCCTAAAAGAATGAAAGCATTCATCAAAAGTACTAAAGCGTCAAAGAATGTATCCAGCTCACCATCCCACTTTATTCACACTTTAAACATATACCTTAATTTCTATGAGCTCAAAAGTCTCGATATGGATATTTCTGTCATATTTAAATACATGGATAACTTAAAGTGCCTGTACCTAGGAGATATAGACTATAAATCTATTTACATTGAGTCAACAAAATCAGAAAAAGTGTGGAAGTCTCTGGAAAGCTTGACAATACGATGCTGTGGAGCTAAAGAGATACAGCCAGCAAATAACATACTCGAATTTATATGCGCATGCAATATGCTTCAGAAATTACAAGTATATGAGCAAGGATCGGGTTACCACATAGAGTTTAGTATGGATGACTTTGACAAAATGCACCAAAGCTTGCAAAATCTATCGTCTTTCGACCTTCAAATATATCTCTGCCCTGACTTTTCGACTACATTGAACACAATTCCAAGCACAACACCGGCTTTTGGTGTGACATCCTTATATATAAGTTCGAGAGAAGATCGCAAATACATAAACTCAGAAACAGATTTATGTCAGAATAACTGGAATCCTTTGTGGTTGTGCTATTTTGGATACAAATATCCAAACTTGCGTTCAATAGCGCTGGATGTTGCGGATGCACGAGATAACCCGATAAATTCTGACCAGAAGCAAGCAGCTATATCTCTTTTCCGATCCAATCCAAACGCTTTTCGACACCTGGAAGTATTCAAATTTGCGACCGACACCTATTTTGAGTCTTCGGATTTTATTTTATGGGATTTGCTTTGTGCGTTAAGACTCCCACTTAAGCATTTGAAGTTAGATGCGACAAGATCTGGCAAAGTAGATCCTTCATACCCAATGGACGTCAACAGGATCTTACAATATGTTTCCGAAACAATTGAAAAACTTTCGCTCACAGGGTTTATATATAATGGAGATCACCAAAATACGACCCTGGGGCTATCCTATTATTGTCCGGTCTTGACGGAACTTTGCATCAAAGGAGAAAATGTGTCTCTTGATCTAGACAAGATATTGGAAAAATGTGTGGCTCTCAAAAAACTGAAGTTCGCTGGTGAAAGATTATTTGTTGATACGAACACGATATCCGAGGATCCAAAGCAACAACATGGACTACAGGAACTGATGTTGTATGATTGTGCTGTAAAGGCCGAAGTATTTCATTACATATCATTCAAGTATAGAAGTCTGAAGAAAATGCTTTTGAAAAAAGTGTTCATCGAGGGATCTATTTGTTACGCAACCGGGTGTTTATTACTCGACATGCCGTACACTTTCTTAGAATATCTGTACATCAGCGAGATTCAATTCGGTGAATCATACGAAGATATGGATCTAGAGCTTGATATCGCTCTGACACGCGTGTCTCAAATAAGCGAACCTCAAATGTTTAATGAAAGAAACAAAAAGGAAGAAACGGAGATAGACTCAATTCAGCCTATAGTTGAAAGCTACGATCTCGAATGGTTCTATACTCATGTGTACAATTTGGCTGATGGGACGTCCCCCGCATACAGTGTGGAAATTTCAAAAGAAAACGTCAAAATTATACATGAATACTTTAAAAACTTTCCGTTAAACAGCAGGAACCTAAGTTTATATGAGGATGAAATGCATCTTGAAGAGGAACCAGAAAACTGGTGGAAATTCGAACTTTATAAAGGGTATGGCGAATTTAGATTTGGCAAGATTAAACATACTTTTGTATGGGGAGGATCCGAGGACGAGTTTTAGCCAATACCTTGTACAAGAGATTATTTTCAAAAGCAAATAAAGTAAAGAAAAAAAATGCACGGACAACCTACTGTGATGTTTCATTCTGAGTGTAATAAAACTACAAAATCAGAAAACAACGCATGGAAGTGCAATAGTAAAATATCTAATTTTGAGCTTCCATGTTATCAATATGAGATTAATAATAATAGTAGTAGTAGCAACTAGTAGCAGAGATATAATCATTTCTAAAACAAGGACTTATAATATGATACAGTATAAAAGATGTATAAAATAAAGCAACGTCTTGCGGTGTGTATGCTTTGAATATGTATAAATGATAGTGAATGAGAATCATACATTGAGACACACACACACACACACACATACTCACGTACTCAAGTATATTATAAACATGTCACCCAATTATAATATCTTGGTCGACTCACTTTCATTTTCCTTTTCCTTTGGTTGAAAGAGAAAGAGTCGAAAGGACAATAACAATGACATTAGTAATGACGACCAAGTACAATAATTAAATCAAAAGATGAAATAAGAGTAATTTATTGTAGTAAGAATATACACGTTAATCTAGATGTCTAAATGTATAGTTATATATATGCATTACTTAGTCATCGTCTGATCATCTTCCAGGTACTAAGGATTCAACCATACAAGACTTCACCATAAAATCAGTAATGGGCCAAGAGCGAGTGCGTACTGAATTTGGGTCTTTAAAATAAAGATATTAACATTGACATATCAGCCTTCTTTTTATTTTCTTTTTTATTCTCATTTACTAATCAGTCTGGTTTCATCTTTTTCTCTAATGTGCATAAGTTAATTTCTTCAGGGTAAAATTTGAGATAAGGTATGTTACTGTAAATCTTGCCCTGAATAGCTGTTCAAGCATCTTCAATAGTATTGTGTCGTTTAATGACATCAAGGGTATATCGAGATATTTGAGAAACTTGCTTTAATTATAATAGCTACCTTTCTCGTAAAGGCTTTGAAAACAATAAGAAATAGAAATATTTTCGGATGTTTAGGCCAAATCCATCTTAGAAAAAAGTCATAAAAGTGGCTATTTTAAAGTAGATCGAAGAAGTGTTACCAGCCGAGAATGCTTACGTCCCGTTTACGATATGGTATCGACACACTCATAACACCATTCCAAACGGGTTTTATGGCAGATCGGTTTATTGCTGACAATGGTTTGCTGACACGCCTTGCCATGGCACATGCACAAATAACCCAAGACCCATGTGTTGCCCTTCTTTTGGATCAGGAGAAGGCCTATGACCGTGTCCACCCTGCGTATCTTCGTCTTGTCCTGGCCAGAGCCGGTTTCCCCACAATTTTTGTTGACTCCATCTGTGGTCTCTTCTTTTCTACTCAAATCCACGTGAATGTGAATGGGCACATATCTTCTTCTTTTCTACAAAGCCGGGGGCTACGTCAAGGTGATCCTCTCTCCCCCTTGCTGTTTAACCTGGCCTTCGAACCTTTGCTTAGATCCATTCTCGCTTCTCCTGCCATCCGTGGTTTCCGATTTCTGGTTCCGCCATCTCTCTCATCGTCCTCTCCTGAGCTCTCACCACCTCCACTCAAACTTCTTGCTTATGCCGATGACCTTCTCGTCTTTCTTTCTCTGCCTGCCGAGATGAGTGGTCTACTCAACCTTTTGCGTATATTTGGCTTAGCCTCTAACGCGAAAGTCAATCTCCATAAGACAGTTGCTGTTGCTATGTCTGGACAATTTCATCCGGATTGGGGCCCTGTATTGGATGCTGCTGATATTCACAGTCGACATGACCGTCACTCCGCCACTGCCATCCGTTACCTAGGCTTCCCATTGAGCTCACATCCGTCCCAGCTTGAGACCTTCCGTGCGGCTTTACTGGTCAAGCTTAGGAACCATTGCACGCTACTTTCTCAAAGATGCTTGTCCGTTCGTGGTAAAAGTATTGTGGCAAACTCACTTCTTCTCAGCTCAGTATGGCATATGCTATACGTAACTCCTGCACCGCTATCTTTCTTTGCTGCCATTCGCACTCATATTCGCTCGTTCCTGCGACTGGGTTTCGGTAGCCCTGGCTGGCCGCTTCTCTGTCTGCCACGCAAATCAGGCGGTTTGGGCCTGATTGATCCTGATCATCAACAACGAGCTCTTCAATTGCGCTGGATTCTCCCTATCTTGCATTCTCACTCTTTTTCTTCTACTTCCTTTATACTGCCATACCTCAAATTTATACATCCTCTAAACTTTCGCGCTCCTTCTGCCAGTATTGCACTTTTGTTTCCCTGTAGTAGTGCAACTTGCCCGACTTCACTTCTTCCACTGCATCGCGCTTGTACCTCACTTCTTCCAGCTTCTCTCCCATCCAACTTGCAATTGCCGCCAACTGTGGTCCAACACTTCCCATTAACTTCAATATGGATGAACGTGCCACCCTTTGTTGACTCTTCTCTGAACCTGAAAACAATTCTGGTTTCTGAAGCATTTTCTCTGGAGACTGATGACCGTCTTGTCCGCAAGGTTCGTGGTACGTTTTCTCGGGCACGTAATCGTATCGGTCATTTCTTCCAACAGATTGATTCTGGCAGGATGGTCCTCTGTCCTTGGTTTATCTCTTGCCTTGAACATCGACCTTCTACTGACACCCCTTCCCCCGATCTTTCCTCACTTCTTTCTTTGGTACGGTTGGACAACACTAGTTTGGGTAAAGCTAGCACCGGATCTCTTCGACGCCATCTTCGCCCGCAAGTGCCCTCATCTCTAAATTCGTCTGTCCAATAGTGTAAATTCTGGTCTGTCTCTATCCCCCACCACTGTCGCACAGTCTGGTGGAAAATGCTTTGGGATAGAACGCCAACCCGAAAACGTCTCAATCTATTTATACCTCGACGCTTCCCCAGCTCATCTTGCATCTTTTGTCAAGATGCTACTGAAGATCAGTATCACTTTTTCTTTGGCTGTTCTATCAAATGTCAGGTGTGGAACGTCATTCTCTCTCGCTTTTGCCCGGCCTGGAACCTTGCTGAAATCTGCCTTCTCCTTACCAGAGGCAGCTTCCCACCACGTTCCTCTCATCAAGGCCTTTGGATTCTCCTTTCCGCTGTCACTGCCAAAGCGATTTGGAGTGCTCATTGGAAATTTGTTTTTGATGACCAACCCTTTCTGTCAGGCGTTGTGGCACAAAAAGCGTCCACTGTAATAGAAAAACACATCGGTACACTAGCTTAAGTATTTCCTGTCTAATTTCCTCTCCTGTTTCATTCCGTTTTTTTCTTATATTTTCGTATTTCCTCCCCCTTGTCTCTCTATCTCTTATCTGTTCAATTAAGTCCACTTTGATGGCATTTTAAAAGCTGCACGCAGAGCGTGACAGCAGATCAATAAAATACTAAAAAAAAAAAAAAAAAAAAAAGTTACCAGCCGAGGTATTAAGAACAAATCTTCGGTGAGTGCATCACAAAATCAATATGCTGCTACTGCTGTAAACGTAGCATGAGTGCATTTGAAAGAAAAATAGAGGGTGATTAGGAAAAATACTAACTAAAACACATCACTATTGGTTATATTCATCTGGGATAATTTGATTTGGTATAGACATACAATGTGCTTTACACACTGCAACTGGTCTTTATTGGTTCCATTCATTATTGATTATCATGTCTAATTTCCTAAGGATTGTTGGAGAAGGTAACTTTGTGCCTATTATTCGATTTAAATAATTCTAGGTACTCTTAATAGGATCGATATTAGATCTATTTGATGACTATGCTATTATTGGTACATTATTGACCCCAATTTTGTTGTTCTTATCAGTCTATCGTCAGCTAGCTTTGCCTTAGGACAAAGAGAAAAGTGTTCTTGATAAATGAATTCCCAGTCAAGATTTTATTTTGATAGTTAAGGATTAGTTCCAAGTATATTGGCATGTATCTAGCACAAGGATGAACTGTGATAAACCTATCTCAGTTTCTCTTCCAGGGTCAGAGCGACCACAATGTACCACGCATATTAGGAGCCATGTTATTACATTATGGCACAACAATAGTACTATTTGCCTAGCCATATACTTGGGATACTCCCTCATTCTCCACCTTTAACTAGCTCCAAATAGCAGCTATCTACGGCTTCTTCCGAAATACTCATTAAGATTCGAAATCACTCACAGCCTATTTCCCAGCAAAAGCTTTTGATACTAGGACGCGGGTTGGGTTATAACCTTTTTCTCCCCAGTAGTACTTTACATGACATTTTTTTTATGTCTGTTACCCCTAAAGGGCTTGGCAAAGACGGTCTACGTTTATATAGCACTTTACACCCTGCAAATTTATTTTTATTAAAAATTCATCATATGCTCATCTTTGAAGGGAAGGTGGCCTTAGAGCTCCATGATCCAGCACACGGATCTCTTATGCAAGTGAGATTTTTTCATTCATTTTGAAATACCACTATAATGCTAGTGAGGTTTTTATTTCTATAATTTCCTGCGGCTATCGTATATCAGGCATAAACACCTTCAGCATATATACTGCTCTTTTTAAAGAAATATACCCCCTGTCTTTCCCCACTCGCAATTATGTTCTCTGAGATATCCAATAAACAATGCAATACAGAATTGGAGAGGCTTCCTTTACAATTGTTTTATATGTTTATATCCTGCCGAGACTGACAATTACTAATTTTCTTTAGTGTGTCAGCTCCTTATACTAACTCACGCACAGCTCCAAGTCTATCATTGGCGTAAAATATCTCTCAGCAATAGTCGATAGAATTTTCTGAGCCATTGCAAGATTTAAAAAGGAAGAGATTTATATGAAAAAAAAAATACTTGGTGGGAACTACTGTATACATATTCTATTTTTGTTGGATTTGAAATAAAAAAAAACTTCTGTCAACTTCAATATAGGTCTATAATTCACTTTTATATTTATCCTAGGAAACCTCATAATATTTTTTTGTTTTCTTTTCAAATACAGGTAGTCTTTCTGATCCAAATTTTGGCAATAGAGCACTTGTCTATCCTTTATCCTGAACCCACATCGTAAATATATTCACACGTACACACGTACTCGCACAAGCACCTACACCACATATGTGATGTAACAAATATTATACACAGCCAAAACTAAAGCCTCGCCCTATACTCTCAGGGAATTATTGTACCCCAATAAACTAAATTATATTCTAATTTTTTTTTACTCATTTTGTACCGTTGTTGTTTCTGTAGACATGTGTGCCTATCTGGAGTAACTTGTTATTATTATTCTTTATTAAACACAAAATAAACTGTTAAACAGACCTAAGAATTATATATGAGAGAATCGAGTGGTTTGAGAGAATTTGATAATGTATCCCAAAATAAAAGTCTCTCGTACACGCATGTATGTATACAACACAATAAGCAATGCTTTTATCTCACTATAACTTCAACCCCGTTCGAGACCCTCTTTACCCGACTTTGTTAAGGTCCTAAAAAATATTTATAGTAAAAACAAGAGTGGAAGGCGTACAACAATTAAGAGTTATTTATTTATTTACAGCTACTACTACTGCCACTACCAATACGAGTAAGAAAGAAGGAATAATTACCTTGCCCAACTTATTTTGTACTTGTATTCACTAATCCTTTGATGTTCTTTTAAACTACCTGGTAATTGATCTAAAATTATATTTATTTACGCTTGACAGAATTTACATATTGCGAACCAACAAACAATTCAAGCCCAAATCCATATCCGAGCTCGACTATTACAGTAATGCAAGTTATACAAGATACACTAACAAGAAATTTCAAGATGAATTCTTTTTTTAAAGAACACAATCAAGCTGCACGCAAAGTATCTCTTTTGGGCATTTGTATTTGATAAATGCTAAGCTATTCTTTAATGTGTTGTGTTACTTGCTATTAACAAAAAAAAAGGTAATATTTAGCTGTAATTTCTCGGTAAGAAAGAAATTAGTGTTAGACAGCTGTTTCCAAAAAAAGAAAAAAACAGATTATTATTACATTATTCTCCAAATACGTACAATTGATTTTACACAAATGTCCAAATTTTGATTGCTTTATGGTTGCAATCATTTATCTTTCCTTCTTAATTTTTGCGTATTTTTCTCTATCTTTATTACATTAACGTCTATACGTTGATAGTAATTCATCTTTACTATTTTCTGAGACTCTAGTAACTGCCCGCCTATCTTACCCGATCCACCCCAAATATTGACCAGCTTCTCGCACACAACTCTATCTATTTCTGCTCAAAGCATGATTGTGTGAATTATAGCACACTCCCACCACAAAGTAGTTACTGAACCAATATTTTAAGCTTCACTTAACCTTTTCTCTATATCCCTAAAATCATAACAAAGCTTAGAGTCCAAAAGGTTTCTATATTGCTACTTGTCTGTTGTTGATATGAATTGCTTGGTGAGCTGAACTTTGGCATTTAATAATACTGGAAAATAGATCTAGCTCTTTGAAAACCTCCCTTTTATTTATTCTTTACAAATTTGCATGAAATTAGATTGCTTTTGAATTACCTTTCTTTCGATATAAGCACAATGTATTATAGTAAAAATAATATAGTTTAGTGGTAGAACAGGCTGGTAAATACATAATAAACCATATTTCTTTACACAGAATATATTAACGGGATTTGAGATCCCAGCTTCCTTTTTTTTAGAAAGCTTTGATTCGTGCTAACTAATGGATATAGAGACCATGAGAATATCAAGCGTACCTACTTGTAAAATTGATATTTATTAATTGACCAATTATTAGACCAAAACATTATAAGCTAATGATCAATACAACTTCTATAGGTAGGTGCCTCCCGCCATAGTTCCAGTGAAACATTTTCATATTCACACTCTTTGTACTATAAACAAATCCCGCCATTTTTTTACTTCCATACCTTCTTTTTTTTTTTGTATTAAACTTCACAAGCAATTGGTTTTCTTCGCTTTCCGGGATCAGATCTAAAATAGGCCATTTCTACTTAAAAAATAAATACATATTCTTACTTTTCGATCCAGATATCATATCATATCATATCATATCGCTGTACTTTTTTTTAAAAATAAAAATAAAAAATACATTTTCAAAGGAAGAAAACACTATATAAATGCCTAGTAGAATTTCAATAAGTCACATCAAATCTACAAGCTTTACCTTTCTTTCCTTTCTTTCGTCTCAAGAGTCGTTAGAATTAGCCTACCAGGAAGTCTACTTTCTACTTTGATCCACTACATTTGCCACTTCTGTTTCTGACCATATTCTGACCCCCCCCCGGCCTCCACTGTCAATACCTGTTTATTTCTGTTGCTACAAGTCAAACCAACCGACCAACAAAAAAATGTACAAGTTTATCCTATTGCTCTTGCTCTTGGTTTCCTTTGAAATGACCATCGCCCTGCCAAACCTGTCTTACATTGATACTAGAGCTGTTGCACCTGGAGGTGTCGAAGCTGCAGGTGGATCATGCGCCACTTGCCAGGAAAAATGCTATAAATCTGCAGATCCTAGTGGATGTATTCCTAATTGCTGCTGGCTTTGCATTCCCGGAAGAGGAGGAAATTGTCATTGTTGTTAGTTAATATAAGCTTATGCTTATAAGTCGTGAATAATAACAATTATAGTAATAATAGTTTATTTTAAATATATATATATATAATAAACATCAACTTTCATTTACTATAAATCGATATATACCTCTTGTTAAACCCCTTTTTTTATCATGATTATTAAGAGCTCTTTTTCTTAAGGTCTAAAAAGGTCTCCTTTATTATATTTTCATGGCTGATTGGAACTTCTTGCTTTTTAAAAAAAAAAATTTTATTTCTATAAGCTACTACACTCATTCTTTATATTCATTATACACATAAATCAAATAGCAAAGGAAAAGGCTGATAAAAGTTGTTTAAGAAATGACTTTAATGCTGGTAAAGAATCAATCTATGGTAGGCACAAGCTTTTATCTGTCTTTTTATAGTACTATAATAAAATTAGTTCGATTTGATCGATCGACTTTGATACTTCTTTGATACTTGTCTCTTTCCAAGGAAAGCCTTGTGCCGATACGCTTCAAATATCTACATTATAATATATACTTAAGAATAAACGTCAAATAAAATTCTAATGGCTCTTACGATGTCTTTGATCCCTGGTATCTGCATAACGTCATCGTCCTTTTCAACTGTATCTGCAAGGTATTTTATATCCATTTGGTGGAAACGTATAGTTGAAATCATAACCTCAAAATGTTTATGTATATCGTCCAACTTCTTTTTAACATATTCTTCCCATCGTATATACTCTAGTCCTTCAAGACTTCCAGCCTCTGCCTCTATCTCTGCCTCTATCTCTGTTTCTGTATCTGTATCTGGTTCTGGCTCTGTTTCTGTCTCGGTCTCGGTCTCTGTTTCTGTCTCTGTTTCTGTTGCTGTTGCGGTCTCTGCCTTATATTCATTTTTTTTTCTGCCTTTTTCTTTGGTATTCTTGGCTCCTTCTTTTATATATTTGCTTATTTTTTATCCCTTCATGTATATTCACATTACCGAGAGTGGAAGTACCAGGTAATGCTTTAGCGACTTTTTTCTTGCATTTTTTCTCTTTTGTTTTTAGTAAGTTAATCATTTTCTGAACAGAAATATCTCTTCTTGCGAGTGCTGCCTTGTAGAATATTCTCTCGTCTATTCTTCCTTTCAATCCATCTACAGTAATTGCTTTGAGAGCGTAATCATTGCTTGCAGCAGGCCACCCTGGGGGCTCAAAGATATCAGCATAGCAGTCTTTCAAAAATTCCTCACATGATATTCGAGTTTCACCACAACTGTACAAATCTAAAGAAATTATTAGTAAAAATAATAAGACTTTTATTAAACCTTTTGGTTACCTGATGCTTGCCAGATATCAAATATGTTGGACTCGTCAAGCTGACCTCGCAGGCATGAGAAAGTATAGACTTTGATATCTTCGAACTGGAGACGATCGGCAACTTTGAGAATATTTACACTATGGGTACTGTCTTTTATGTATATATCCTTCCCATAACTAAAGTCGAAAATCAACTTAAATATATTTGGGTCAACTCCACGAATCTTCACCTCATTCTCAGTAGACTCTTTAATGCCACTAAGGAATGTGTCTCTAAACCACGGGGATGCTGCAGCGAGAATAAACTTGTGCCCATGTAGTGTGCTCTTTTTATTTGATTTCATTCCATTGGTGCTCTCAACTTTCTTCCTTTTGTCTCTGTGTACACTGGTAGTGGAATCATGGTTTGATTTTTTTTTTCAATTTCGTCTAACTCATCCTTTTCGTCCTTGAATACATGTATAGTAATATCTTGAAAATTTTTGAGATCTTGATCAAAAAACTTGAGGTTGCTTTGGATATAACAAGGATTCACACACCGAATATTTTGGTTCTTGCTTAATAGCCAAGCAAATAGAAAAAGTAAGTTTGTCGTCTGTAAGATAATTATCCACCTTTTGGAGCGTAGTGGCATCAAGATATCCCCATGGTGATGCATATCCTTCCTCTGCATTATTTCAACAAAAAAGAATTAGCATAAATGAAACTCGATATATGGAATCATGATATTTACCAAACTCAAAATCATGCGAAACACCTAAAAGCATATTACAACTTAAGAACTTCATTATATGGTAATATTTATATGCAGAATCTTACTTATATATACAGGTTTTATTCCTGTCTTAATTATAGATATAGATCCTTCGATTTTCTCTAGAGTTTCCTTTATCACTTTTTGAATTTGTTTCAACTGGTGCGAGGAATGCCCCAAGAGACTATTATAATAAACCGACATAAATACACATACACACACTACGTTATAGTTTAGTTTAAATCAGCATACCCCGGGTTTATATGAGATTCCTTTATACAACTTAATTGTAAGCGTTAAGGTTTTTTATATTTTTTATATCGGTATTAGACATTGGCTCTCAAACTTATTTGTTAGTTTCATTGTACCTGAACTTTCCTATCAATTCAATATGTAACCATCCGTATTTCTTAAAAAAAAAAAAAAAAAAAAAGTATATAGCACTCCCTTCAACATTACTGTATAATGCATAATATCCAAATATCACTTATAAAATCTTTTATTTATTTATTTATTTTTACCATTCGTGATTCCCGATATAAAAGCGCTGACTTTCTAGAGTCATATCTAAAGGTATCTTGGACCATTCTGGTATAGTCCATTTGTGAGTGCATTCGCCAAATAATCCAACATTTGTTTGTCGTTTATCTAGAATGAATTTTGAATAAAAAAAAGTGTCAATGTTTAAAACAGCATAATGGTCATCTAATCTTACACATTGAATTAATTGTAGGTAAAAGGAATCACAATGACAAACACCAATATAAAAAGAGAGTATATTTAAAAGAATAATTGCGTCAAATTGTATTTAATATTATAAACTTTGACACAGTGGATTGTATCCATTGGTGTTTCTTGTATCGCTTCATTACACTGAACTTAGAATTAGTGACGTAGCTGTAGAAATGGCCCAAAGTAGTTAAATAGCTCTTTTTCTCTTTATTTGTTCTTTAATAAAGCTTCTTTTCTATACGTATTCATCTTCTTGTAACTAAGTTGGACATCTACACCACATAGTCAACTACACCATATGCCAATTACAACAATATTATTTGTTTTCCACTATTTGTGTGTGGAACTGAATGAGCCTTGGATATCTTTATGAATACTCCAATGATTCAATTATACCCAGATTTGTAACTCATTATTAGCAACCTTTATGCATCTTGAAAAATAAAACCAAAACCAAAACCAAAACCAAAAATGCTTTATGAGGATATTGGTGGCTTTTTTTAGATTGTAACCTCAATTGAAGTGTAACATAGCACAGATGATATGAAAAAGAAGTATCTTGTTTTTCAAAACTTGGTCAGTTAGAGATATCCTATTTCAAATTGTTAGCCAATGTTATTATCTTATTTTTCTATGCTAAACTACCTTTAAAAATTTACCAGTAAAAAAAAGGGAAAATATTTGATATATCTGCATGTAAGTTAAGTTACTTTAGTCTGTCGAACCAGATTAAATGGATCAATTTTTTAATCTCCCTGTACATTATCAAAGACAGGGTAGTACCCGACATTTGACGAAAAATATTTGAAAATGAATGCATAAAGGCTGTTAATAAAAACTTCTTTTAACTTTTGATTTCTACCTTCTCTCTCTCTTTATACAATTATTATTATGGGATTCTCGGAACTACCATTCGAAATACTTTTGAAGATTGCCGATAATCTATGGAATAATGAATTGCTGGCTTGTGCTCTGACGTGCAAGGGATGGAGACACCCGTTTCTAATGGTTTTGTGGAAAAAAATACGCATTTTTAACCTTAAAGAAATGAAGGCATTCATCAAAAGTATTAAAGCCTCAAAGAATGTATCCAGCTCACCTTCCCACTTGATTCACACTTTAGAATTGCGTATTAATTCCTGTGATCTCAAAAGTTTCGATATGGATATTTCTGAAATATTTAAATACACGCAAAACTTAAAGCACCTGTACCTAGGGGATATAGACTATAAATCTATTTACACAGAGTCAACAAAATCAGAAAAAGTGTGGAAGTTTCTGGAAAGCTTGACAATGCGATGCTGTGGAGCTAAAGAGATACAGCCAGCAAATAACATACTCGAATTTATATGCGCATGCAATATGCTTCAGAAATTACAAGTATATGAGCAAGGATCGGGCTACCACATAGAGTTTAGTATGGATGACTTTGACAAAATGCACCAAAGCTTGCAAAATCTATCGTCTTTCGACCTTCAAATATATCTCTGCCCTGACTTTTCGACTACATTGAACACAATTCCAAACACAACACCGGCTTTTGGCGTGACATCCCTATATATAGGTTCGAGAGAAAACCGAAAATACGTAAACTCAGAAACATCTATATGTCAGAACAACTGGAATCCTTTGTGGTTGTGCTATTTTGAATACAAGTATCCAAACCTGCGTTCCCTAACACTGGATGTTGCGGGTTCACGAGATAACCCGATAAATTCGGACCAGAGGCAAACGATCATATCTCTTTTCCGATCCAATCCAAACGCTTTTCGGCACCTGGAAGAATTTGGCTTGGTAACTGACACCTATTTCGAGTCTTCTGATTTTGTTTTGTGGGATTTGCTTTGTACGTTAAAACTCCCTCTTAAGCATTTGAAGTTAAATGCGACAAGATCTGGCAAAGTAGATCCTTCGCACCCAATGGATACCAACAAGATTTTACAATACGTTTCCGAAACAATCGAGACACTTTCGCTCACAGGGTTTATATATAACAGAGACCACCAAAATATGACTCTGGAACTATCCTATTATTGTCCGTTTTTGACGAAGCTTTGCATCAGAGGAAAGAACGTGTCTCTTAATCTAGACAATATATTGGAAAAATGTGTGGCCCTCAAAAAACTGAAGTTCGCTGGAGAAAGATTATTCGTTAATACGATCACGACAAACGAGGAGCCAAAGAAACAACATGGACTACAGAAACTGATGCTATATGATTGTGCTATAAAGGCCGAATTATTTCATTACATATCATTCAGGTGTAGAAGTCTTAAGGATATGACTTTGAGGAATATGTTCATCGAGGGATCTATTTGTGAAGAAACTGGGCGTTTATTACTCGATATGCAATATACTTTCTTAACAACTCTGTACATCGGCAAGATTAAATACGGTGAATCATACGAAGAAATGGATTCAGCCTATGATATCGCTCTGACACTCGTGTCTCAAATAACCAAACCTCAAATGTTTAATGAAAGAAACAAAAAGGAAGAAACGGAAATAGACTCAAATCAGCCTATAGTTGAAAGCTACGATCTCGAATGGTTCTATACTCATGAGTACAATTGGAGAGATGGAACGTCCACCACAGACAGCATGGAAATTTCAAAAGAAAACATCAAAATTATACATGAATACTTTAAAAACTTTCCGTTAAACAGCAGGAACCTAAGTTCATATGAGGATGAACTGGATCTTGAAGAGGAACCAGAAAACTGGTGGAAATTCGAACTTTATAGAGGGTATGGCGAATTTAGATTTGGCAAGGTTGAACATATTTCTATATTGGGAGCATCCGACGATGAGTTTTAGGTAATACGTTGTATAAGAAGCTATTTTCAAAAGCAAATAAAGTAAATTACAAAAACAAATACATAGACAATATACTGTGATGTTTCATTCTGTGTGTAATAAGACAAGAAAATCATAAAACAACGCATGGAAACACAATTGTGAAATATCTAATTTTGAGCTGTCAAATTATCAATACCGTGAGATAGCTGCTCTGTATTGGACTGAATATTTGAGCTTGCTAGGTCACAACGTAAATTAGTGCACTCTTCAAATGTTCTGTGATATCATTATTCATATATTGTAAAAAAAAAATAGCCGCAGTCGTACTTGGGAACAAACTAACTTTCGGTTGGCTGCTATTCATTTTCACTTCCCCTAGTTTGTCTTCTTTGTTTTTGTCTTTCTTTAAAAAAATGGCATTGTGCTACAAAAGCCAAATTAACAAGGCGTTACTGCGCCTTGTACATATTTATGGTTACTCCAATGATTCAATTGTAACCGGGTATATAGCTTACGATATCAGTTTTCCGGAGTATTTCTTCTTTTTCTCTATTTTATAGCTTCCCAATGTAATTTTATTGACACTTAAATACATATCAATATATTCGTTTCTATTTCTCTCGCTTTCTTTCTTTCTGTCTATAATTATCGTTATGAAAGTGTCAAAACTACCATTCGAAATTCTTGAACAGATTGCTTATAATCTATCGTCAAAGGAAAGCCTGTCTTGTGCTCTAACGTGCAAGGGATGGAGATACCCGTTTCAAAAGGCTTTATGGAAAAACATACAAGTTTATACCTATCAGGGTGTGCAGAAATTCATCCAAAGTATTAAAGCCTCCCAGGGTGTATCTACATCATATCACCTTGCAGTTGACAGTCTACACATACGGCCTCTTTGTTATAAGCCAGACATATCAGATATAGATTTTTCTGTCTTATTTAAATACCTGCAAAACGTGAAGAGCCTGGACCTTGGAAACATAAGTTATGATTATATTTACACCAATATAAAGAGATCAGACAAAATATGGAAGTCTTTGGAAAGTTTGAAAATACAATACGGTGCAGTTAGTGAGACAGGACCGGTGAAAAATTTCGTGGAATTTATAAATACGTGTAGTATGCTCCAGGAGCTAGAAATACTACAGCAAGGACCGGGGTTTCTCATTGAATTTAGTGTGGATGACTTTGACAACATGCACCAAAACTTGCAAAACCTATCGTCTATCAAGGCTGGAATATATCTCGCCTTTGACCTTTCGGCTAAGTTGAGCGCAATCCCAAATACGGCACCGGCTTTTACCGTGACATCCCTAGATATAAATTCGAAACAATACAAAAGTCAAACTAGAAATTGGAATAATTGGAATCCTTTGTGGCTGTACTATTTCGGGTACAAGTATCCAAACTTGCGTTCCCTAAAGCTAGAAGCCACGGATACATGGGACAACGTAAGATATTTGGACCAGAGACAATCAATCATATCTCTTTTTCAATCCAACCCAAAAGCATTCCAACATCTGGAAGTATTCGATTTCACGACCGACAGATATTTCGCGTCTTCTGACCTTGTGTTATGGGAGCTACTTTGTGCATTAAGGGTTCCTCTCAAGCATTTGGCATTAGACGCAAGACAAAGTGGCGTATTCGACATGTCATACGCAATGAATGTTGACAAAATTTTACAGTCCTTTTCTGAAACACTCGAGAGTCTTTCGCTTACAGGATTTATATATACCGATAATGAACAAAATATAAGCCTAGAATTATCCTATCACTGTCCGTTTTTGACGAATCTTTGCATCAGTGGTAGCATGGTAATACTCAATCTGGATAATTTACTGAACAAATATGAGTCCCTCAAGCAGCTGAAATTCTGTGGTGGACAATTAGTTACTACTTCAAATACAACGACCGAGGATTCGAAGCAACAGCAGAAGCAGCATGGTCTGCAGATTTTAACATTAGGAGTATGCTCTATAGCCGCCGAAATATTTAATTACCTCTCTTTCAGGTGTAGAGGTATGAAGCATATGACTTTGAATATTTTGTGGGTCCAAGGATTTATGTGTGGAGAAAATGGGTGTATTTTACTCGATATGGCCCATACTTTCTTAAAGACTCTGCACATCGGCCAGGTTCGATACGGCGCATCAAACCGAGAATATTTTGCAGAACATGACATTGGTCTGACACTCTTGTCTCAATTAAACAGCGCTTCATTATCAGATAAAACGAATGAACGAGAAGAGAAGATTGATCCAAAATACCCTATAGTAGCAAGGCATAGTATTGATTGGCTCTATACATATGGAACCTTTGGGAATATAGGGGAATACGGACAAAAGACTATAAAGCTTTCAAAGAAAGAAGCCGATACAGCACTTGAATACTATCAAAATTTTCAGTCGAACACAATCAGCTCAACTTTAAAAGAAGGTAGCTCTTATGATGAGGACACCCCAGAGATCGGCTGGAAATACGAACTTTACAAAGGACACGCCGAATTTATATTTGGAAATGTTGAATCTATCCCTGTTGTATGCACACCAAGCGATGGCGTGTATTAGAAAATAGGCTTTATAATAGGTTCTTTTTTAAAAAATAAAATGAAATAGAAAATAAAGTAAATCTAGTAGTTCACGGCTTTCGTTTATAAAATCTTTCTGTGCACTCTTCATATGCTCTGTGGCCATTAGCCTTCTATTGTAAAGGTACATCTTTAGTCGCACCCAGAAAACCAACCTATTTCGGCTGTCTGATATTCCTTTCCATTTCTCAGTTAGTTTTCTTTTCTTTTTCTTTGTCCACCATTAAAAAAAAGGATAATGTGATACAAGAACCAAATAAACAAACCGTTGACATTTCATATGCTTTATATTGTAATACTTTGATTAAAGCAAAACAAAAGAATATAGCAAGAACTTGAGCTAGCTATAGCCATTTGATATCAAATACAATTAAATAGGAACATATTGTTTCGACAACACTTGTATACTAGCAATTTTTCTAATCTATAGCTATTTGTGTGTGTGGAGAGTTGACGGCACCTTGTACATCTTGATGGTTACCTCAATGATTCATATATAACCGGATTTGTAGTTCCCCTAATTAGTTTGTCACAACAATCTCTTCTAATTTTAAATCTCACTCCCTTTGACATGTATATATATATATTTCAATATATTCCTTTATCAACTCTCTCTCTCTTTATCTTTATCTTTATCTTTATCTTTATCTAACTACTAATATGGGAGTGCAAGAACTACCATTCGAAATTCTTACACAAATTGCCTATAATATATCAACAAAGGACAAACGCTCTTGTGCTCTTACGTGAAAAAGATGGAGATACCCGTTTCAAAAGGCTCTGTGGAGAAACATACGGATTTATACCTACCGACGCTTACAAAAAATTGTCGACAATATTAAAGCCTCCCAAAATATATCTACATCATACCCCCTCTTGGTTCGCAGTTTACGCACATATCATATTAGCTATAAGCCAGACATACCAGAGATGCAATTTTCTGACTTATTCAAATGCCTGTCAAACCTGAAGTACCTGGATCTAGGAGATAAAAGCCATAACGACATTTACACCGATATAACAAGATCATACAAAATATGGAAGTCTCTGGAGAGCTTAAAAGTACAATACAGTGCAAATACAGAGATACCGCCAGAGAAAAGCCTACTTGAATTTATAAATGAGTGTAGCATGCTCCAAAAATTAGAAATTCGCAAGCAAAGAAGTGGTTCTCGCATGGAGTCTAGTGTGGATGACTTTGACAACCTGCACCAAAACTTGCGAAACTTATCATCTCTCAAGGCTGGAATATATCTCAGCCCAGATTTTTCGGCTACACTAGACACAATCCCAAATACAGCCCCAGCGTTTGCTGTGACATTCCTAGATATAAATACTAAAAAAAACAGAGAACAAAAACGAATTTGGAAGTTTAAACCGAAATAACTGGAATTCTTTGTGGTTGTACTATTTTGGATACAAGTATCCAAACTTACGTTCCCTAAAGCTAGATGCTACGGACATAGATAGTGACCTAATAGATTCAGGGCAGAGACAAAAAATCATATCGCTTTTTCAATTCAACCCAAACGCATTCCAGCATCTGAAAACATTCAGCATTACAACCAACAAATATTTCGAGTCTTCCGATCTTATTTTATGGGAATTGCTTTGTGCATTCAGAGTTCCTCTTAAGCATTTGACGCTAGATGCAACTGATGATGGCAGAATAGACGATACACACACAATGAATGTTAACAGAATTTTAAAATTCTTTTCTGAAACACTCGAGAGTCTTTCGGTCACAGGGTTTTCATACGGCGAGAACAGCCACGATTCAACTATAGAATTCTTCTCTTACTGTCCGTTTTTGACGAATCTTTGCATCAGTGGCTGTGATATGCTTCTTAATATAGATAACCTTTTGGACAAATGCGTATCCCTCAAACAGTTAGAGTTCTGTGGTGGTGAGATGTTCGTGAATTCAGAAATGGTAGCCGAAGATTCGAATCAACAGCCGTCTCAACAGCATGGATTAGAGACATTGACGTTAGACGACTGCTTTGTAAGCGCTGAAGTATTTAACTACCTTTTTTGCAGCTGTAGAAGTCTAAAACATATGACTTTGAATACTATGATGATCGACGGATCTATTTGCGAGAAAACCGGATGTTTGCTGCTCGACATGTCACATACTTTCTTAAAGACTCTGGAAATCAGCCAGGTTCAATACAATTTATTAAACCAAGTAGAGAATGACGGTACTCCTTGTAGTCTGACACTCCTGTCCCAATTGGACGACACCTCTTTATCAAATGGAAGGAAAGCAAGTGAAAAAACGGAAAAAGATTCAAACTACCCAATAGCAGCATATCACAATATTATGTGGCTCTACACATTTGAGGTCCGTCTGTATACTGATAAATACGGCCTAAACACTACAAACCTTTCAAAAAGTGAAATCGATATCGCACTTGAATACTATAAAGATTTTCAGTCCAACAAAATCAACTTGAATTTATATATTGACATCTCGCATGATGGAGAAGATCTACGTATCGGCTGGAAGTACGAGCTTAACAAAGGATACGGCAAATGGATATTTGGCAAGATTGAATCTACCCCTGTTATATGTGAACAAAAAGATCTGGAGTTTCAGGAAACAAGCTGTATAATACCCTTGTTTTAAAATAAAAGAAAATAAAGTAAAGTAAAAAACACCGCTTATGCAAATAATATATTGAATCAATATTTCCAACTTCACTCAACCTTTCTCTACACTATGGGGAAAAACTGGAAGTTTTGAATTTGGGACTCTATTTTTTGGCTTATAATAATTAAAAAAAATCACTAAAAATACAGATTGAAACAAAGGTGACTCTGTTTTCTCAAGAAAACTGGAGATTCCACTGATAATTTTAAAAAATAGCAGAGAAATCTCCAGAGAAATCCCCAATTGTTTCTCGTGGTGCAAACAGAAAAAGAAAAAGTCTGTGAAAGCTATTTCAGAAATGGCTATAACGCTGGTACATAATCAAGCTACAGTACATACAAGCATTGACCTGTCTTTTTATACTATAGTATAGTATAGTATAAAATTATTTTGATTCGATTGATCTACTTTGATACTTCTTTGACAATTCTCTCTTTCCAAGGAAGGCCTTGTGTCGATAGGATTCAAATAGCTATAGTATAATATATACTTTAGAATAAATGTCTAATAAAATGTTAATAGTTCTTACGATGTCTTTGATTCCGGGTATCTGCATAACGGCATCTTCTTTTTCGACTGTATCTGCAATAAATTCTATGTCCATTTGGGGGAACCGTATGTGACAAATCATAACCTCAAAGTGCTTTTGTATAGCTTCCAATTCCTCTTTAATATATCTTTCCCATCGCATATTCTCCAGCCTTTCAAGTTTTTCAGTCTCTGTCTCTGTCTGGGTATCTGTAGTATAGTCATTGTCTTTGCTTTCTCCTTTGGTATCTTTGGCACCTTTGGCACCTTTAATATCTTTGATTTCTTTTTGGATTTTCTCGTATAGATTTACATTACTGGGAGTGGGAGTACCAGGTAGTGCTTTAGTGACTTCATCCCCTGATTCTTCCTCTTTCAGTTTTTGTAAGTCGATCACCTTCTGGGTGGCGGCCTCTCTCCTTGCAAGTACCGCTTTGTAAAATACTGTCTCATCAACTATCCCTTTTAAGCCATCTATCTTGATTGCGTTGAGGGCACAATTATCGTTGACAGAAAGCCACTCCGGAGATATAAAGATATCAGTGTAGTTACTTTTCATATATATCTCGCATGATGTTCTGGTTTCAGTACAGTCGTACAGATCTAAAGTAAGTATAAGTAATGATTTTTCTGTATTAAATCTTTGCTTACCTGATGCTTCCCAGATATCAAGTATGTTGGACATATTGATTTGAGTTCGCAAGCATGAAAAAGCATATTCCTTGATATATTTGAACTGGAGACGATCGGCAACTTTTATAATGTTTATACCATGGGTACTGTCTTTTATATATATATCCTTCCCATAGCTAAAGTCGAAAATCCATTTGAATAGTCTTGGGTCAATGCCACATATTGTCACTTCGTTTTGGGTAGATTCCTTCATGCCACTGAAGAATATATCCCTAAACCATGGAGATGCTGTAGCAAGAATAAACTTATGACCATGTATTGTGATCTTTTCATTTGATGTGGTTCCACCATTGCTTTTAGCTTTCTTGACTTTGTTTCTGCTTATACTAGCAATAGAATCTTTGTTGAAATCGTTTTCATTTTCGTTTGATTCGTCGTTTTCGTCCTTGAATACATGTATAGTAACGTCTTGAAAGTATTTGAGATCTTGATCGGAAAACCTGAGAGGTTGTTTCGGATGTAAATAGGGTCCACATAGTGAGTTTTTCGTTTTTTGTTCGATATTCAGACCAAAATAAAGAGTAAGTTGGTCGTCCGTGAGATAATTTTGTAAATTTTGCAATGCAGTGGCTTCATAATATCCCCATCCGTCTGAAGCTCCTCCTTCTGTATTATTTCAAAGGTTAAAAAAACTGAACTTAATATATGGGATTATAATACTTTCCAAACTCGTAGTCATGCGAAAACCCTAAAAACACGTTAGTGCTCATATTTTGCATTGTATACTATTATTTATGTATATCATTTTACCTTTATCTATAGGTTGTATTCCTGGCTTAATTATAGATAAGGAGACTTTAAATGTCTTGATATAATTTTCTTTATGACTTTTTAAATGTGTTCCAATTGGTTCAAAAAATATTCCAAGGTGCTGTTATAATAAACCGACATGTAAATACGCATCCATACATTATTAAATATGATATTTGACATTAGCATACCTCTGGATGCTTTGAGCTCCCTTTATATAACTTATTTGTAAACATTTTTTTTAAAAAAATATTAGTAATAGACATTGGGTTTCAAACCTATTTGGTACTTTCATTTTACCTCGACAATCCTATAAATTGAATATGTAGCGATCAGTATGCTCTTCTTTAAAATATGCACTCCATTTAACGTAAATGTATACTATCCAAATTCCACTTGAGAAAATACTTTTTATATATATTTATTTTACCATTCATGATTTCCGACATTGAAGCGTTGGCTTTTTAAAACACTCTTTAAAGGTAATCTGGACCATTCTGGTATAGTCCATTTATGATTACATTCTTCAAATAATCCTATATTTTCATATGTTTTGCCTGCAAGAATTTCAAACAAAAAGAAAGTGTCAAATCTTTAAAGCAGCAGAACAGGCATTCAATCTTACCCATTGGATCAATTGTAGATGAAGTGACTCGCACTTTTATATCTTGCTAATTACACTGAATAACACATACACACAAAAGGAGAGTATGTTAAAAATATATTTGACTTTTTATAGCTTTGGGCCCAGAATATTGGTCTCTTCTATAAGCTGGACATAGAATCGCAAAACCATTAAGATCTTTATTTTTTTTCTGCCTTTTTTTTGGAAACCATATAGGATGCCCATGTTTATTATTTCAGATATAAGATAAAAAAATATACTGGTAATATATGTACAAAGTAAGGAATATAGTCAATTGTCCACCTACACAATATACTCTGCTTGTAATTCAGAAATAATAATAATCAAGGTGTTCTGATAGATTCTCCTAGTATCTCTATATCTAAATATTGTTAAGATTTTGGGAGATCTAAAACTATTTGTATTATAGATTCACTCACAGTCAAAGTCTTTTTAACCCTCCCGAAGAAAAAGGTATCAATTGGCAAAAGAATATCAAAAAGTAAAAGTATAGTTTTATTTCCCTTTTTATTAATTGAATCCAGCGTGTAGGTCACATACTTGTTAGAAAACATTTGTCGTTTATGTGAGAACAGACATTTGTACAAATACGGATGCATCATATGCATGCCTTTAACATATTTCGATACGAACCAGACTTAATTCGTAGTTGGCACGAAGTCTAACCTCTGTTAAGTGCCTGATTAAGAAAGTAGAGAATCCAAAGATACCAGAAACGTTAGTGAAATCTATAAGGAAAACGAACGTATAGATATATCATTGAGAAAAACCAAGTGAGGGAAGGATAGTATGATGATCTGAAGCTGGTTATAGGATTATGGTTATAAGGGCATTTGTTGTTCATATATGTCAATGTAAGTTAAAATCAATACGTGAACACTTTGTTTAGCCTCAGAACTTCCTCCGTTTGTTCATAAAAATTTTACAGGGACATAACAAGAACTTAATCCTCCTAAACAATTTTAGTTGTCATAATACTGGCTCTTCTTTGAAACTATGAAAAGACAGCCCATGAAATCCGAGGTTTCGACTACTGACCAGCTCAGATCTTGGATCTCAATTCCTTCAAAGTATTGACTACAGCGTTATATGCTTACATCTTTTCTTTGCGCTTCCCCTACTTCCTGATACCGCATTCGGTACAATCTCTTTTCTCACTCTGCAAGCCTCTCTCTTTGCTTCTTTCATCCAAATTCTTTCTTCGCAATCTTTCCATATCCACCGTGTAAACACCATGCCTAGGCGTCGTCCTAGCTCCTACACACTTACCCTTGTACAGTGGAAACTATTATGGTCTTTCCCTCTTTTTCACATCTCCTGAAATATATGGTTCGACCTTCTCCATCGGACCATCTCTTGCGGAAGCTTGCTGCGCCGCGTTATGCCCACCATCGTTGTAATCCCAGAATGCCCCCTGTGTACGCATCCACTTCAGACACCCAAATATCTTTTGACTACCTGTCCTAAAGTATGGCCTGTTTGGGCGCCATTCCTCTCCTAATGGGTTCCTCTATTCCATTTGTTGCCTCCAGCAGTATTCTCTTCTAACTTTAATATGCAACTCCCAAATACATGACACCTCATTCCCAGCTCCCAAATCCTCGAATCGTTTCACGGGCAGTTTGGTGTGCGTACTGGGCTTATTTTTTTTGACGATGCGCCTTTTCCTTTCTCCATTCACTGTAGTCCGCTTTTCATCTCATACACTATACATACCCTTGTTTCAATCTTCTTTAATTCTCTCATAATTTTGAGGCTCTCTAAGGCAATCCCAGCATCGCCGATCATTATGATTCGTGGCTGGGTAGAAATATACGATGAATGATGAATTTACTTACTACGGATTGAAGCGACTTGAGGAAAGTAATAAGGAACCCGGCGAGACGAAGGTCATACCACAGAGTAGCGAGAATGAGCATGTTAACAATCGTTGCTTGACCACGAATCGAAGGAAAGTATTGTGAGTTAATTTTGAGAAAGATGCAGATGGTGGTAAGAAGCTGGTTGGCACCGTGGTTACGTTAGACAGGGGATTGAAATAGATGATACCCTAAATATATCGCGGGTTTTGGCGAAGGCTGACCATACCAAGCCGAGATTCCTACTTGTTAAAGAGGAGCTTTCCAATGAGGGATGGGATCACCTGAGAATGAGATAGGACGAGTTCTGCGCATATTAATATGAGCATTCGAGGGCCAAACATTGAGTTTTAGGTGGTTTTATAGTCGAGTGATGTCCGCAGAATTGAATAAGCATCCAAACACATCATTGGTATATGCCAGTACTTTAAGCGTCAGTGGAAGGTTTGAAAAGTGTAAGGTAAGCTCTAGGATTGTGTGATCAACGAAAATAGAGAGAACAAAGGATTCGAGAGTAAAGTTGAGAAGGACCGAAGAGAGGAGATCGCCCTGATCGGTTTGGTGGTGGAGGAAGCCATGTTTTTTTTGTAATTAAAAGACAGTGTTTAGCTTAAGATCATCCGCAGCAGTTCCATTTAAATTCAGTTTTACACAAAATACATGTACTTTAGCAAATGTAGCAAAAGAAAAGCAACCCCAGCAGTTATATTTTCGAAAAAAATTAATGAATTTTTTTTTGTCATTTTACCATCTGCTCAATACATTCCCATGTAATATTTCTTAGAAATAATTACCAGTGAAGAAGAGTATATTTGATATTATCATGATTATTTAAATGCTTGTTTCTGTATTGAACTTAATATTTTGCCTTCCATTCTTTTTTACTGTTTTCAAATATTAGTGTAGCGTATCAGCACTTAATTTATTGAAAATAAAAAGTGCTACTACTGCAGATACTCTAATAAAATCACAGAGTTTTAAGAAATTTTGTAATTTTTAAAGAAAATTAAAAGGGGGGAGTGAGAGAGTGGGGGGAAGGGTAAGTTATGTGTTTATGAAGTCAGAGTTAAGAGAGTCTTGGGGGGTTGGTTTTATAAAACGAATAGTGAAGGATTGATTAAATGTAGAAATTATTTCTAAGAGTCTAGAAAAGCATTGGATTTTTTAATAAACGAATAGTAACGGGGCGATTTTTGGGTATTGACCAATTCTGAAAATGTTAGGATATATTTAGATTCGTTAACAAAATGAATGGTGAAGGTATCTCCTTTTTGGCCTCACAAAAGCATCAAATTTATATGAAAAAAAAAACTAGGCCGTCTAATTCAATTTATAAAAATATCTAAAAAGATCTCTGAAACACTAAGGCGTTTCTGAAACAAATAGCTACCCCGTCCAACGAACCGGTTTATAAATCACCAAAGTTTTCCTAGCCGTGGTGATATTTTTTGAAACACTTGATTACCCCTACCCAATCGTTTTATAAAAAAATATAAGGTTTCTCTAAAACGCCACTCTTGCATGGACCGCATGACTGATATTCATCTCACTCCCCCTTTTTAATTTTATTTCCTAAAAATTATGAAATCTTTTGAAATTTTGTGATTTTGTGAGAATTTGCAACAGTAGCACATTTCTTTTCAATAAATTGTACTGATACGCTACACTAATATTGGAAAACAGTTGGTGAAGACAGACCAAAAATTCAAGGGAAGGGAAAAAAAAGGATAAAACAAGTTCAGGATCAACTTGGTTAATCAGACTAATTTATGACTGTCCGCACCTTTTTTTAAAAAAACAATTGTTCAAAATTGTGCTTATAATGCCGTCTCTATCATTAACTGGGAATCTTTTATTGTAAATTATTCTAGATTTTGCACCCTAGCACATAGTTTTTATCAAATACAGGCTTTTCTTCTCAACCAAAATGACACTTGAAGAATACTAGCTATTTAGAATCGATTAAAAAATTTGGCCTTTTTTCGCCTTTTCTTTAAACTTTTATTCTGTCTTCACCAGCTATTTTCAATTTTTTTTTCGTACTGTTTATTGAATTGAATATCCACCAGAAGGTGAGGAAGTTAAAAAAAAAGTAGTGCCTGTAAAAGATTCTTCTAGTTCCAGTCTTCGAACGTGCAAAACTGTAATGGCAACAACTCGGTTTATTTTTAAATATAGTGTAGCGTATCAGTACAATTTATTGAAAAGAAAAGTGCTACTGCTGCAAATTCTCACAAAATCACAGAATTTGAGAAGATTTCATAATTTTTAGGAAATAAAATTAAAAAGGGGGAGTGAGATGAATATCAGTCATGCGGTCCATGCAAGAGTGGCGTTTTAGAGAAACCTTATATTTTTTTATAAAACGATTGGGTAGGGGTAATCAAGTGTTTCAAAAAATATCACCACGGCTAGGAAAACTTTGGTGATTTATAAACCGGTTCGTTGGACGGGGTAGCTATTTGTTTCAGAAACGCCTTAGTGTTTCAGAGATCTTTTTAGATATTTTTATAAATTGAATTAGACGGCCTAGTTTTTTTTTTCATATAAATTTGATGCTTTTGTGAGGCCAAAAAGGAGATACCTTCACCATTCATTTTGTTAACGAATCTAAATATATCCTAACATTTTCAGAATTGGTCAATACCCAAAAATCGCCCCGTTACTATTCGTTTATTAAAAAATCCAATGCTTTTCTAGACTCTTAGAAATAATTTCCACATTTAATCAATCCTTCACTATTCGTTTTATATAACCAACCCCCAAGACTTTTTTAACTCTGACTTCATAAACACATAACTTACCCTTCCCCCCCCACTCCCTCACTCCCCCCTTTTAATTTTCTTTAAAAATTACAAAATTTCTTAAAACTCTGTGATTTTATTAGAGAATCTGCAGCACTAGCACTTTTTATTTTTAATCGAAATGAAGCACTTAAAAAATAATAATATTTTCGAATACATTCTTCTTTTCTTAAAATAATTTTATTAGACCTTTGTCTTTTAATGATAATTTAGCAAAAAAGCAAATTAAATACTTTCAATATTATCAGCTTTGTAGTAAGCATACTTTTTTCGAGTTTTTCTAATTATTATTTATATTATTATTTTATTTAAAGAAGAAGAAAAAATGGTTAAAACAGGAAGGCAATTTTTTTTTAAAAAAAAATATTAATGGAAATCTATAAAGTAGGTCATAAAAGATTCAAGATTTCAGTAAATAATTTTAGAAATGTAATAGCTAGGGCTGCTTTTTCTTCTTTTGAACTACATTTTCCAAATTATATATATATTATATAAAGCCAACTTTGAATAATACCACTGTAGATACTCTTAATTACATGATTTACACTCTACACTTTGTCTTTCAATTACAAAAAAAACAGACACATGGCTTCGTTTACTACAAAAACAATTTGAGTGATCCTCTCTCTCTGCTCCTCTTCAACTTTACTCTCGAACCTCTTCTTCCCTATATTCTCAGACCGCACTTTCTTAGGATTTACCTCCTCCAGTTCAAGCCTAAATAACTGTTCTCGAACTTTGCATTTGTGATATACATACCACAATTGGGTGAAGAACAGACTCCACGACCAAACACTGGTTCCTTCTTGCTAATAAATCTGATAAGTTAACAATCCCCGGAACTGTTATACCCCAGCCACACTTATACTACACGTTTAGATCATCCACAGTTGTTTGTGTAAATAAATGTTTTGACTAATTTCTTTAGACAATTATTTAACGGATATCAAAATTCAGTGCTTCCCTAAACCACTCAAGCAATAAGGAAAATGTGGTTCCAGGTTTTAATAAACCGCTGTGGGCGCTCTTTGACCTTTGTGTTTTAATTATAATTTACCAAAAAGCAAGTTAAATACTTTTAAGATTTTCAGCTTTTTATTAAACAGAATACTTGCGAGTTTTTTTCTGATTCTTTGGTGAAAAATAAATACTTTAAAATCTCATAAGTGTACGTTACAAAAAACGTGCTCTTGTTACGAGAGTCTTGAGTTGAAGAATATATAGTGCCTTTTATCCAATACCAGTTGGTAGACTTTTGACTATTGTAATTTTTAGAGGCAGATATATACTGAAAGTAGAATGTTGGATTAACATCATCTTTATATTTACTTTTCGGTATCACTAAAATATTGTCTTTTGCATATCGAATGTCTTTATAGAAGACTAAAAACAACCTGACGAGTCTCTTTACACAGAATTTTTAAATTCGAATATAAAATTCGAATATCTTTCAATCAAAGACTCAAAGCAAAGAAAATCTGAAAGTACTCTAACAGTTTCCTTATAAAAAAGCGTTAGAACTAGAAAGGGTGTGAACTTGTAAAAACTTGATGGAAAACCTCTACAAGTTTACTCTCTCTCTCTACTATATTGACCTTTGACTGTAATATATCGGGCTAATGAACCGGATTACGCAGCTTGGGAGGCATACCAGAGAACAATCTTTGATGATCTCCATTTTATTCCTGCCAATTTAGTTGCTTTTATGAACAAATCGCTGCAATATTTCCTTCAGCCATCACATCTCATAAAATTGGTCTCTCTCTTGTACTCACTCTACTTTCATTTATTGTATTCTCTTCTTCTCTCCTTTTTATTTTGTTTTTCTTACTATCTGTATTTTCTGTATTTTTTTGCCTTTATACTTATTAGCTTACAACTTTATCCCCATGGTTTGTGCGTTCATTAATATTTTCCCATGTACCTACCTCTCCTTTATAAGAAGTAAGGCCTGTTTCTTGGTCAATTTGATAAATTTTTACTTATACAACAACAACAACAAAATTTCTGACGATGTATTATTTTTTATGTGCAAAATATTGATGAAAATAGTGTTTGACAAGTATATTGGTTGACATGTGGAATTCTAGAGATTTCTTGGAAATTTTTATGTGGGATCTCAACTATTCTTTTCACAGTGTGGCCTTTATCGTAGGCCTTTTTTTTAAAAAAAAAAGAAGTATAACCGTTTATACGATATGGGAGGTTTAATATATATATATATATATATATTTCCAATGTCAATAATAAAACAAGCTTAAAGAATTGGTAAGAATAGTATGTTTAAATGATGTTTAGTGTCAATTATATAAGTATATGTGTATGTGTATGTGTATGTATATGTATATGGTGTAGCATAAGTACATTAAATTAGACGAAGGCGTGTATCAATAATACTCTTCTTTGAGAGTCCACACGCCCCTTCCTTGGGCATCCTTCTCAAATCTTGCAATGGCTTGCAGCATTTTTCGAAATACCGCGACTTGTTCTCTGTCAATGTCTATGTCTAAAGCGTCCATTATAGCATTACTTTGAGCTTGACCGTTGTTTTCAGAAAGATAATCACGGATTCTATTAATCAATCCTTCTTGCTTTGTATCACTTTGTATTTCTGGGGGTGCTATTGGATATTGTTAGGCTTGGTAAAGAAAGAGAAAGAAAAGAGTAGAAATGTTTACCTGTACTTGGTCTTCCCTCTTGAAGAGCTTTCTTTCCTCTCAACTGTGCCAAAACTGAACTACTTGAAGATCCAAGACTACCTTTCCCCGTCGATATACCCTTGAATCCGGAGCCAAATCTTTGTGGTTGAGGTGCTGGAGAAGAAGGGAGTGATCTAGATGATGAAACTTCAATAATATGACGAGGAGCTCCAACAGTTCCTATAAGATAATCATTAATAAGTGCGTATAATTATATACTACTGAACTATACAACGTACCCGATCTTCCTGTCCATGTGGGCGTTCCAATGTCTGCCATTCGTCTACGTTTCCTTGATTCTTTCAGCGCATCTGCTGCCTTTTCCGCAATCAGTGTAGCTATTACATCAAATAAGTTTGGGAAAGTTGATATTATAAAAGCACTTACCTTCACGCTCGACAAATAAATCATCGTGGGAAGTCGAATCCATAATTTGATCGTGTTTAAGAGCACTTTGAATACCCGTCATATCAAAAAGGCTCTGTAGAACCCCATCCTCTTCACTTGCTTCGTGGTTTCTTTTTTTCTTATCCTTCTTTTCGCCGTTACTATCATAAAAATAAAAGTAAAAATGAGCTTATTTTAAGCTAATAAAAATGTTCTTATTTGTACAGACTTACTAATTCTCGACACCACTCACTCCAGAAAGAGATTTCAACTGACGATTGTCGTCATCATTCTTACTTCGTTTCTTCTTATTCTTACTAGAGCTCCCCGGTTGATCGTCTTTATTATGGATTTCTGTTCCTTTGAATAATCTCCCAGTCTCTGTAGACGTGTCATCCTCTGCTCCAAGAGTAAATAGGGACTTTAAGTTACTTGCCTATAAGAATCGATGTTAGCTTTTTTTGTTTTTTATTAATTTTTTTTCTGTAGATACTTTCATCAAAAAATCTTCGTTGTTTTGGGTCTTTCAAAATCTTATTTGTCAAAAACTGTTTGTAAATCTGACGATGATATATTTTTTCTTCTATTGTTCCACTCGTTATTAGACGGTAGATAGTAACGTCTTTCTTCTGTCCAAGTCGCCATGCACGCTCTCTTGCTTGAATATCTGTTGATGGATTCTATAATATATATATATATATTAGTTTGAATTCGGGTTCTTTCTCTGGTAGATTTAGTAAATATTTACCCAGTCAGGATCGTATAAGATGACACGGTCTGCACCGGTAAGATTAAGCCCAAGCCCGCCCACCTTGGTCGTTAAAAGAAATACATAGATATCCTCGTTCGTATTAAATTCATGTACAAGTGCCATACGATGTGGAACAGGTGTTGTGCCATCCATTCGACGGTAGTTATAGCCAAGACTCTTAACCATCAGCTCAATAATGTCAAGCATTTGGCGGGTTTGGCTGAACAGAAGCACGCGGTGTTTTTCGGTTTTCCACAAATTGAGGAGAGCTCTCACTACAACCATTTTTCCGCTTTTCTCTGGATCGCCATAAGACGGGTTCTACTCTGATACCTTAGAAACTTGGCTGTCCCTCAAACACATTACTAAAAAGTGATACTTACCGATTTTGCTTTCGATATATCAATGATATCAGGATGATTACAAATCTTTCTCACGATATCAATTCCATAAAGGACCTGTCTTCGATGTTCCAAGATAGAGTCCATGTCATCAGAATGGATAAACTGTACGTATGATTGTCTTTGTGGCTTTGTGAGCTTACAGAACAATACCTAGAATCCAATTAATTAGTTATTTTTATTCACTTTAGTATTGGTATTATTATTACGAGTGGTTTGACTTACTTGCTCACTCTTTTTTGGCAGGTCCTGCGCAACATCCACCTTCATTCTTCTCAGCAGATATGGATTTATAAGATCTCTTAGCATGCATGCGCATTTATAGGCAGTTTGGACTTGTACGTTTGTCGCATTTGCATATCCACCTATACGTATAGGAACCGAGAATTGCGATTGAAAGACAGGCAAGGTCTGTTAAAGGTATGCAGGTAAGAATATGTACATTTTTTTAGTCTCAGTTATACATGGTACTTTCCCCAAGTCTTCCCGGAAATATGAAATCAAAAAGTGACCATAGCTCTTTGAGATTATTTTGAATAGGTGTACCCGAAAGAATAATTCTGTGCGGTGTCTACAAGTATGCATTAGTACGACATGTTTATTACTAAACATGCTACAAGATATACCTTGAACTGTTTACACGCTAACGTTGTTTCAGAGTCAGGATTCTTTATTTGATGGCCTTCATCCAATACTACGTATCCCCACTTGTGTTTTAACAATATCTCTCGGTAGGTCTGAACACCACTGTAAGTTGTAATCAATATCCCACCTAAAGTATAGAATAATAAGTACAGTTACTCTAGAGCTACAAAGCGTCCCTATATTTTGCATGAGAAATTACCGCTTTTGATAAACCGATCTACCATTGCGGCTGCATTCTTTCCGGTTTTTGTAAAAAGAAGATTAGATCTTCCTTTACTTTTTTGGTATTTTGATTTTTGCCCTCGTCTATCAGGCTCATAATCGTCTTCCATTTCTTCATAATATAAATCATCTTCGTTCACTTCAAAGTCGATATTATTTGGGTCGGATAGTCGCAAACCACTTCCACTTGAATGCAAAATAGCGACGCGCGCTGGTGACCACCATTGATGGAACTCCTGGATCCATTGCTTCATCACAGTAGCCGGGCACACAATTATAGACGCTTTGCCTGGGCCTAGTAGTTTTGAATAATAGAGTCCGGAAAGAAATGCGATAATCTGAACTGTCTTTCCTAGTCCCTATTTTTTTATAAGCAGTAACGAAAAAAAAAATAGGCGTGAGACTGATAGTACAACATATGTATGTTACAATAGTGTACCATCTCATCACCAATAATTCCTCCAACTTCTTGACAGTGAAGTTCCCATAGCCATCGGATACCTGGATTATTATGTTAGTATATGGGTAGATTAATTTATTAATTATAATAATCTTACATGTCTTTTGATAATCAAATAAAACATTCCATAATTCACCGGGAACACGCATGCGGTTATCAAAGTGAGCGTCTTCATAAGCAGGATTCGGTTGATATATCTCAGTGCTAGGGTCAAGGTCAGGCTGAGACTTTATACACTCTTCAAATTCCTCTAAAGGCAAATTTTCTGCTCCGGGCTATGTCCACTTTTAATAAGCAAACATGCGTCCTGTAATGTGCAGGACATTTAATACGTACCGTATTAACTCTATATATAGTGGTTTTTCTAGCTTGTAGCCATCTCTTTAGTCGTTTCTAGTAAAAAAAAACCCAGTTAATATTTCAAAATCCATATTAGTGTTACGCTTATTGTGTTACCTGATAGTGTGCTTCATTCCCGTCGTCTTCAAACAGATCACGGATACTATCTTCAGCTTTTTTATTTTTTCTTCTTTGTTTCAAATCATTGTAAGCGTCTTCGTCTTCAATATTTTCTTCATTAATATATGGCTCGTCTTCGTCTTCGTTTTCATTTTCTTCTTCAGAAGCACCGTATTCATCATCTGATATGGCCTTTTGTTTTTGTGTGTTTTTTTCTGCAAAATTATATAAATCCGGGAATGTGTCTTTTGGTACATTTACACTCTCATCTGTATTGGATATAAACGAAGGCTCTACTGTGTGTTTGAATGCCATAGGGTGTCCCTCAGATCCCGGTAATGATGGGGCAGATGGCCCTATAGTAGGTCATATACTTTGTTGATTTTTTTTTTCATTTGGAAATTTTAGAGAGAATATGTGATCTATCTACCTGATGAGCTGCTCTGAATATCGTTTTCAAAATCGGCCTCTTTGGCAAATGGGGTTATTTTTCCAGTACGGATAAGATATTCCTTTTGTGTTTCATCGTGGCGCCTTAAATTCTTATTTACGGCTATTAAAAGGTCGAATATGAGATCAAGTCTAAATACTTGGATAAAGTCATTCTGCACTCACTTTCTCCTGATGCAGAACGAATTCGTTCTTCTTCTCGTTCTTTTAATCGATTTAATATATCTTCTTCGTCTGATTTTGCTGCGCGTAATCTAGCAGCCTGATCAAGACATATGAGAAAAAAAACCGAAAAGCAAGACACAGCTTTTAGATAGTTGGTATGCCCTTCTTACCTGTTTATTAAATTGTGGTACTAGCCCATCTTTTTCTAATGAGGTTAATGTCTTGTCTTTGAGCTTCAATTTCAAAATAGCCAATTGTTTTTGTGCTGCTCTGAAAAGAAGTACACGATATTGTTACTTCACATGAACCAAATAGTGTATCAATTCTAACTTTTTTCTCTATATATCTATATATTATTTCTCAGAATCTTTACTCAATCTCTTTGTATGTTTTGGATAATCGTTTTTGATCCAATATATCGTCTTGTTCAGTCAAGGCCTTGTCTGCCTTGATAGAGCATTACCGGGTTAATACTTTATGGTATTCAACCTAGTTATTATTTGATGATTTATGTATTACTATTATTATTATACCTGTGCAATAATGTTTTGTTCTAGCACTGTCTGGTCTACTAATCCCACACCCAAGTTCTTCAACTCGGTGTTAACTTTGTTTTGTGCAATTGGTGTAGACACCTCCAAGATTAGGTCATTTTGAGGTCTATACAGTTGGTTTTCATTTTCCTCGTCACTTGAAAATTCCTCTTCATCTGATAATGGTGAAGATGAGAAGTCATCGCTACTGTCGCTCATTACTATGAAATAATGTATTCTTGCCGCAGTCGTTTTTTTTTCTAGGCATTCTTAAAGGAAAGCTGCATTGATCGTGACTTACTTTGGACCGGCATTTCTCTAAAAATCACCCTATGCTTAATCTCAAGAAAGAGAAAAGAAAGGTTTATGCTTTGTAAAAATACCTCTTTACAGGTTACATGATGTATATTTCTTCTTTATATATATAACAAAAGTCATTTTTGATAAAACTATATTCATGATCTTAAATGTATGGGAATAAACTACCATTTTAGCAACTACGTTTTTTGAAGGTTTGAAACCGAAAAAAAAAATCAATGATAAAATAACGCTTTGATTCCTGCGTGATAAACAACGAATGTTTTTTTAAAAAAAATAGATAAAAATGGTGTGTCAGATTGTCTGTGCTTCAACAATATCCAATACTAAGCTTGATAGTGACAAACCATGATGAAGTTTATGTCTTGGTACGATTAATTTTCATTATTAAGATATAATATTTATCCAAGCATAAACTATTGTATGTATATATTTAAAAAAAAATAGATGAGCGGAATTTTATAAAAGCATGGCTTACTTATTCTTTTAGTTAAAATTGAGTATAAAAGATATAAAAGAGGTATCATAAGAGCACTGTGTGAGTGATAGTAGTGTTATATAACTTATAAAGGCTTTTAGCAAGTATATAGCCCTACTAGGAGTCAGCTTGTATGTTAAAAGGTAAAATATAATGTATTGTCCTTGCCTTTTTTCCAAGTATTGCAGTTTGATGAATCTGTTTGAATAAACGTTAAATATTCATACTAATTTTTACGCCTGTATGTGTATAATTGATAATTCTGTTAGGATTTTAGACATTTGGTAGGTATAGAGAAAATGAATATAAGCTAAGCATCTTCCGAGAATGTTTTGATAGTATCTTGAAAGTATAAATAGAGATCGCCGAATAATGCTCTAGTACAAATTGTCTTGTATTTTCATCTTGAGACTACCATATGGTCTGTATGTAGTGATTTACTTATTTTTACCTTTTATTATTATTATTATTATTTTGGCCATCGGTAACAAAAAACACACACATATATATATATATATATTAAGCTAGTTACCGAGTTGACTGTCAATGCTAGATTATGTAATACTTTGGGCATTTCTCTAAATGAAATTACACAAAAACCCGCGTTTGTATACTTGTGTAAAGTTGTTAGAAAATAAAATTAACTGCCAATATCCTTAGTGGTAAGCATCGGCTTCTAACGAGAAAGTTGCTAAAAACGGTGATCTTGAGGTTTCTTCTTTTTTTGTGTTATATATAATATATAAATATATACTAGAGATAATAGATCTCAAAGGGGGTACATGGGCTGAGATTTGTGTGTCTATATATCCCCCACCCCAAATTTTGTGTGAATCCCGAGTGTGTTGTAATTTTTTTTGAAAGTTGACAAATGTTTGGTCATGAATGATGCCTATAGGTGTGGTGTTTATTGGTTGTAACAAATCGAAGCAATCTTGCGTCGTTTTATGATATAGAAAAACAAAATACAGTAGTCTAATGCGTATTCTGATGAATTCCTTTAAAGGGTTCTATCGAAGATGGCATTGAGGGAAGCCCAGACAGCCTTGGGGGACTGTGCGGCGTCAACACCGTACCAGATACCCTTCTTCTTGTAGTATTCGGCAACGGGGCCGGTCTGCTTGTGGAAAGCATCGAGACGCTTGATCAAGGTCTCGGCGTTATCGTCAGAGCGCTGGATAAGAGGTTCACCGGTGATATCGTCAACCATATCGACCTTGGGGGGGCTGATACATAATATAAATAATCAGCACAACCATCTCTATTTTCGTTCTCATTAGCACATTCTATATACTCACTTGAACTCTCTGTGGTAAGATCTGCCAGAGGCAGTGTGGATCAGACGACCTGTGATACGGGACACAAGGAGACTGTCATCAATAACGAGCTCGATAACAGAGTTCAAGGGCTTCTTTCTCTTCTCAAGCATATCATCCAACTTCTGGGCCTGGACGACAGTGCGGGGGAAACCATCGAGGATGAAACTATAAATGACAAATCATTAGATTCTATTCATCAAAAGTCTAGTGCATCATCACAATCAAAAAGTAGTTGTTTTTACAACATCTGCCACAACAAAATCCATGCCGTGAACCAAAAAAAAGATAAAAAAAAACGGCATGTCTAATTTTACTAAACTTCTCCACAAAATATTCTAATCGCAGTAATAAATACTACAAGATATACGTATTGTTACTCACCCATTCTTGCACTCGGCATTCTGATCCAAGTTCTCTTCAATCATGCCAACGACAATCTCATCGGAAACAAGTCCTCCGGCATCCATGACCTTCTTGGCTTCAATACCGAGGGGAGACTTGGAAGCGACGGCGGCTCTAAGCATGTCACCGGTAGCCAAGTGGCAGGCACAGAACTTCTCCTTGATAGCAGGAGCCTGAGTGCCCTTGCCAGCACCGGGAGGACCCATGATAACCATACGGAGCTGCTGCTTGGGAAGGCCCTCGACGACCTTCTTCTCCAGGGCAGCAAACTTCTCGTGGAGGCTGTGGATGTTCTTCTTGATTTCTTCAAGGACAGCAGAGTGATTGTCGACCATTTTACTTCTAAAGCTTCACAAGGGGAAAAAAGTGCAGGGGTTGGCTTCCGAAAAAATAGAAAGCAATCAGCGATCAAGAGTCACGCGTGACGTAGAAGTCCGCTTCCTTCGGCTTGTCACTGCTCCTTCTTCCGTAAAAGGAACTACTGTATTTTCACTAAAATTCACATGAAAGGAACTGTGAAGCATAGTTTTTATTTAAATTTGCTTGTCATTTGGCTTTTATTTTTTTATATGTATGATATTTCTCGTTGGGTACATTTCACTCAAGATAGGATACGAAATAAAGGCTGCTTGTGAAATGAATAATAATTTTATTTCATTTTGGAAATCAATTCTAGCTCAATTGTTGTAAATATACTTTCCTATTTCTATTAATCAATTCCGTGAAATCTTCATAGTTGTATACCGTGCTGCTCATATGCGATCTTTGTCAGTCCAATTAAATTTTTATTAATAAAATATTGTATCCATTACCATTGTAGAATATTAAAAAGATATGCTTATTATGTCTATTGTACACTCTCTCCCTTGCCTGTTAGGGCATTGGCATAAGCAAGCACTTTACATCGTCATATTTATATTTATTAAAGCCAAACTATGGTGGTCGAGTATATATATATACATTTTTTTAACAAGAAAATAAAAACAACTTAAAGACTGATGCCAATATGCTCGATCGGTTTATGGTTTAACCTCTCTATATTCAAGCTGTAATCACGTCATCCAAAAGAGGAACTTTACTGGAAGAGCAACGAATTCCCACGAGGAGTAATCGTATCTATTGAGATTAGGTGTGAATTTTAACCCATCCCCTGTGTAGTAGTGTTTACTTATACAAGTGATCTTTATACCCCCTGTACTTCCAAACAAGGTGCTGATGATTACATAACATATCTACTATCAACAGACATCTTCATAGTACAGAAACCTATATCTATTTTCTTGGGCACGTTGAGGGCATGATAAATCTCCTTTTTTGCATTCATTTAGAAATAGCAGTAAAATTCTTAAGTTACTTTTTGTAGCTCTTAAGAATGTTGTGTAATTTTTTTAAGAAAACCCTAATTAAATTAAATGTGATTAAGAGGGATAAAAGAACTATTATTTTAGGTTACTTATATTAAATAAATTATCTGAATATTTTACTGGGCTTGATAGGAAAATTGATACGAAAAGAATGTGCATAGTGTTAGATTGTTGTTGTCCCAGCTTTGTAAATGTGTATTATGTAATCAGATCCGAGTTTCATAATTACACTGAATAGCGTTAAAATTTGATAATTAATCTGCGGTACATATTTACAAGCTGGAAGAATATGCATATATATATATATATATATATATATGTGTGTGTATTTTCAAGTTGAAAATCTTTAAAAGCTAGGTTAAATATTTGATATCTTTATTTTAACAGTTTTAAGATGAAGAGATATAATTTTAAAAATCCATTACTTATTAACATTTAGGTAATTTTACCTGAAGATACTACTACATAAAAGAGTAAAACACCTATAGAAACAAAATGTTTTTTAATCCATTTATTTGGAATATTGCACTGTTCATTATGTTAAATTATAAAATGTTCATCAAGCTGTATGTAATATTGTGACAATATTTTGCTTTATTATAGGAAAGTAATATAAGAAATAAGAAATAAGATAAACTAAAACAAGGTACTGTCGATCAGCCCATTGGAACTATAACCCAAAAGCTCGAAAGCTTATAAAAGATAATATATACGTCCCGTGTTGCACCTATGGGTGAAATTTGATGGCGTTACTGCTCATGTCTATAATGGAACATATGAAATGACTGATACTTTAAAAGGTTTTACTTTTACTAATATTGCTAAGTTGTAAAGATCAAGAAATCAGGTTTTCTTTTAAAGAAAAAAAATATGAGTATGTAACCCCCTGTCTATTAGGAAATGTCATGACACAAAGACTGGGTATGAGAATAAATTTGACTTTTGAGGCGGTACTATGAAATGTAATGACCCTCTAAATTCTGGTAATTTTTTTTTGTTATTAAGTACTAGCATAAATATAATTCTTTCTCTGTGGTTACTCTCCAGAGTATTACAGTAAAATAATACATATATCTTGAGCTTTTCTTTTGTAAAACATGAAATACGTAGTTAACATCTTTATCAAATATAAGCTGTAGTTTTTTCTTTTTTTTTCTTTATTTCAGAAAGACATTTTTCATTAACTGCATTAAATACTTTATATCATATTTGCATAGAGTAACCCGCGGCCACGTATAATACCAAATGCTTTCACAAAATATTCAAAAATATACAATATATTGTAGAAATAAAATATTATAAATTAAGTCTTTTTTTTCATTTATTAAAAAGTCTGTTGTATTAAAATTAATACCCTCAATTCTTAAATAATCCACAGTGTTTAAAAAGACACTATTCCTAATCCGCATTGTTTTTTCCATACTATAATATGATTAACATTGGTTAAACCCATTGAGAATCATAAACAAAAATAAAAGAATAAAAGATCGTTGTTCTCAAGAGAACTGTGTAATCGGTTTCCTGATTGGGCGACAAATATTCGGTAACGACTAAAATAGACAAGGCAAGCCACCTTGTATAACAGACAAAAAGGCTAAAATAATTTATGGTGCACTGCACCCCCGACGGGGGTCGAACCCGCAATCCTCAGATTAGAAGTCTGAAGCGTTATCCAATTACGCCACGGGGGCATGTGATTGAAATGACACGTGGCAACAAAGTTTTGTAGCACACACATTATAGTTAAAGTTCGATCCGGACAAGTCTAGTAAATATAAAAATATAATCATTATCCAATTTATCTAGAGTAAAAAGAGCTGCAACTATAAGTTTCATTAATAAAATGGTTTTTATTTATTTTCTTTTAAATTTATAGATATTTTAGTTATATTATATTATATTTATAAATTATTTTTTTATACTTTATAGTATTTCTAATATATTTATTATTAAAGATTTCTTTTTATTTTTCAATTTTTTATTTTGATTTTATTATTAATAATTGCTATAATACTTTAAGTAAAATAATATAATATAACTTCTATAAACATATATAAGAGAATATTCTAAAACTATTCATTAACTGACTTTATTAAAAATATAAAGATTTTTATATAAAAGTACAGAATTTTAACTATAAAATAGTGATTTTTTCTTTTAATATAGTGACATTCTCAAATTAATTTAAACAAACTCTCAAGTTGATTTAAATTAATTTCTAAGTTGATTTAGACAACCTCCTGAGTTGTTTATTTTCTAGCTGTGGTATAAATACCACAATTGAGTGAAGAACAGATCTTACAGCTAAATACTGGTCCTTATTGCTAATGAATCTGACAAGTTAACAATTTCCAGAAGTGTTATACACCAGGTACATATATATTACATACTCATATAGTGTAAATCAACTATTATATAACAGAGATTTGAATTACAGAGATTTAATAGTAATAGATATAAATAATATTATTTTGTCTCTTTAATAAATAACACTCTCACAGTATCTACTTTTCCTATTATTGAGATACTAACCCATAAACAATCCCAAATACTGCAGCTATTATATATAAAATCAATATTGTATAACAAACATCATTTTAATTTAGCTATCAAACATTTTAAAGCTGAAATAAAAATAAATGATATGAGAAACAATATTAATTATTATACAAAATACAAAACAAAAAGCTTTTTTTTAAAAAAATAAACAAAATAAAATGAAACAAAATAAAATAAAGTAAAATCTATATAAACACTCAGCTAAAGATTTATCTATACTTTATATCTTTTCATTATTCCTGTAATAAAATAATTTTTAAAACATAATATATCAGATTTACTTGTTGTTGTATCCAACATAATCATAGATTCAAATAGAGTGCACAGACAATAAGACAAAGACATATTGAATAAGCAACCAGTATCAATTATACATTATTTCTCACACTATCATTAAATAAAAAATATACCAATAACAAGGTCACACACCTTAGTCAACATCACTAATCACTCAAACAAGAGCGTAGATAATAACTTAACAATATATCATCTATGATATAAGAAAATAGATATCACATAATATATTCATATCATTATCTCAAATACATACACAATGTCTATATAAACTCATATAGCAAATAGTAATAGGAAATCATTTCTCTTTATATCAGTAAACAAAGTCTCATCATACTTCTTATCTGCACTTTGTTTTTCTTTCTTTTTTTAAAAAAGTATAACAATATGTAGCACATGTCATATACGTATGCCTTGTCAAATGACTGACATTTCTTCTTATCAAACTTATATACAGTGGTGTTTCATCATAATTCCTATTCTTCTTTCTCTCATCTTTTATTATGAATCCAACATCTCAAAGTATCCCATGTGGTATTTCAGGTACGAAACAATAGAAAAATAAAATATTTGATAATAGAGATGTATAGAAATACTTTGAGACTGTATATCAGTTGTCTTTATTCATAAATAAAAAGTGTCCCTTTTTATAAGAAAACACAATCTGCTCTTGTCATTACGTCTTAGTTTCTTAAGGCTTTCTTCCTTTACTATATTTGGTTATTAGAGTGTATTTACTGCTTAACTAGTGTCGGTGTTACAATTATGACATCAAGTCATAAATCGTACTTCTTTAGCTCTTAGCTATTCTTTTCTCTTTTATACTAGAGCTTTAGGACTTCCTACTAAATTAGCTCCATATCGATCTGATACAGTTTACCCGGCAGTATGATATAATTATCTTAACAATCTTTAAGATATTATCTACAGTACTCACTGTAATAATTATTGGGCTGATTACTTAATCGTTTATATATATTTTATACTGACAAGATGATAGCTACTACGCTATCCCAATATGAATATGTTCTTATATGTGATAAATCCAACATCTGAGTGTCTGGATCACCACAACTCTCACAGTATCTACTTTTCCCATTATTGAGATACTAACCCATAAACAGTCCCAAATACCTCAGACTTTTTCTTTGTATTAAAATAAATGTTTCATTTTATTTGCTTTTTCTTTTATTTTAATGTGTTTATATAAATATACATACATCTATATATTTACCATTCCTCTATCATTTCGTCACCATCATCACCAAGTTCATCAGCATCTTTTATGATAGCTGCAGTAGCAGCAGCAGCAGCAGACATTTTCTTGGTTGATGTTTCTTCTTTCTTAAATGGACTCGGATGAGACATCTTATTATATCTATTTTGAATCCAAAATCAAATATTAATACACATCTTGATCCCAAATATCAGCAACACTAAAACTATACACTTACGCTCTTGTCAATGCTGTCTTTTGTGCTGTCGAGATTTCAGATATTGGTTGATTCTTGTTAATTTCCATTTCACTCAAAGAATCTAAGCTCTCTCGGCTAAGATAATATGCATCCATGGTTTCGATAGTTTCTTTGTATTTTCCCTAAAAAAGCAAAAATAAATACATGTTAGTCAAATAGAAATACTAGAAACAAAAGCTTTCAAACTTGCATTTTTCCACGATGAGAAAATACGTTTGTTGAGTGCAGGGATGTAATGGCGTCTAATTTCAGATCTTGTAGTAGCTGCTTTAAATCGCATATGTGTCTTGACTCCGTGCAACTGTCTTTTGTTCTTTTCTGTTTTGGAATTCTGACCCATCCACCTACACAAACCAAGTCAGTTTGCCTTAGAATTGTTATTGTTGTTTCTAAAGTATTTTAGAATCTTACGAAGTAAAGTTCAAGCGCCCATATGAACCTCCTTTTATTTCGCCTTTAATAAAAGAAGCAGGTCGAACGCAAGACATAATAGAATGAATTGGCAAAAGGGACCAATCTTGAGTGCGTCTAATATATAAAGGTGTGAGTTTAGTATATCATGCATATTAAACCAATTTTTTTTTTATTTATTTACCCATGAATAGTTGCGTCAATAATATCACCATCTGCTATTGATTCCGACGCTGAAGCCATAAGCTTGAGCTTCATAGCCTCTGTGATACGCGGATTTCCCATATTATTTGAAAGATTGGCACGGTCAGGTTCATATTTTATATAATTTTCCTGTAAATATTTATAGGAATTATTATCAGTCAAGTAATTAGTAGCCATATACACAGTTGTGTATGTATGTATGTAGTATTTTGAATACTTACAGCTATCATCAAAGGAGCCATCATGTAGTCTTGAAAATATATATCCGATTTCTCATTAATAGATTTCTTATCCCACGACTCCGAGTTCATTAGACTTGAGGGTATATCGAACAGCTGGAGTTGAGAATCCTTGAAGGATTTTTCACCACTAAACACAGTGTTTATTGTCAACAAATGAGATATCGATATTCTTGTCCTATTATTACTATTATTAACAAACTCACATTGATTTTGCCTTGTTTGGATCCATGACCTCGTCTGCAACTTGATAGGTAGAGAGAATATTGAGGATTTGACGGATATCATTTTGAGTAGAATCCACGAGTTGATCAATCGCAAGAGGTGATATTTTAAGCTTTTCTCTAAAACATAACATTTAGCTTGACCAATCATTCTACCTTTTCTTTATAAAAATAAATAAATACAATCTTACACACCTGAATGCAATGGTCATAATTCTAGATCTCAACTGATTCGCAGGAGTTCTATATTTAAAAATGCACATAAATAAACAAGATATTTGATATTTGATATTTATATATATATAAACTGCAGACTGAATATTATACATATGTTTTCTTTTGTGCTTACTTTGTGAATCGGGCATCAAAGCAAACATTGATCAAGGGTTGAACCTTTTGGGATCGAACATCGTTACAGACACATATGACAGGAATCTAATTGACCAAAGAAAGAAAGAAAGAGAGAAACGGATAAGTAAGACGTAAAGTAATATCAACTACAAAGCCATCCATTTTTGTTTTTATACTAGACATATCTTGCCTTTGTTTTTCTGATAAGAGAAGCCAGCACAGCCGCACCTCCTCTGTCACCGGATGTCATTCCATCAACCTCGTCCATAATCAAGACGACCTTTTTGGTCTTTTTGGGAACTTCATTCTAAAACAAGAATAGTAATAATTTACACGCAAATCTTAGTTGTCAAGTATTTACCACCGCTATTATTATTATTATTATTAATGAAGCAAATGTTAAATATATATATGTATAAATATATTAGAAACATACATCCTTTGGCCTGGCAACAAAAAACTCTGTCATTGTCCGATTATCAACCATTTCAGAGATATTATCCTAAATATAAGTAAAGATAATAATAATAATAATTGAAGAGTATCAAGGTAACGAAAATAAAGCAATAATGGCAATGAGAATTGGATCACACAATGATTACTCAATAACAGTCAACTTACCTCCAAAACCTTTCTGCTTCGCACATCGCTTGCATTGAATTCTAAAACTTCATATCCACATGATTCTGCAACCACATGGGCAGTTGTTGTCTTTCCAATCCCCGGAGGACCACTGATCAATATCGACCGAAAGAAACTCATATTGTTCTTATCATATCTTTCCTTGATGCCCTTTGCGCGAGCATCTGCATATTTTTGCCTGAGAATACATTATCGTTCAAGATAAATATGAATATAATAACCTCCCAAGAATTTTTCTTTTAAAAAAAAAGCCATACAATGTAATAGCAATCACAAAGGATCTACTTTTACTATTACGACTACAGAACAAAAGAAGAAAAAAACCAATATCTCACCAATTCTCAAGCCATTCAACAATTCTGCCAACCAAGATTTTGTTGCCAACGATTTCTGAAATCTTTGTAGGTTTATATTTTTCTGTCCAGAGCTGATTGGTAAGTGGGATTACTGGAGTACTTGTACTTTTGATTTAATAAATAGATGAGATTGAACAATGAAAGAAACAAAGAAAGAAAAAAAAAAGCTGTCAAAATGATTGTCCTTGTAATATATATATGTATAGAGAAATAAATAAGTAATTACTTGGATGTTGATTTAGCAGCTGATGCTGATGTCGATGCTGTGGTCGTCATGGATGCTGTCAAGAATAGTTGATCCCTTTTAGACAGTAGATTTACTCAGGGCTAATATGCTGTCACGTATCAACCAAGGATGTCTGAATAAGCCGCATTTGAACAGTCATAATGTCAATCTTTACTTTGATTGTCTTGATAGATGCACCTCCTCTTTATTTTTTTATTATTATTATTTTTTAAATATTTATTTTATATATATTTTATATTTTATACATATATATATTGTACACCTTTGTAGATTGATCAAAATTAGCCAAAAAAGGGATGTTATTTAATCTCGATCGGAATCTTGTAATCGTGAAATGATCCATTTAGAGATCCCATTTAGACTACAACTTTTGTATGCTTATCTGGATAAGTTCAGTAATCCACAAATTCTACTCAATACCTTTTTTTAATAAAAGAAAGCATAAGTATAATTATCTATATACAAAATAACGAACGAACAAAGTAATTGGTTATAAGCTGTTGTCCTGAAAGAATAAACCTTTATTCTATCCATCTCTTTTTATTAATTCATAACGAATGCTTCTTATATATATATATATATAGCAAATTAAAAATTATACTCTAACAAATCAATGTATATCTATAAATTAATAAATTGCATGTTTAATTTATGCCCTGAACAGGATTTTTTTCTTCTTCAAGAGAATCCGTGATACATTATCTAATATTCATATGTGCTTGTAACAATCAAAGCTAGTATAGAGTCAATATTTTAAAGCTGTCTTACTGTTTACATATATATATCATTTTACCCTTTTTTTTTCCAGTTGTTAAAAAAAAAAGAAAAAAAAAGCAATTATGTTGGTTGCAAGTTTTGCAGGGCTGAAAATATTATTCTAAGTGTTACCATGGGTACCTTGGTGCTCCAAGGAATTCATCATACAGAGATGTTCCCTTGCTCTCCCCCCTTCTTTTTCTCTATTTTGTTTTTCTTTCAACTGAACATACCAACTGCTATATAATGATCAAGCGGAGTACAAAGCCTGTGTACCTTAAAAAATGCTTTGCTGTTCCTGTCATTTCCTCTTCTTTTAGTTGCCAGAAAAAGAAAAAAGTCTAGCATATAGACATACAAGAACAAATAAAAAAAAAGTAAGCAAGAAAGGTTAGCATTACATTTAACCTACAATGATATTAAAAATCTATAAGAAAAGAAAAGAAAAACAAATTAACTGCGCATTGTAAACTAATGAACTGCCCCCCCTTTTTTTTTTGAAGGATAATAAAGAAGTTTGGTTTATTTTTTGATATTATAATGACGAGCCAACCAATTGTTGATATCGAAGAAAACAAGTACAAGGATTGCTTGGCCTGTAAAATCACAGGTGCAACTGCATTTTCTGCCCTAGGTGCCTATGCACTCAAAGAATCGTCCGTAATGTACAAGATTCCAAGCAAGTCTGGACAGGCAGTAGGACTTGGTGTCATTGGTACACGTAAGTAAAGCCACGATAATTTAACATTTCAATCGAAAATAATTTTCTTGCCGCTTTTGTCTAGTCTTTATTTCTGCCGGTCTGTATAGACTGATACTCTAAGTTCATTCATCACATTACAAAGTTATTGTGAATTTTTTTGTTAAAAAATAAAAATAAAAATAAAGAAATCTATTGCTTATACATATAATTTACGTATTAATTGTTTACACCAACAAAAAATAAAGAAGTGTATTATCAAATATATATATATATATATTATTATTAAAAAGGTGTATGAGTGTGTATGTGTATATATGGGATAGAATACTATCATATCAATGAAAGTTTAATTCCTTTATACCTGTACGGCTTGTGACATCACTTGCAGGAATGTGACTTGCAGCGCGTCCCAATTAAACGCGTAGTTTTCTAGACAAGCGCGACAGAGACAGCAGATAGAAGTAAGCACGCGTCTTTACCCAAAACAGAAAGATATTATGAGTGGTAGATCTCAATGCCATTTTGATTTGTTTTGACATATCGACAATTTCAATTAATAAGATATGGTCAATAGGGTTCTTTAGTCAATCAACACAAGCTAGTAAAGGAGGATATGATTCCCATGGTGGCGATGACGGAACAGCAAAGGTACCTTTTTTTATTTTTTTTTATTTGTTTTTTGTTGAGCTGTCATTTCTCCCGTACTCTGCCTGCCGGCCTGCCTGCCTGACTGCCTGACTGTCTGGCTGCTTGTCTCTTCTTTGAACAATACTCATAATATTCTTTTTTTTTTCGTATAAAATATTATGTATATACTTTAGAAACCCACCGCAGACCAGACTTTGAGAGCTGTTACTATCAAACAAATCAACACTGCTACAATTCTTCCAGACAGTAAATTTAAAATCGACGATGCAGAGGTGGCAAATGTAAGTTTGGTTTACTGCGCATTTGGGATTCAGTGTGTAAAGCATATACTTTATTTATTTATTTATTTATTTATTTCTTTATTTTTTATTAAACAACACCGACGATATCAATTAGATTACTTTTGTTGCTACTATTCGCAAAGTGACTGAACAGGCAAGCAGCACAAATTACACTGTAGAAGATGGTACTGGTGCTATTGATGTTGTATTCTGGGGTAATCAAACCGACACTGAGGAAATCTTGGCCAAGAGACGTGAAATGACGTATGTTTCTTTCTCTTGTATCCATGTGTGTGTGTGTGTGTGTGTGTGGAGGTGGGGGGATATGCCGTATATGAATAACTAAAGATAATTTACTTGTCCAAAGTGTAAACACATATGTCCGTGTCTTTGGTCGCCCACACAGCTTTGGCAAGCACACAAATTGCTCTGCTTTCACAGTACGCCCAATTGTTGATTTCAATGAAATTGCTTATCACTTTATTGAGTGCGTCCACTCACATCTTACATTTACAAAGTCCTCAAAGGTAATTGACTTTTTATTTTTATTTTTGTTTGCGCGCCAAGGAAATACTTGGATCTCATGACAAGAAATTTGCTTCTCTTGCTCTTTCTCTTTGTAGAGCTCTGATATACAGGTGGTATCATCCGGTAATGCCAACACATCCGGAAGAGCATTGAACGATCAGATCATTAGTTACATTGAATCTTGTGGTGAAAGTAGTGACGGTGTCCACATTGAGGATATCATTAATAAGCTCAGGGGTCTCCACACCGCAACTAGTGTGAGAACAGCCTTGGAGAATCTTACCAATGAAGGTCACTGCTACACTACTTCTGATGATTACCACTTTAAATCCACTGCTAATTATTAACAGAAACAAACAAACAATAAAGTAAATAAGAAAGAAAGAGATATATATATATTATAAATAAAAGTGGATCACTTGTGAATTTTCATTATTAATGATAAATGGGCCAAGAACTAAAAAAATATATATGTATAGACAGATATACATTGGCTTGTTATCAACGAAAGAGGTACATAAAGAGTGCATATTTAAGATGGTCTTCAGGCCAAAAAAAAATTATGTAAATAGGTCTATAGATACTGTAGATGTTGTAGACGTATGGATCTCTCTCTCTCTATATATATATATGTGTGTGAGTGTGTGATTGATCACTCGTGCTCTATCAGAGACACACTCCATCAATATAACAAACAAAAGATAAATAAAATCAAACGACTGTTGTCCATTTGATGAATAGACATTTGTTTTTGTCTGTGCTCCACCCCCTCCTTTATGCTAAACAGGCCAATCCTTTTATTTTATTTTATTTTATTTTATTTTATTTTATTGTAAGAAAATAATAATATCGTCAATTTCTTGTAGCTGATATATAAACACTATCTTTATCTGTCTATCTATCTATTTATTCGTTTATTTTATTTTGCTTTCCTTTGCTTTGCTTTGCCTTTATCTTTTGTCAAAAGAACTCAAATATATACCTCGCTCTCTTCTCTTCTTTATCACAACAACATGCAAAACACTATGTCAGTTGTAACCTGCTACCTCTGTGGTTCAGGTAAAACTTATTACTATTATCCACCAAAAAGTTTAATTCAATGTGTAAACGTACTCAAACCAATTCAACAAAACAAAAAACAGATCGACACAAATCAAGCGACTGTGCAAGTATCTTCTTTAATATACCTCTTCTTAAATATATATATATATATATATATATATATATTTGCTTTCTGTAATGATTCATCTTTCATGTTCTGACTAATTTTCTTACTTGTATTTTTATTTTATTTTTGCTTTACTCTGTCTTACCCTACTGTATTCGTAACTTGATTCTTATTAGCCACAGTAAGTATTCGTAAACCAAGCAATATTTCGGTTTCTTGTTGCCTTTGGTGTATTAAACGTGCAATCTAGTTATGTAAAATCCTACTGGAGACTATACACTACCGTCGAATCGCTAGCCACAAAAATGGTCTCGCCTTGATATGAATGTTCAATAACCTGAACTGTTTGCAATTATCTTTTTTTTTTTTGGATTTCATTATATATATATATATATTACATATTTGCTTCTTTGCTTCTTTGCTTTGACTTTAATCCTTCTTCTTTACTATTACCATTGTTTCTATTTTTTGTAACTGTTCTTGGCAAATGCTTTTTTATTATTATTAAAAGAAGAGATTATTTGAATAAATAAATAAATAAATATATTAATAAGTATATAGAATAGCATAGAATAGCATAGCATAGCATAGCATAATATAATATAATAATGATACTTAATTAATGAAGAAAAGTAAATGTATCAAGATGCTCCTATTTCCCGCGCCCTTATTATTTATCTTTTTTTTTTTTTTGTGCAAAAAATACATATTAATGATTAGTGAGTTTTGTTCACATTTACTAGCAAGGGATGAGTTAATTTCTCTTATATATATTTATATTTATATTTTTATTATATAACAAATAGCGGAGATTAGCGTACTTTCATGTGCCTATGTGATGTGTATGTGTGCTTATAATTAAAAGTTGAAACAACCAACCAACCCAAATAAATAAATAAATAAATAAATAAATAAAAAGACTTTATCCACCTTTTAATGTCGACCCGTTTATTTCGAGGAATCTCATGTCAAAAGTACATTTCTCAGAGTCTTGTGCACTCTAGATTATATACCGCACCAGCCCATTCATTGAAACGAACGATCGATGAGAAACGAAAGGAATCTATTCAAGGCGGAGGCAAAACAAAGAGGGATGCTCAGCACAACAAGGTACATGAAACAGAATGAAAACCAAAAAAAAAAGAAACGAACTAGATAACTAAAGTCAAGATATTGTGTGCTTTTTTTTTTTTTTTCTTCTGGGGGGAAAATTTGGAGGGTATCTAGGGAAAACTGACTGCCCGAGAACGGTTAGACCTTTTACTAGACAAGGGAACCTTTCGAGAATATGATGCATTTGTTGAGCATCAGTGCACGGATTTTGGTTTGGATGCCAAAAAGGTAGCGTACACAAACACACATATATATATATATATATATTAAGTGTACAAAGGAGAGACATATTTTTTTATATTTATTCATAATGCTTTGTGTATGTGTGTATGTATGTATGTATGTATTGAACTTATCAAACTATCTTTATATGAATGCATATATATACACACATGTATTAGATTGCAGGCGATGGCGTCGTGACTGGGCATGGAACGATCCATGGCCGTAGAGTGTTTGTATATAGTCAGGACTTTACAGTATTTGGTGGCAGTCTGTCACGTACAAATTCACTAAAGATCCTCAAAGTCATGGACCAAGCTGTGGTAGTTGGTGCTCCAATTATCGGGCTTCAGGACTCGGGTGGAGCACGTATTCAAGAAGGTGTTGATTCACTGGCGGGTTATTCAGATATATTTCAAGTAGGTTATAAAGCTGTATATATATATATATATATATAAAAGGTTTCATCAAATCACCCTATTCTTTTTATTTGTTGTTGTTGTTGTTGGGAAGATTGGTATTTCAACTAGACCAAGATCAATTGATTTTTAACTATTTATTGATTTATATATACATCATTAGAAAAACGTGTTGGCTTCTGGAGTAGTGCCTCAATTGTCACTTGTAATGGGACCGTGTGCAGGTGGTGCGGTCTATTCACCCGCATTGACGGATTTCATTTTTATGGTGCGTGATACTTCACACATGTTCGTTACCGGACCAGATGTCGTCAAGACCGTGACAAATGAAAAGGTCGATCAAGAAGTATTGGGCGGGGCAATCACTCACACGCGAAAGAGTGGTGTGGCCCACAATGCCTATGCCAATGACATTGAAGCACTTCAAAGGTAATACAATTGTGTGCGTATATATATATATAAGAAAAGAAAGAGAGAGAGAAAGAGAAGTTGGGGTTTATTTATATAGTTGTATGAATTAATGAATTGATGGGTTGATTGTCTAACTGGACTTGGCTTTGGTTTTGTTAGGATGCGTGATTTCTTTGACTATTTGCCGCTTTCTAATCGAGACCAGGTGCCTGTTCGAGTTTGTGAAGACCCACTAGACCGAGAAGATGCTGCACTAGACACAATTGTACCGACACACTCCAATGTAGCGTACGACATGCAAGAAGTAATTTCAAGAGTAAGTTTCTACAATAACAGTAACAGTAACAGCAACAGTGACGGTAATAATAGCTGGTACATCTATCTTATATATAATTATTTATTTTTTTATAAAATTTTTTAGATCCTCGACAAACACTCTTTCTTTGAACTTGCACCAGAATACGCCGGAAACATTATTGTTGGCTTGGGTCGTTTGGGAGGCAAGACGGTTGGAGTGGTGGCCAACCAGCCGCTGGTGTCATCCGGTGCACTGGACATTGATGCTTCTGTCAAGGCGGCTCGGTTCATTAGATTCTGCGACGCATTCAATGTCCCGCTTGTGACCCTGGTGGATGTACCGGGTTTTATGCCCGGCACAGCCCAGGAGCACGGTGGAATTATTCGCCATGGTGCAAAGCTCTTGTATGCCTATTGCGAGGCGACCGTACCAAAATTGACTGTCATTACCAGAAAAGCGTATGGTGGAGCATACATTGTGATGAGTTCCAAACATTTACGAGGAGATTACAAGTTAGGATCATTTTGTTTTGACAATTGCTATATCATTTTTATTTTTTATTTTTTTTTATTGATTGTTATTCCTTGCTTACCTGCTATATATATATATATATATATGTAGTGTGGCATGGCCCTCAGCTGAAATTGCTGTCATGGGCGCATCAGGTGCAGTTGAAGTAATCTTTAGAAACCATCATGACAAGCCAAAAATGGAAGCTGAATACCAAGAGAAATTTGCAACACCACTGTCAGCAGCAAGACGAGGATATCTAGACGATATTATACAGCCGAGGCAAGTATATATATATATTTGAGATGAACTTATTGATTTTATTTTATATAATAGAACTACACGGGCTCGTTTAATAGAGCAGTTGGATCTGTTAAAGACAAAGTCTATCCAGAATCCATGGAAAAAACATGGCACAATCCCTCTTTAATGCATACACATATATATATATATTAATTGATTTGAAAACTATATGTAAAATATAAGATATTAAGATAAAATCAAAGAAAAAAAAAAGTCTATTTTTGTTGTTGCTGTAAGAGTCATATAATATAAATATAATGTAGTATACTATATGAGACAACAAGAAGATGTATTTACTCAAGTGTATATTATTATTATTACATTGAATTATGTGTGCGTATACATTTGATTTCTTTTCTTTCTTCTCTAGAGATAATACTAATGTACAGATATTTTGGTTTCATCTTGTCCAGTCTAGTAGTATAATTAAAATACCTTGGTTTAAAAGCACAAAAGGCACACATAATATATATTTAGGTGTAACAAATGCCTGGCTTTTGAAGAGTAGTACTTACTGTTCTGTTCTGTCCTGTACTGCACTGCACTGCACTGCACTGCACTAAAATAATAATTTTCTTTTAAAGAATAAAATAGAATAAAGAATTATAGGACAGTATGGTGTAATGTAGTGTACACAGTAATTAAAATTTAAGAGAAGATATTTTATTCAACTGCTGTCTGATCCAATTATTCGGTTATCGGACAATAAATTAAATATCCCACCGAGCACATATAGTTAGATAGGCGATGTAAAAAAAAAAAAAAAAAAAGAGAGAGGCACATAAATTGCGATTTTTTCTAACAAAAAATCAATGCGCCGCCAAAAAAATGGGCGTGGAGTTAAATATGATTAAATGATTAAATGAATTTACAAAAATATACTTTTATATATATTTTTTTTATTCCGTATAGACTGTGTGAATTTTATTATTAAATGCCATTATTGTGTAAGTGTAAGGTGTACACTGTACAGTGTACAGTGTGTAGTGAATATATATATATATATATAAAGATTGGATTCTTTTTTCTTATATAGATTGAGTACGTATATAAATGAATGAACTATAGAGAGAGAGAGAGACATAGTTTTCGGAGACTCATTCTATTTATTCAATTATTGCCTTTTGGCTATTAAAGACATTGTGTACCTGGGAATTACTAAGAGGTTGGTGACAGCTGTCGTAGTATTTATATTGGTATTGGTATTTGACGGCTAATTGTTTATTCACATCAATGATTTTGTACCATTAATATCCAACCAACCAAAAAAAGAAAAAGAAAAAAGAAGGTTGATGTCAAGGTTGGTTTTGAACGAGGGTTTCAACTCTAATTCTGGCTATATTATTATTATTAAATAAATAAATAATATTCTCACAAGCTTGTGTAGTGGGAACTTTTATCTTCTATCTGTTTTTCTATTGGTAGTATATCTAAATTCATGAGAAAGGATGTTCTTTGATAGATTTTGTTACAAAAAAAAAAAAAAAAGAAACATTGGAACGGAAGTTCAATAATTGTAAATCTCTCATCAAGAATCAATAGGTGCATTTGAGAGAAATAGATTTGCTGCTACCATTGCTGCTACCATTGCTGCTACCATTGCCGCTGTTGTTGGTTCTTCAGGTTAAATAAATATCTCAAAATAAATAACAATTCGCATGTAAACTATGAGGGAGATTTTTTTTTAGATTTATTTGATTGGCAGCAAAACGGTTCTTTCGATTCATATGTATGTATGCATACATAAATATATATTATGCCCTCATCTCATATCAGATCAGAGCACAAACATCCTCATACGTACTAAGCTAGTTTTTTTTTAAAAAAAATAAAAAAGAATCTCACGCTTCTTATTCTTTCCTTTCTCCTTCTTCTAGTGATTTAAATATATATTTCTATCTTGGACCCCACAAACACATAAATAAATAAAAAAATATAAATATCAAGCTTGTAATCTGTGTCTCGGGAAAATGAGGATAAAAAAAATGTGTGTGTGTGTGTGTGTGCATGCGAATTCAACCTTGAGGCATACTGTGCTCCAGATGTGTATGTGTACATGCCGATTGATCTTATTGGCCAAATCACAATTGTCTCATCTTCCACATTAATGTGAGAATAAATAAAAGTTATACATAGCTGTCACTTTTATTTAGATTGGTTTGCTCTTCTTTATTGACTATTCTGGATCTTGACCGCTACACCTTTTTGTATACAAAATTCTTATTTAACTTGCAACAGCCACGGGCATTTTGTTTCCATGTGGCCAAAAAAAATATTAATAATAACAATTCATTGGCATCATAAGAAATTTTATATACAAAAATTTTTCTTGTAGCTTAAAAAAAAAAAAAAAAAAAAAAAAAAAAGACTAGAAATTAATTGATCAAAAATTGAACCTCTAGTCAATTAACCTTTCTTTATTCTTTTTTTTTTGTTCCGCAGTAATTGGGTTTCCCTAGTCACAATGTGTTGGGAAACCACAGAATAAAATATTTTAAAGGGGATCATTTTCTGTTTACAAGGCTAGCAAACCAACAAACGATAATTTATTTATTTTTGACTTTTTCTTCATTACCTTTCAAGAAAGAATTTATTCTCTGGTATTAATTGGGCTGAGGTCTTGTTTCTCTTTGTGTGCTTATTTATATACATAAATTTTGTATTCAAAATGCTTGGGTAGTGTTGCACTACAAAGTCTGGCACCAAACAGCAGCAGTTACACCACAGGGCACGTTCCTGACTATTTTATATATGTGATTTGATTTTATTTTTTTTAAAGAAAGAAAGACAAACAAACAAACCAAGAAATAAATAAATAAATAAATATTTATCATGACTAACATGCACGCTATCTCTTGTAGACTCTAGATTGGCTCAACCACACATACAAAATATAACAAAAAAATAAAATAAAACAATTGTATAGGATGTTGATCTGACTGAGAATGATATATTAATATAATATAATATTTGAATTTATTTTTTTTGGAGATTTTGTGATTTGATGACCAAATTGCCTCATATTTTACAGATATTAGAGGTTCAAATCAAGCTTGACAAAATAACAAGACTATTGAATGTCTTTTATTGACCATAATCATAAAGACATAAAGACTAGCAGACTGGTAGAGACACAAAAAAAAAACAGAGATCTGTGTGTCTGTGCCTATCTTATGTATCTGTATCTGTATCTGTATGTATGTATATATATATATATATAAAGGAATTATATAATAGAGATACATGGTAGATAAACTCTTGTATCTTTTATGTACTTTTTGGTTAGGTTTCTCATGATAGAAAATCTATAGGGCAGCACAGTACACAAAAAGGATACATATTTGTACTTTAATATCTAAAATAAAAGATACAATTTTTTTTTGAGCGGGTCATTCAGGCTTGATATACCATTTAAAGCATCTTTTGCTTTCTCTAATCTATTCATTCAGACGATCGTTCTCCGGTCAAAGTCAGGCTCCGAGTCTGAAGATCTCTCTCTCTCTCTCTTGTTCTTTGTATTTTTATTTATTTATTTATTTATTTATTTATTTATTGTGATTATGCTATTACCTTGCTGATTGTTGATTTATGTAAACAAAAAAAAAAGTGTTATCATGTTATCAATACTAATTTTTTTTTCTCCCTCCCTCTCTTCCTTGGATACCTTGCCCTCTACCTTTGGATCTCAGCTATAAAAGAAGCAGAAGCAGAAGCAGAAGCAGAAGAAGAAGAAAACTAGAGGAATGTAGTATTGAAATGTATATAGAAATAATCAAGGTGGAATGAAGAAAGAAAATAAAAAAAAAGAACGGCAAATTATTCAATGCTTAATTGATTGCTCATTAGCTATTAAGAACAACAACAAACTAAAAAAAAACAATAATTTATATACAAAATATACCCCCCCTTTAACACAATTTTATTTATTTATTTATTTGTAACAAACATATTCATTGATTCATTGATCCAGTAAATCAATCAATAAACTGTTTATTTTATTTTATTTTATTTTTTTTTTCATTAGGGGTCTTTTCCTCTATTAGTCTCTATTGACCTCTCTTACACACACACACAATGCCAGTCTCTGTATATTGTTGTATTTATATAAAAGTCTATCTGGTTCGAGATCAGAGTCTATTGGCTTAGTATTTTTTTTTGGGGGGTTGGAAGGACAAAAGTGTGAGGGTAAAGGGAGCGGGTAACCAACATACGGGCATTTCTATTTTATTATGATTATTTGGTGTGCTTTAAATAAATAATTTATATATAAAAGGCCTCCCGCTTCTCTGTCATGCCGATCTTGTGACTGATAACGTATCTACCGTTATCGCATGCAGCCATATTTTTTTTATTACTTATCCACGTAGAATAAATTTCTATTTGTGGAAGTAGCCCTGAGCCCCACTGTTGCAAACTATGCAATCTTTCCATTGGTCTCTTATTCTCTCTCTCTCTTTTCTTTTCTTTTCTTTATATCATTTCTATCTAATATTTATGGGGGGACCTGAGAGTATTTTGAATTTAATTTTTTTTTGTACCTTATCATTAATTCAATTGTTGCTATTCTATTTAAGAAAGAAAGAAAGAAAGAAAATTTATATATATATATTCTAGCAACTAGAATAATCTAACTAAAGCATATATAATAAATATACATATTAAACCAAGGGGAAGAAGGAATAAAAGACGGGGAGGGACCAAAAGGGACAAAAGGGATATGATGGGGACACACACAAAAAAGAGAGAGATGAGGCGATCCCTTGAAGGATTCCGAAAGACTTGGTGTCACACACGGTGTCAAGGAAACGCTCGTCATTTGATGCAGCCATTTCACCATTAAAAACGAGACTTTGCTGGGCCTCTCTTACAAATGTCGCATTTCTCTTTTCCCTTTTCTTTTCTTCTTCTCTATCCTTTCTTTCTTACCTTTTCTCAACTTCACTATATCCTGCTAGATTTTTTTTATTCATTTATATAAATAAATTCTTACGATACGATACAATACAATATCTCTTCCTTTAACCCTATCAATAAATCAATAAATCAATCAAGAAATGTACTCACAGCAGAAATACCGACACATGGGAACAACATCAACACCCTTTGGACACACCTATCCAACCAACCCTTTTATGCCACTACTGGACGGTCTAGCAGTCGGTGACCTCGAGCCATCTCCACCACTCTCCTACAATTCACTCGATACTTTTGCCCACGGCTGGCCCGAGGAAGACTTGACGATGGACATCAACTCTCGCCTTTTTGGTTTCGATATCATGGGTCTCAACGTCGATAATAATAGCTATTATGGTCACGGTCATGGTCACGGTCATGGTCATGGTCACGGTCTGGTCAACCAACACGATCACAACACAAACAACAGTAACAACACCAACAGTACTTCTTGTCCTTCTCCTCTGTTGGATTATTATTCACGTACAACAGATTATATCAATCAAACCCCGGCAGCAACCCTACAATCACAGGTACAATTGCAGGTACAATTGCAGGCTCAATTGCAGGCACAAGCACAGCTACATCTTCAAGCTCAGGCTCAGGCTCAAGCTCAGGCGCAAGCACAAGCACAAGCACAAGCACAGGCGCAAGCTCAGGCTCAGGCTCAGGCTCAGGCTCAGGCTCAATCTCAGGCTCAGGCGCACGCACAAGCACACGCACACGCACACGCACAATTGCAGGCACAGGCCGAACCAACCACATACCCTCAACTGTCTCACGTGCACCCTCTTCAAATCCTGACCCCCTCTGCACACCCCCAACTCTCTCACTTTTCAATGTCAATGGACAGCATGTCGCACGACCTGTTCAAAGACAACCTCTACCTAGACTCCCACCTATTGTCCGAAATCCACTACCCCAGTACAGAATCAAGTCTAGAAGATGCAAACGACCATTCGGATCTCTGTGACTCAGACAACCTTCACAGTCACCATAGTCACCATAGTCACCACAACCCACAAGTCTTCTTTACAGATTCGCCGCTCTCTGCCGAAGATGAAGACAGTGCAACCCAACACAGTGACGCGGACTACCAGATTGAAGACGAATATAATAAAAAGAATATCCAGAGCCTCAACATCAACCTCAAACTCAAGCTCAATAAAAAACACAGCCTTATTGACGAAGAAGAAGATGAAGAAGATGAAGATGAAGCTGAAAACGACGAAAATGACGAAAACGACGAAGACGATATTGATGATGATGATGAAGAAGACGACTATGATGATGACCCAGACTGGTTGATGTCCGGCTCACTCTCGACCTCCCGAGGCTCACGAAAGCGATCATCATCAGGCTCACACAAGAAAAAGAGTCTGTCCATATCGTCTTCTTCGCTCGGAACTACAAACACTACTGGAAACATTAAAGGCAGCAGCAACGGCACTACTACCATTACCACTACCACGAATAATAATAATAATAGTAGTAGTAGTAGTAGCAGCAGCAGCAGCAGTAATAGTAGTATTAGCAGCACCAGTAGCAACAGTAATACTACGCCACTACCATCCGGACCACTGGGAGAAGTCAAGTGTACTAATTGCGAGACAACAAACACTCCACTCTGGCGACGCAACCCAAAGGGAGATCCATTGTGCAATGCGTGTGGATTGTTTCTCAAGCTGCATGGCACCGTTAGACCTCTCAGTTTAAAGACAGACGTGATCAAGAAGCGCAACCGCATCAGTAATGCCAGCCATTCAAAGTCAATGCGCAGTCGGTCCAAGAAGTCTCTTTCCCATCGACGCCAACGCCGTTAAATCAAATATAAATATAAATATAAATATAAATATATGTACGTGTATGTACGTGTATGTACGTGTGTATATGTGTATATGACCATATTCTATCTCTTTATCTCTCTATCGTTTTCTATCTCTCTCTCTCTCTCTCATATTATTACTATTACTATTAATTATTATTTAATGTCTTCATGCCTTCTCTCCCTCCCTCCACTCTACATTCTACTTTCTACTTTCTATCTATCGTTTTCTTCTACCTTTTTTTTTAACATATACATTTTCTTCATACATTTATATATTCTTCCCATGCCAAACCTTCTTCATTTGCATAATACATTACATTATATTATTATAGTATAATATAAATCATTCTTTTATTTTATTATTGTACATAAAACAAGTCAGTCAAACTTATTTCAAATAAATACATATATAATATATATATATATATATTTACATACACAACATCGTTTCTTTTTTGTTTTATGGTCGGTTGGCTTCTTGGTCCCATGAGACTTTTTCTTGGTATCTAGCATGTGCAACATGACAGATACCAGGTGACCTAATCATCAAGTAACACGTGCGCTATACAATGGATTCGCCAACCGATAGGCCGGAAGTGCTTTATCTGCATTGTCTTTACGCGCACAAAAGATATGTGTTTTTGTGTATGTGTGTGTGCGTTTATTTTTATATATATTGTATACACTACATATTGGTATTATAATCCACGTTGTAAGGCACAGTATTTTTGATTGGATATAAATTCTATCTCAGACTACAAACTTCTCTAAAAAAAAAACTTTTTAAATACCGAATATTTAATAACTTTTCTTTTTTTTTTTTTTGCGTCGATGAATTTTAAAAGTTTTAAGTCCAGATGATCTTCTTTTGATCTTTTAATTTTTAATTTTAATAAAGTCCAAGTTATTAAATAAATTGAAACAAAACAGTCTACATTACAAGAGTAGTATGCTATACACTTTAATGACCCAAACAAAAAAAAAAACGTAATAATATGTATTTAAGAATTAACCAAAACCCAACTATTCAGGCCTTTGATTTACTATAATCCTCCCCTCTTTTATTTGCAGCATATATATTTATATCAATTAAAAAAAAAAAAGAATTATTACTAGTACTATTACCACACTGTTAGACCATTGAAGACTAGTGCACACACACACACATATATATATATATATACATAAAGCTTACAAGTTGATAGTCAGAAAAAAAAAGTTCATTAACAAATTCATAATACCAGATATTGGGAAGATAGTAAGAAATTATATATATATATATATATATGTATGTATGCAAAAAATGCAAGAAAAACGAAAAAGCAAACGACGCCTAGACATTTTTTTTTTTTTTTTTTACTTCTTAATTAAAAATAAATAAATAAATAAATAAATGGCTTTATATGTATATAAAAAATATACATACAACATATTTAACTGAACTTCACCTGAGTCGTTGCGGAAACTGCCAAAATAAAAATAAAAATAAAAACTATAAAATCCCCCCCTTTTTTTGTTGTGTTTTCATTCCCCCCTTCTTTTTTTTTTAAAATTTTAATTTTAATTTTAATTTCTTTCTTTTTTCTTTTTACTCTGATCGATCAAATATATATATATATATATATAATATACACAGTTAAAAACGGTTTGACCTTTGAAGCAAAAATACACACACACACAGACACAAGAGAAATCATAGCATATCATCAACATACAAGCTGTTCATTGTTAGTAATAGTAGCCAAAGCCCCAAGACTTCAAATACAAACATGATATATAATATACTTTGATACAATACAGTAAAATATTATAGCTGGCATGTCCTCTATTGTCATCAATTATAGGCCTCGAATTGATGTTGCATATTACTGTCTGCCAAAAGTTTATACAAGATCGACGCCTATTATTTGCCACTCTTGTTGCATCAAACCCTTTAAAATGATCAATATTGTCGATACTGTAAAGCTTTCACCACTCATACGCCTCTCTCTATCTCTCTCGGAAGCACCACCAGAAATACTCAATAAGAAGGAGATAAAAATTCTAGGGGTTTTGAGATCTCATCATGGTTATCATTCCAACCACCTAAAAAAAAAATATGACCCGGTATTATGGTAGTCAACGTGGGATTCTTAGAACAAGAGGTCCAAAAAAAAACAGTTCCAGATCATCAACCATCACATTAGCCCTCCTTTATCTCACTTTTGATTCTCTCGATTATAATTTCTTTTTTTTTTCTTCTTCTTCTTCTTCTTTCTTGAACCGTTTATCAGATCTCCTGATAGCCCTGTCTCCTTTATCATTACATTTCGCCTGTAAAATCTTGGTTGATCGGACCAATCGACATGCTAACGAATCCAATCCAACTCAATTCAATTCAATATAACACACCCGTAATTTCCTGGGGGTTTTTGTTAAAGCTGAATTATTGGTTATAATATATATATATAATCCAAGCTCTCTCTCTCTCCTAAAAAAAAAAAGCAATGTCCGAGACAGCCGATTAATGATGTACTTGACAGTAGTCAAACTTCATGCCGACCACCAATGAAATCTGGTTTGTACCTCAGCCTGCTAAACCCATTTACATAATGCATTCGTGCCTGTAGGGATGGCTTTTCTCATATAAATCACTAGTGTTTTCTGACAGAGATGTGTGTTGCATGTTGGATTTGATTGATAATTGGGTGAAAACAATGTTTTTATCTTGATTTTTTTTTATCCTTTTCTTTCTTTACGAGAGCCAAAGCGTTTGTGATTGTGAATGCATATACAATTTGAATAATTTTAGCGCTTACTTTATTAACAATACTTTAGATATAGATATACTAGGAGAATCTATTAGGGCACCTTGATTATCATAATTATTTTTTGAACCGCAAACAGAGTATATAGTGTAGGTGGACAATCGACCATATTTCTTACTTTGCGCATATTTTATCTGTAGAATGTTTATCTTGTATACGAAAATAATAGCACAAGATTTCTATACGATTCCCCCTCCAAAAAAAAAATAACCAGAAAAATACAAGTACTTGATGGTTTTGTTATTATACATCTAAATTATAAAAAAAAAAAAAATCTGGGTCCAAGTTTATAACAAGTCGAATATGGATTAACACAAATATCTTTCTATATGCGTATATTGTTCACTGTGTTTAGTACGATATAAAAAGATGATTTCTTTTACCTACAAAAGAAATTAAGCTTCTCTCACCTACAATTGATGCAATGAGTAAGATTGGACGACTATTCTGCTGCTTTAAGAAAATTGACACTTTCTTTTTATTTGAAATTCTTCTAGGTATAATATATGAAAATATTGGGTTATTTGACGAATGTAATCATAAATGGACTATACCAGAATGGTCCAAGATACCTTTGGATGCGGTTCTAGAAAGTCAGCACTTCAATGTCGGGAATCATGACTGGTAATATATACATAAATTTTTCAAGTAAACTTTTGATATTATTCATATGTGAAGTAAGTACATATTCTTTAAAGAAATACTGATCGCTACATATTCAATTTGTAGGATTGTTAGAGTAAGTCTAAATTATCAAATAAACTTCAGAACTAATGCCTAATACTGATATATAAAAAAAAATCTAATGTTCGTAAATAAGTTATATAAAGGGACCCAAACCTGTCCCGAGGTATGCTAATTTCAAATAAAATATAACATAATCCGTGGATGCGTATTTATAAGTCGGTTTGTTATATAAGAGCCTTGGAATATATGTCGTATCAATGGGAACATACCCAACAAGTGATAAAGCATATTTTACTGAAAGAATCAAAGCATCTATATCTATGATTAACCCAGAATGGCTACCTATAGTTAACGGTAAAATAATTGCATTTAATAAAAAAAAAATACATTATCTAACATGTTTTTTAGTGTTTTCGCATGTCTACGAGCTTAGAAAGTATTATAATCCAATATATTGGGTCTCAATGTTCTAATCTTTGAAATAATGCAGAAGGAAAACATTCAAGTAGATTTGGATATGACAAATTCACTATATTGCAAAATGTGCAGAATTATTATCTCACGGACGACCAACTTACTATTTCTATTAGTGTGGCTATTGAACAAACAACCAAAAACTTACTAAATGGACCCCGCTCATACCCACAGCTTCTAGCTCTCACGTTCCATGACCAAGATATCAAAAATTTGCAAGATGTTACTATACATGTATTTAAGAACGAAAAGGATGAACCGGACGAAAAGAAAAGCAATCTCAACCACGGTTCAACTGGCAGCACAAACGAAAATGAAAACAAGAAGGTGGAAGACACTGAAGGAACAATATCAAACGAAGAGGCTACACTACATGGTCACAACTTTATTCTTGCTGCAGCATCTCCGTGGTTTAGAGATATATTCCTTAGTGGCATGAAAGAATCTACCGAAAATGAAGTGAAGATTCACGGCGTTGACCCAAAGATATTTAAATTGATTTTCGACTTTAGCTATGGAAATGATATATATATAAAAGATAGTACCCACGGTATAAGCATCATCAAAGTTGCTGATCGTCTCCAGTTCAAACGTATCAAAGTCTATGCTTTTTCATGCTTGCGAGCTCAGATCAAAAACTCCAACATGTTTGATATCTGGCAAGCATCAGGTAAGTAAAAGGTTTAATAAAGGGGGGAAAATTACTCATACTTGCTCTAGACTTGTACGATTGTGATGAAACTCGAAAACTATGCGAGAAATATATGAGGAGTAACTATGCCGATATATTTGTGTCTCCAGAGTGGCTTGCTACCAGCGATGTCTATGCTCTCAAAGCAATCAAGATAGATGGCTTAAAAGGGATAGTTGATGAGACAGTATTTTACAAAGCGGTACTTGCAAGGAGAGAGGCCGCCACCCAGAAGGTGATCGACTTACAAAAACTGAAAGAGGAAGAATCAGGGGATGAAGTCACTAAAGCACTACCTGGTACTCCCACTCCCAGTAATGTAAATATATACGAGAAAATCCAAAAAGAAATCAAAGATATTAAAGGTGCCAAAGGTGCCAAAGATACCAAAGGAGAAAGCAAAGACAATGACTATACTACAGATACCCAGACAGAGACAGAGACTGAAAAACTTGAAAGGCTGGAGAATATACGATGGGAAAGATATATTAAAGAGGAATTGGAAGCTATACAAAAGCACTTTGAGGTTATGATTTGTCACATACGGTTCCCCCAAATGGACATAGAATTTATTGCAGATACAGTTGAAAAAGAAGATGCCGTTATGCAGATACCCGGAATCAAAGACATCGTAAGAACTATTAACATTTTATTAGACATTTATTCTAAAGTATATATTATACTATAGCTATTTGAATCCTATCGACACAAGGCCTTCCTTGGAAAGAGAGAATTGTCAAAGAAGTATCAAAGTCGATCAATTGAATCAAGCTAATTTCATCAAATACTATAAACAGGAAGCAGCACCTACTATGTATCGTAGCTTGATTATGTACTAGCATTAAAGCCATTTCTTAAACAACTTTAATCAGCCTTTTCCTTTACTATTCAATTTATGTGTATGATTAATACAAAAATAAAATATATAGGTTTTTTTTTTGACAAAAAATGAGTGCCGAGTGTTGGATTCGATTAATAGAATCGGGAAGAAAACAATGTCTTTTATTGTTTTATTTGCGGTGTCGGAACGTTCTTTTTCTTTTCTTTTTAATTGTGAGTGTTATAATCTGATGCGTTTCAAAATGATAAACCATTTTCATATAAAATTTTCATGCAAAGCAATTTGAAGTCATACACTTTGATAATCGTCATATACCATTCTTTTTTATTGCAAGTAATTATTGGACTATCTATCTATATATATTGCAAGGTCTTTATCTTTTTTTTTTTGTTTCCTATCACACACTGGCACATAAATTTCTATCTACCTACTAAAATGTCTCCAAGAATAACAAGAAACGCACCAGAAACTAATGGCAGAACTTTGCGCTTCAGGATCTCCACCCCGTCTGTTTTAAATCCAAAGAAGCATAAGGTCTACAAGAAATATGGATTTTGGAGCACCACGAAAGAGTTGGTACTCTTGAAAGAGTATGCCCGTATTTTCCCTCCGTTGTGTAAAAAAGGCCAGCATATTAGAGCATGGGAGAAGGTAGCAGAAAGTGTCAATGCTGTGACACCCAATGAGACAAAGCTTGCACAAGATAGTTGTCGTCGAAAAGTAACCGATCTTTTGAACCTCTACAAGGACAACTATAGACTCCCGGCTACCAGCGCTATCTCTGATCCAATCAGTTATAAAGCCGAACTAGATAAAGCCGTCTATATAATTCAACAAAAGGTATACACACATATATATATATATATATAGACACTTTAATTTAATATGCTTTCTTATATTAGCCCATTTTTTTGTTTTGTTTATTTGTTCAAGAAGAGCAAAACTCATGAATACTTTCTTTTGTTGTTCCTAAAAAAATACTTAGAGGAAACTTTATGAGAGAAAAAAAGCACACAGAGGAAAACTAGATTTTGACATTGAAGGCAGAATGTTGGAAATTGATGATCTGATCAAAGAAATGGAAACTGCACCTCCTAACCGTTTAAAAGAACTACAGGAAGACCTTCAAAGGTTATGCCAGTCAGATGCAAATCAGAGAGTGGGAGTCGGCCGGCCTGAGAACTACTCACACGCCTCTTCTGTGGTTCAATCGAATGCCCAGGCTGACAGAGGTGCTGAGGATGTTAATGATCGAAATGCTAGACTTGACTTTATGGATTCCCAGAAGAAGTTTCAAGAGAAAGTTCTGGAGCTCATGAAAACACAAACTGGGTTCCTTTCTCATATAGACAAGCTACTATGGGAGTGTCTAGAAGAACTTAAAAAAAAATAGTGTAGTGTAGTGTAATTTAATTTAATTCGGCTTTCAATATTTTTTTTTTTAAAAAAAAACAGACAATTTGTTTCTATCTTCTCTATCCATATTATCCTTTATCAAATCAAAAGATATATATACTTCCTCGGAAGTTTGGTAGGATCCAAGCCAAGAACATCCTTTGTTGGTAATCCACCGAGACAAGTACAACGAAATTAGTAGCTTTTAAAGACAATGGAGAATAAATCGGGATTCTGTTGGCTCTGTTTCACCTGTCTACTATAGCATACTTATAATTGTTGAATTTGTGCATTCTCTTTTTTCTTTCTGTTAAAAGTTAATCGAGGTAGAGTAATAAACAGTATAAAATTAGCAAATAAAGCCGAGACAATATTTCAAAGAAAGAGAGTTGTGGTCTATTATATATATAATAATAATAATCGTATAATGATTTGCTTACTAAAATTTCCGTTATCATTTTCATTCTTGTTGTTTATATGGATACACAGTTATTGAGTTTGCTGGTGTAATACCAAATCTTCTTACTGTCAGGTGTACACAGCCAACTGACCCAGTGTCCTTTGGATTTGAAGCAGACCAATGAAATGAAATAAAATGTAACTTTATTTTATTTTATTCAGTTGTTCAGTGACATTAGTTACAAGTAGTTCTGGAATAAAGAGGGGTTTTTTTCTTATTCTTCTTCTTCTTGGTCCTTTATCTATTTATCTACCTATCTAACTCATTCACTAACTGGCTCAACCAGTTACTCAGTCCACTCACTGATTTGATTAATTCATTTTCTATCTCTAATCTCTAATCTTCATTTGGTGCATTGCCGGACATTAAATCCGTGGGATTTCTTTTCCCTTTTACTGCGTCAACTTCTTCCATTTCCTTTTTTTTTTTTTTTTAAAAAAAAAAAAGCTTTAGCAGAAAGACAGAATGTATCTCACTAAAGAGCAGCTGGAACAAGTAAAAAAAAAACAAGCACTTTTTCTCTTTCACTCTATTGTCGTTTATTTATTAAAATCATATATAATTCTTATTCAAATTAGTTTGAATCCGATGGGTAACAAAAAAGAAAAGAAGAAGCAATGACAACATTAATAATTTCTTTGTGTAAAATTGTATACATGATCTCATTTTCGAAATGTGTCGATTGTACATTTGCATCATGTAATAAATAAATAAATAAATAAATAAAAAAAAAAGGTTTTTGGTCATTCCAGACTTCTTTACTCCACAGCAAGCTGGACAACTAAAAGACAAGGCCGACAGACTTTTAAAAGAGTTCTCACTCGAGGGACATCCTATGACCAAGTTCAGCACTGGCATGAATTCTGGAAACAAGCACGTAGGAGATGACTATTTTCTTGACTCGGGAGACAAGATTAGATTCTTTTTTGAAGAAGGAGCGTTTGATGACCAAGGAAAACTCAAACAGACCAAAGAAAGGTCGATTAACAAGATTGGTCATGGTAAGTACTAAAAAAAAATCCCCTTTTTTTTAAATATATATATATAAATAAATATTATTAAAATAACAAAAATCAAGGTCTTCATGGACTTGATCCTACATTCAAGGAGTTTTCCCTGAATCCCAAAATTTCGGATATTTCAAGACAACTTGGGTTCAAATCACCAAAGATACTGCAGTCCATGCTAATCTTCAAGGTTAAATATTTCTCTTTCTTTTTTCTTTGTATATTTGACTTGGTTTGGTTTGGTTTTAAATCTATATATAAAAAAAAAAGAGAGGCAAATGAAAGTAAAGATTACTAACATTTACATACCTACATTGCTTTTTCATAATAGCAACCATATATTGGTGGTCCTGGTAAAGTTAACGATCTATATGTTTATTCAATTGGTCAGAATAATAGTAATATTAATAATATATATATATATATATATATAAAAGTTCCCTCTCATCAAGACTCTTCATTTTTGTACACCGAACCAACTTCTGCTGTTGGATTCTGGTTTGCACTAGAAGATTGTACTCAACACAATGGATGTCTCTGGTTCATCCCAGGATCTCACAAAAGTAAGCAAACATAGATAAAACTAAAGAAAAGAAAAGAAAAGAAAAAATTGGCTTAATTGAACTTGCAACAATTCTTTAAACATCTATATATATATAAAAGACACACCCATTACACGTAGATTTGTGCGTGATCCAAGTGGAAATGGTACAATTTTTATAGGAGACGAAGAATTGATCGTAGACGAATCGAAATATGTTTGTAAAGAGGTCAAGGCTGGAACTCTTGTCGTACTACATGGAAGTGTGGTACACAAGTCTGCACCCAATTTCTCCGACAAGTCTCGGTACATTTACACCTTTCATCTCATTGAAGGTCAAGCAAAATACCCGGCCGATAATTGGTAATATAATTTATTTATATGTGTAATTGAGTCTAAATAGTCTTTATGGGATGGGGGAAGAGAGTTTGGTTCTCCTACCATTTTCTCTTCTTGTTACTGTTCTTACTAATGAGAAAACATAACGATTATTGATACTATTATCTATCTATCTATCTTTATATATATATTTTTTTTAAAAAAAAGGCTTCAACCGAGTGAATCGATGCCTTTTACATCATTATAAATAAACAAGAGTACATTGAATTGATCATTGAATTGACATTAAACAAAAAAAAAGTATATCTTATCTACCTACCTATTTACTAACTTACTTACCTATCTATCAATATATAGTATAGTATAGGAAATGAATGAAATATACAAGACATTTTGACATCTATTAGTTTATATAGTTAAATACTCGAAAGTTACAAATTTTAGTCAGACAAGAAATAAAACCAAAAGAACAAAATAAAACGCTGATAAAAATAATAATGATGATGATAATAATGATGATGATATTATTATAAATATAAATATAAATAAATAAAGAATATAATATAATAGTACAAGATGTATTATCAGAGCAGAACCAGCTGCCTGATAATTTTTTTTTTGTGTTTGTTAAACTATGCATGTATAAAATACTAAGATATTGAAATATTTTTCTAATTTCTAGAGTCTAAAGAGGTCTTGATGATTAATAAATGAATTCGTAGATATTGCTAGTTGCTAATTAAGGGCAGAAAGTGATGGTGTATCCAGAGGCTTGGCAGACATAGGTACTGGTGTTGTCATCGTAAGCAAAGCTGTAGACCTGAGGACATGTTTCCTTGACAGCTTTGGAGTAGATGTTGGTGCTGCAGGTCTGGGGGGTGTTGAATGCACCGGCGCAGCAGTACTCATCAGTACCGTACTTGGAGCAAGCACTCTGGCAGCCGACTACCTCGCCGTCTTCGATGACCTGGAGATCGCTGGGGCACGAAGGAACTGCGGAACACAAGGGGGACCCGCAAGAGTAGGCCGTGTCACCGCTCTGCTGCTTGTTGCCGTTGATTGGGCTGATGGACATGGGAAGGTTGAAGCCGTCGACAAACGAGACATCATAAAAGTCCATTCCCGCATGAGCCTTGAAGTTGAACTCGGCCAAGGAAGCTGGGCTGGCGGCACCTGCCATGGGGCAGTTCTCGAAACAGTCCTTGCGGCCCCAGAGACGTCCCTGCCAGTTGCTGCTGAGGGTATAGGTCTTGCTGCTTCCAGCCCCAACACGGACGGTCTCGGCAGAGGATGTGCCACTTGTAAGCTTGGTGACGCCAAGATCGTAGCCGCATTGGTTCTTGACCACAATAGAAACACTGTCAGATGAAGCAGGGGCGGCAGTAGAAAGGCCAAAGAAGGCAGCGAGGCAGACGAGCTTGAAGGAAGAAGAAAGCATTTTTGGGGAGTTTTTTTTTTACGAAATGAATGTAAAGAAATGAAAAGATAAGTGAATGTGAATAGAAGTAGAAGTAGTGGTAGTAATGAAGGTAAGGATGGGAGGAAGGATGGGTTGATAATACTTTTCTTTGGTTTGATTATCTTGCCCTATTTATACTCCCAAAACCACTTCTTTTTTTTTTTTCTTTTTTTTTTTTTCACAAAGACAAAGTTCTCTAATGGTAGGTCTTGGTACCTGATCTAAAATTCTACCATTTTTTTTCCTGGGTCCTTACTGTCTATTGATTTTCATTGGCTTTTGTTTCATATTTCAAACAAAGCATCTCTTCTTTAAACCAGGGTCCGGCAACTCCACAAATACTATATTCTAATCTATTGTACTGTATATTTATACCACTATACGTTGAAATCCAATGAATAATATTTCTTGTTTCTTTATTTTTACTTACTACAAGGCCAATGGTGTTTCTATGTTGTTTAGAAACAGATAATATGTTTTGGATGCTAGTCGAATGATATTTGATCACTTTGCTCTACAGAATTAAAGTAACAAATATCTACGCAGCAGCGTTACCCTAGCAACAATTCACTTTTTTTTTTCTTTCTTTCTGTTTATCTCTTAGAGTTAAAGAAGTATATATATTTATTAAAAAAATTACATTAAAAAAAAATTGGTGCACTGACCACGTTGTACACAATGCTTTGAACCAAATAAATAAATTAAATTAAATTAAATAAAAGTATAAAATAATAATAATCTAATAAGCTTATACAAGAGACCCATGTATATTAGTTTTTTTTTTATTTGTTGATTTTAAAATATAATATATACATTGGTTGTATAAAGAGATGAAAAAAAAGGGTATTATAAAAATCGAATGTTCTTTACATAAAACATATAATATACATTTAAAATTCTATTTTTTTTTTTAAAAAAAAAAAAGAATCCTACAAACATTCGAGGTAACTGATCCAAATCTTGGCCAATTAGAATTCAATACCAACTGACACATAGAAGCGGAAGAAACCAAAGTTAGCCCACGTTTTGAAATTATGAATCCCTCTCTTATATTCTTATTCTTCTTTTTTTAATTATATAGTTGATTATTATAAAAAATAAAAAATACAGTCTACGCCAATGATAATAATGATCTTGACGTATTTTCACATCAGCAAAACTGATAAGATTTTTCATATTTCATATGATAATTATTACTACTACTGGTTATCAAACTCAATCAAGTACATATTATATTATAGGAACTGTAGGTCTATATGTTATAGTGTAAAGTGAATTTCTATTATCTATCAAAAGATAATCTTTATCTCTTTATTAAACATATATATATATATATATAAATTCTAGAAGGATAATTTTCCAAAAAAGGATATTCTGTGGAATAAATTAAAGGTCGTATACAGATTCTATTGTAATGATGTAAAAAAAAAGAAAAAAAATAGAGTTGTATTCTACATGATACAAAGATTATTGCTCGACTTCTTTTTCTTCAATTTCAACTTGTTCTCTCTAAATGAATAAACAAAACAGAAACATGGGCTTATTTATTTCGACCCAAGACATGAGAAACAAACACTAATACAAAGCTAAATATTGAAAGCGAGTTTGAGATTAAGATTGAGTTTTGGTAGATAAGATTAGTTTTTATGTCTATTATATTCTTATTACACTGTCAATACATATAGAGATTTCCTTTAGTATTATTCAATTCAGTCTAGCATTCTGGTCATAACTCTCCAACAAAGTGGTCTTTTTTTTTGTCGTATTTATACTTGAGATTCAATGAACAATTCTGGATAACGCACTACTAAATTTACTTGACACAAATACATATGTTGACTTGGTATAAATAATCCATAGTCCATAGTCCGTAGTCATATTTAAATATTTGTATATATAAATATCTCTATGTATAAATGTGTATAGGTACATACGTGTTCTTTTTTTTTATTACAAAAGCAGAACCATCTGTTTACTCTATTTCTATTAATACATGTATATATTTAGAAATATGTTTAAATATATATATATATATATATATACTTTAGGTATCATCTAAGCCAATATTAATCACTTGTTCTTTTTTAGATTAAAATATTTATATATCCAATAATAGAATCATCATTTTACTGTTAACATTTTGTCTGTTTTGTAATTAGTATCAATTTGAAAATAAAAGACAAATTAACAATTGAAACAAATTGTGGATATTATTATTATAGAATTTTAACTACTACGGCTATTAATATAATAGCAACATTAAGTTAAGTTTTAAAGCCCTGTGCTGTCAAACAAAACAAAAGAGTAAAAGAAGTAGCCTATAGACACTTTTATTGTTTTGTTTTTATTTCACTCTTTCTGTCTCATACTTAATGCAAGCAAAGCCACCAAATGCAACCCCAAGAAGTACGCCCTACATATTTCTATCTACCTCTCTTTTATTTTTAGTTTTATTTTTATTTTTATTTTTATATTGTAATAACTTTAAACTATGGAACAACGTGTTCAACAGTTCCACGATGACACAAAGTCTATACCAACCCCACCTACAGCAAAGACTCTCAAACAGATGAACACGCTCAAGAAATTTCTTTTCAAGAATCAGGCATGTAGGTGATTGTGAATGAATTTAGAAGGATCATTAACAAAATAATAATAAAAACAATAATAGGACTATAGATTTTCTGACAAGGAAAAGAATAAGCTGTTTGCATGTATTGAAGCTTATTTCACTTGCTTTGATAGAAGGTAAATATATAAATATATAAATAAATGTTTCTTTATTTATTTGTGGGATTTTGTGGTTCTGGGTTTATATTGTTCTATAGTGCCACAAGTAACAAGAACATATCTGCATTTCCTTTGATCGAGGATGCTCTCAAGGTGCCCTGTTTTACAACCAAACAAAAGATGCAGTTATTAAAATGGTAGATTGGAATCTAATAAAACGAATATAGTTTTTAAATGATCTGTTTATATAACTTCAATAGGTACGAAGAGATTCTTTCGAAACAAGAAGATCAACCATTGGAGAAGCCTAAACCAGTTGAGAACCAAGAAGACAATTTTGACGACTTTGATTGGGATGCCTTTGAAAAAGAACAAGACTGAGGCTTTGAATAGAATATATTTGTGTGTGTCATTCATCTGTATAACCTATTTACTTACCCGGGCTGTCAAACAGACACAAATATATTTAAAAGCTTTGTAAACCACAAGCAATAAAGAAACTAATAAACAATTTGTTGTTCAAGTACTTGTTTTTGAGTGAATTGGGTAAGAGAATATATATATATATATAATTGTTCAACCGTCCTCTTGTCTGGTCGCTTGGCTGGCTATTCATAAGAGTACCATATTTTAACTTTAGATTTTATATTTATAGAAAAAGAATAAAACCATCACACACATACATATATGATAAATAACTACAAATCATCTTCTTTTGAATTCCTTTCTTGTTCTTCAAAGTTTACCTTTTCTTGCATTAAACACTTGCAACATTGACTTGTTTCAATATATATTTTATGCTCTAGATCTTTCTGTCTTTTTCTTTTTCTTTTTATTTCTTATTTCTGGGTGTTCAACCATATACACAAGCTACACAACTGACATACAGACAGAGAGAGCAAGCAAAAAAAAAAATGTCAGCAGCTAAAAAGAACAGCATTGAATTTAGTCACTATTCTGGCCTTCCATATTTGGAAAAAACACCAGTCAGTTCATGGCCACCTGCAAGAGTAGCTGCTTGGTTAACAAACGAGGGATTTGGATCAGTAGTAAAAGCATTTCAAGGTGGGTTAGAATATATTTAAGATAAATAGAAAAAAAAATTGTTTCGATATTTACCTATATATAAATTATAGATCTTCATTGGGATGGTCATCGCTTTCTAAATCTCAAGGCTTCAGATCTTGAGAAATTTGTATTGTCTGGCTTGACCTCAAACGACAAAGCCCGACTGGCCTACGAAATCCATAATTTGAAGAACCAGGAGATCAATGAGCCTATTCAAGTAAGTATTCAAGTTTGTTATAAAAAAGGAAACCTGTATATATAATATTCTTTTTTATAATACAAATATACCTACACTCACTCACACTCACTCACTTGCTTACTTGCTTACTTGCTTATTTATTTATTTGTATATAAATAAATAAATAAATAAATAAACAAACAAATAGAAGAACGATTATTACTATTATCATCATTATTATTTTCCTTCGCATTATCTAAACAGCCCTACTAATGTGGGTACCGAGTGCAATCACGTGTATATCAAACAATCCGATTTTCTTCCTTCGGTCCAGTCCACCCAGCACAATCAACCAAACACCGCCCGGATTGGTGCCACTTTTACTGCAAGCATGTCTATTAATGAGTCTGATTCTGCATGGTCCGACTACAACAGAATCAAGCCTTTTATACCAGCCCGAACGTCTTCGAACACGGACGAGACCAAGGGTATGCTTGATACCCTCAATTGCAAGGCCCTCTTGTCCAAAAGACTCGGTTCAGCATTACAATGCGCAGTCCCCCGCAAGGGATCCGTAGATGGGTTTAGTGAAAAACCATTGTTAAAACGCAGAGCAATTAAGCGTCCTAACGTGCTTGGTGCAACAGCTGATCGTGTCCAACTACCACAAAGTGACTTGGCCGGTCACCGGAAAATGGGAAACCAAACCACCACTCATCTTATCCAAGTAAAGCTTTTTCTCTTCTTTCTCTTCTTCTTTTTCTTTCACTTATCTTTCCTATTTATCTTTCCCCCTTCCCTCTACTATTATTATTATTTTTTCTACTCTTCTTCTTCTTCTTCTTCTTCTTATTTTAAAGAGCTTCAAATAATAATATTAGAAGAAGAAAATAGAAAAAAAAGATGAATATACTTCGTGCCTTTGTCACATGGATATTTCCAGATGCATTTCCACAAACTAATCAAAAGCCTGCACAGGATCACCTCATCCAAGTAACGATTGACAGAGAAGTGTTCCGAGGCCTGACTATCTCTAGCACCTTTAACGCAACTGCCATAAAACTTGCCCTGATCAACAAAATTGGGATGATTGGAAACATAAGTGGATACCTGTATTATTATGAAAACGAATTCGATGAAAGTAGGTGGATCAAACTAACTGTGTGTATTGTCTCTCTATTGATATCCTTATCCATTATCCACCAACTCTCTCTGTATATACTTTTATGTCTTTACTCACTTTATAACCACACTCTTTTCTTTTATATATAGACATAAGCCAACCCTTGAGTGATGAAGACCTTGTCTTCTTCTGCAACCAATCCGATAACAGCCTCACGAACAGGTTTCTTGTCAGGGCTATGGAGCAATCAAAACCCGGAAGTTTTAGCGACCCATTGTCAAGTGGGTTCAGATCCCCCTACAGCTCATCCGTAAATAGGTATGGTTACAACCCATCTTTAAAAGTCAAAATCACCTATCTAAATTTTATTTGTTCAACACATTTTTTTTTTATTATTATCGAAATGCCACTTTAACAATTCCTTCTAGTCTTGAACTTGGAGGCAACCCTAGATACAACGCACATCCATACACAGTTAACGGAAACAGACGATTACCACCACCACCAATCTTTGTGCCTCAACCACCAAAGTCTCGACAGGAAGAAAATTCAAGTTCATCGGAAGGTAAATAAAATAAAGATATAATTAACTGAAAGCAGCGACCATCAACCAAGATACACACACACACACACACACATATATATAATTGTCGTACAACGCAGGAACCAACCACATATAAGAAAAATAACAATAATAATAATAATAATAATATATATATTTGACATAATTTTTTTTTAATAGGATCAAAGACTCCACCACAACTACAGCAATTACAACCCCTAGCAGGTCTGGACTATTATGGTACCAGGTTACCAACACCACCATCATCATCATCAGCAACAACAACAGCAGCAGCAGCAGCAACAGCAACAGCAACAGCAGCCACAAATACTACAATTTTACCTCGAAAAGGATCCCAAGCCTCCCTCTTGTCAAAGACATTACCTGAAATCCCCTCATCTCCTCCTCCTCCACAACAACAACAAGGAACAACAACAAAATCATCATCATATTCAAATTCAAATTCAAATTCAAATTCAAATTCAACCTCAACCTCAACTTCCTCGTCTTCATCAAACAGTACAACAACTACCCCAGGTATAGTTATATCCAATTTTTCTGTAAATCCGACACAATTATCATCAGCATCAGCACCAGAATCAGCATCAACACCAGCATTAGCATCAGAATCAGCATCAACAACAACAACAACAACAACAACAACAACAACAACAGAATCCGAAATCACAACACCCTCACTAAAGAACACAACGCCGCCCAAACCATCCTTGTGGGCCGTAAAACCTACCCTTCCACACAAATCCTCTTCTGAGGTGTTACAACAGTCAAGCACGGAACCCGTCCAACCCGCTCAAAAGATAAGCTTCTGGTCAGTCAAACCACCTGGTCTTAAACCAGAAAACGATGAACATAAGAGCACCAAAGTCAACAACAATGTTGTTGTTATTGTCCATGACCATGATAGTGATACCACCAAAGACAATAACAACAATAATGTTGGTGTTGGTGTTGGTGTGGATGTTGTTGGCCAACAAAAGCCCAAAGATTTGTGGCCAACCGGAAGCGATCGTACAGAACGGGAACCAAAGCTCTGGCCAACAGACAAAGACAAGGATGATGAGCACGGTTACCCAAACTATTCAAATAAGGTTGGCGTGTGTCATTTTCCCATGCCAGACATCAAAAACCCCATAGAGCCGCTTAGTCCAATTCCTTCACAAGTCTTGCCTCGTTCCCAGAATCAACATAACTTGGGCAGTCCAGATGACGAAGATGTGCTGATGGAGGAAGAGGAAGAGGAAGAGGTTGTCTGGGGTGAACGTCCGAATGTAGACATTCTTTTTGGTGAAATGGCAACCTACCTTCCCGAACACGATCTCGACAATACTCTGATTTCAGTTGACTCGACTCCTTCCGGTTCTGAACCCGAATCCGAATCCGAGTCCGAAATCACACCCAAATCCGCACCCGCATCCGCATCCACATCCACATCCACAACCAATCCCACCATTGTACACAAGCCAAACCCCAAACCCAGATCGGCATCTACACCCACCCCAGAAAAGCCTCGTAAATCAATGCGCGATCTGGGCCAAGAAGCCCACAATAACTGGAGAAAGGCGATTGGTGTAATCCATGCCACTAATGTCCTCAAACGCCGCTCCACAGTAATTTCTGGCACAAGAGTCCAGCAAATCAAACCAGGCATGGCTACAAACAGCAAAGTCCTGGGAAGAAAAAGAAATCAACAAGATGGGCAAGGTATTCAATTAAATTAATTAATTAATTAATTAATTATTTTTTTTTGCTGTGATTGTATGTACATACGACACTTTTGATTGGCTAACAATTTTATCCATCCATCCATATATATATATATATATATTTAGCTGTTCAAAGAACTCGATGGTTACAAGGTAAAATGATCGGAAAAGGTTCATTTGGTGCAGTGTACCACGCCTACAATTACGATGCCGAGGAATGGATTGCGGTCAAGGTAGTCAATTTGCCAGAGAGTGGTAACCCAGGGTCGTCGAGTTTGTTTGTGGATACCAAGAGACAGGAAGTGATTGACGAGATCTTTCGAGAAACCGAAGTGCTGATCAATGTCCAGCACCCAAACATCGTTGAGTATCTTGGATCAGACATTGACATGAAGAGCGGAAAGGTCTATATGTTTCTTGAGTACGTACCAGGAGGAAGTATCTCTGCCTGTCTCCGAAACAACGGAAAGTTTGATGAGCCTCTTGTTCGTAACTTCACACGCCAGATTCTCGAAGCACTAGAATATCTTCACAGCAAAGATATTCTTCATCGAGTAAGTAAACCAGCAACAACAACAATGATTTTTTTTTTATATTAGTCCATTTTTGTCATGCCCGATGGCTTGGTTGGTTGTTTGTTTGTTTGTTTGTTTGTTTGGCGTTTTTGAGTACATGAATGTTTGTTTGGTTGTTTGGCTGTCTTTACTCATGGCTGATTTGTGTGGGTGTTTCTTCTTTCTTTCTTAGGATATCAAGGGTGCAAATATTCTGATCGATAACAATGGTGTCTGTAAAATCGCAGACTTTGGCTTATCCAAAACAGTGGCTAAATACGAGGCTTATAATGAAAATGCTCAGAATTCATATATGCGAGGCACATTGAATTGGATGGCACCTGAAATGATAAAATCTGGAGTATACAATGGAAAAGTAGACATTTGGTAAGATTTACATATTTTTATCTCTTTTTTTTTTTTAATTTTTTTTTGTATTCTTCCATGTCATTATAGGAGTCTGGGATGTACTGTTGTTGAGATGTTGACAGGAAAACTGCCTTGGTCTGGAGTTAACAATAATAACACTGTTATATTCAAAGTATGTATCTTGATATTCATTCAATTAATCATTCAACTTTACGTTTCTGATTTTCTTCTTTATAAAGCTTGGTAGTGGAGAAAGCCCTCCGATGCCTACAGGCATTTCAGATTTAGCAAAATCATTTATCGAAAAATGCCTTACAATGTAAGTCATCTTTTTTTTTTTTTTTTTTTTTTTTTTAGTTGGCATTTCTTATTACTCTTTTATTTATCTGGTAGTCATGGTTTCTTCTATAGTGAACCCAAAGATCGCCCCTCTGCAGAAGAGCTTCTTAGTCACCCGTTTATATCAAAGGATCCTAGCTTTGATATGATGGTAAGTAACAAACAACATCAATATTATTATTTTTTCTTTGTGCGTGTTTCAAATGTCTTTTTAATTTTTCTCACTCTACAATGATTATCTATAGACTGAAGTTGTCAAACTGGGTCTGGAAAGAAAGGTGTCTCGTAGAGTTGTTGCTGTACGTTAGAACACACACACAAATATATATTAAAAAAAATCAAATCATTATAGTAAAATCCATATTCCTTTAAACATATTCATCCATTATTCCCTTCTTTATCCATACATATATACATACATACATACATACATATATTTATTCTGCTGTTTTATAATACATATTTCATTTTTCTTTTTTCTTTTCATTTGTGTGCCTTGATTTTACCAATATTATATATCATCAACAAACAGAAAAAAAAAACCAAGTTTTGATGAGGGGGGTTTACAGGAATATATAATCTAAAATAATAATAAAATAACCACCTTTGCCTTGAGCACTAAAGCCACAGTACACTGTGCAAGTCTTTGAGACCTTGCTGAAAAGAAAAAGAAAAAAAGAATAAAAAAAAAACAAGATGAATGATAATTATAAGATTATAGATAATGAGCATATATATATAAATATAAATAAGAATGAATGAGTAAGTATAAATGAATGAAAAATAAAGGAGGAGGAGGAGGAGGGGTAAAATAAAATAAAATAAAGGATATTATATATATATGTGAATGTGAATGGAAGAAGGGGAGAATTTTTTTTTTTAAAAAAAGGTATCTTTAATACATCTCAAGAGCTTCCTGCTCACACCAGGCAATTTTTATAAAGGGGGGTTTTGATAAAATTAGGTACAGCATCATGAGCCAACAAACAATATACTTCTTTTTCCACACGGTCCAGCCACATGAACATCAAATCTAGAAACTCACTGCAAATACTGTTGTCCGTATTATTGATCTCGGCTTGCATATCCAGCACCTCTTTATCGACATCTTGCCGCAAATCATAGGCCACGTTGAGTTCGCGCGGAGAATTGGGCGACACATAGGTTATCCAGAGTGTGCACGCGCTAGAGAGTTTGACCTTGGGTCCGCAGGACTGGGATCTCAGGGCATGGAGCGCAAGCCAGAACTCGAGATTCTCTTCGCACAGATGTTCTTTCAAGAAGATTCCAAACGCATGCTGGAGCGAAGGTGTCTCGAGAATCTGGAGTAACTTGGGCACTCCACCAGATACCTGTTGAAGCCGAACAGGTGTTTCATTTGCGTTTGTGGTCGTGGTCGTGGACGTGGTCGTGGACGTGGACGTGGTCGTGGTTGTGGTCGTGGTTGGGCGCCTGTGTGCTGCGATTGTCAATTCGGGTTCACTGAAGGAAGTTGGCAGACGAAGAAGTGCAGTAGGTACAGGGTCATAAGTGATCGAACGCAATTGGTGTTTTGACCTGTCGGCCTTCCAGTCCGTTGCCAGGCTATGTCCCTTTTCTGTAAGGGAAAGAAAGACAGCATTCGAGACCCGGACATACCCGGATGATGATGATAATAATGATGGTGATGAATGTGCTGCTTTTGCTTTTGCTGATGCTGTTGCTGTTGCTAATGCTGTTGCTGTTGCTGTCTCTGCCTTGGATCCCTGGAAGAGCCACCCTCGATGAAGATAGTTTGCAATGACCTGCTCAGCCTCCTTTGAGCAGGAGAGCGTGCTGTAACTGACGAGCCAGTCGCAACATCGTTGGGTTGAGAAGCATGTCCGATCAGGTACATGCGTTTGGGGAAAGGAGGGATGCTTTGATTCCAAATACTTTTTTGTGTAGGCCGAGATCAGTTGACGGTTGTCCAATTGGCGCACCGGACCCTCTTTTTCTGACCCCTCCAGAAGGGGTTTGTTTAATGAAAATGAAAATGAAGACGAGGAAGAGACGTGCCAGGATGCTGGTTTAAAAAAAGGCACAGAAGGTTTCGGAGAGTTCAGAAGAGCCGGAACAAGGGCCGGAAGGATCAGATCACCCTTTGGAGACACATTGGCCATCATCAGTTCGAACAGAAAACCTATCGAAGGCCCAAGTAGTAGCAGCCGGTTGTCATTCCTCGACCGCTCAACACACACAATCCGGGCTGCGTTCATATAGCAGAACTGTTTGCGAAGCCGACAGGTGTCTTCCTGGGCAGACAGACAATAGTCTTGTAGGATACAAAGTCCTTTGGGTGTGATACTCCAGACTGCTCGATCACGAAAGGTACGGCTCGACGGATTGGCGATGTTTTCAAACAGGCGGGCATCAAGAAACTGCTGACAGAACTCGATTGCCATCTCTCGACTCATGGTCAAGGAAGGATCGTGCTTCTTGTTGGTTTGGTAACAGGCTGGATTGGTCAGAAGCGTGCAGAAATTCGAAAGGTGGGTCAGGACTATGATGGCGTCTTCCGACCGAAATGTGTTATCGTAATACTGAAACATGATACGGTGGGTTCCAAAAGGAAGCTGAATAACCATTGATGAGAATACATCATGTAAATCCTAGTATGTGTTATGAGAAGCTCATGTGCGGCACAAACATAATATTTTGACCTCTTGATGTTTCTATGTATCTATGTATCTATGTATCTATATGTGTATATGTGTACGCTGTGCTTTATTATGCTCTGCCGTGTTGTTGTATTGTATTGTATTGTATTATATTGTATTGTGTGTATGCTTATTATTATCATTATCATCATTATTGCTTTCTACCTTGTTGTAGAACCGTCCATCGGCAGAAAAGATCATTTCAAAATTGCCTTGTGAGATAGACACCTGGGCATAAGAAATAATAAGCAAGGGAACAGAGAGATTAAATCACTGGTATTCAGATTATATAGGTTCATATCAATTTAATTTTGTCAATAACGTAGATCCCCACGCGGAAGAACCATAGTAGACATGACTAACAAGGGACCGAACCCATATTCTCTTTTCTTTCTTTTTTTGTTGCTGAAAATAAAGGAGTGTCAAGGGTCCTTTTCTTTCTTTCACTGCTTTGTACACAACTTACATATATATATATATATATATATAAATATGCGTGTGCTTTAATTTACTAATCACATCTTTAAGGAGAATGCACAAGTCTAGACTACCAGCAGATACTAATCTTTTTAATTTTCTTCTTCTTTTTCTTTTGACTTTGAGTCAAGGCATCTGTAAAGAAACCTTGACTCCATAAAGGTTCCTTTCTGTGTGTGTGTATAGGTGTATATAGAGTCATATATCCATCTCCTTTAACTTTTTTTTTTCTTCTTGCTATCCCAACGGATCTTTTTTTTTTGTATGTATGTATTTTGAAGCGTTTAATCTCCTGATAATGAAGTTGGGATCGTATTGTCTATAGTAGCTTGATGATCTACCGATGTTCTATGTTCTATGCCTATTGGTGTGAATGTATACATGTGTTTATGTGGTTGTGGTTGTGAATAGGTTGAGAGGCTATTATCTGCATTCCTTTCCTTTCCTTTTCCTTTCTTTCCTTGTTTTCTTTTTGGTTTATTTATTGATCAAGTAAAAAGTTGGTAGCCTTGTCTAAATCTTGGTCATACCGATCCAATGCATCTTTGGCAGCCTGGCGTTCAAATCCCATCTTGACTAGATCCTCAATCTTCTCGGCTCTTCCTAAACCACCTCCTGTGATGGGGGCAGTACTGGGTTTTGTGGTTTTAGTTTTAGGATTAGGATTAGTATTAAACTTGGCGGTCATTGGACTTGATGTAGCAGAAGCACCGGCCGTAATAGTATTAGATGAAAATGAGTCTGGAGAAGCTCTTTCTTTTCCTTTTCCCTTGCTAGGCGGCGATGAAAATACATCATCAAATCCATCAAACCCTTCGTTAATTGTCTTTTTTGTTATTGTTGAAGCAACAGGAACATTGCTTGTTCCAAAGATAGAATCCCAATCATCCGGAGCTCCCTCTTTTGACGCGGGTGCAGCAGCAGCAGCATCAGCATCAAATCCAGAAATTCCAAAATTAGATGATCCCCAAGGCTGATTATTCATTTCAGACGTAAAACTATCTTTTTGTTGTTGCTGTCCATTTCCATTTGTTGTAAAACCTTTGGATTCGAAACTAAATGCATCATCAAAGTCAAACAAACCTTGAGATACATTTTGTGGGAGAGGAGCCGGTAGTTTCTTTGTCTGAGCCGCGGGAGCACGATCTTCTGCAGGTGGAGCAGCATGTCGACTCTGGGGTGGGGGTGGGGGACGACGTGTGGTACGAGCAGGGCTGGAGGAAGGCTTGGAAGGCGAGGACCATCCAAAGGGGTCAAACTCGCTCATGGATGGTGTGCCATTAATATTAGCATTGCTATTACTACCAGATGGTGTGGCCGGTTTAGATGGTTCAGTAAATCGACCGAATATGGCATCAAAGTCATTTGAATCCTGGTTTTCTTCTGTAGTTCCAGCCTCCTTTTGAATACGGGTCTCTGCTTCGTCAATATGTGGCGAAAACATGTCAAGAAATTGAGCAGACGGCATAGGAGATGACCCTGAAGATGTTGGTGCAAATGTTTGTTGTGAAGGGGTACCGGATTTGTTGTTGTTGTTGTTGTTGTTTTTATCATGTTCTTCTTTCTTCTTTCTTTCTTCTTCTTCTTCATTTTCATCTTCATCCCTATCATCTGTCAGACCACGCTCGGCTTTAAAATCCTCAAGATCTCTCTTGGCCTGTTCGCGGTCCTGTACAGATGCCGTAACCTGGCGACGGTTGATATCGAGCATCATTCCTTGCTGCTTTACTTGGCTATTCAGGTCTTGCAACTCCGCCATGGCAGCCGCTGTTTCCTGTTGAATAGCACCCATCCGTTTCCTTAATGCCTCGGTCTCAGCACGGCCCTGTTCGATGGTCTGTTTGGCATTCGTGATCTCTGTCTGAGTAGATGCCAGTTTCTGTTGCGCTTCCTCAAACTCCTGGCGTGCCTGGTTCCACGCAGGCTCTTCCAACCTCAGCTTCTCTTGGAGTTCGTTCAGATCCTTGACAAGAGTTTCATGAGCCATTCTTGTCTGAGACATCTGTGCTTGAAACTCTTGTTTCTGTTTTAATATTTGTTCCAGAGTTTGTTCGGCCGACAAGTGTTGTGCTTTTATAGCCTGAGTGGCCGTATTGGCGAACTGCTGTGGTTGTCTTGGCGACGCTCCAAAATCAGATAAAAGTTCATGATCGTCCATTAATGATCCTAAGAATAAATAAATAAAAAAAGAAAAAGGTAAATTACCCATCCAACACATATATTAAACACACACTCTACGCTTGTTTGATCACAAATTCTCACGTACATTAAATAAATAGACTATATATTTACTAAGATAATAATACAGCAACAACAAAGTACACATCCGCATCTACATTCATATCCTCACTATTGACACAAACAACCAAATATATATATATATATTACCTTTATGAGTATAAGTGCCAAGATTTGCTGGGATGTGTGGACTGGGTGGCACAAGGCTCCTTGGCAAAGACGATGGAAGCGGCGCACCTCTGAGACGAGAGTGGATCAGATGCATAGCAACAGCAAATTCATCACGCGAGAGTTGGCCACGTTGGCCAGCATCCGCAAGATCCCAGATAACCGCCAGGTCTTGCTCAGGTAATTGCGAATTCTTAAAAAACTCAACCGTCTCTTTACCCTGGACATGTCCCGTGTGCGCAGTATCAATCTTGTCAAAAAAGGCATCGTATTGTGCTTTTTCTTGAGCCGTGACATCCCAGACACCTGGTTCTTGTCCGACACTGGCCGTGGAAAAGGCGACTGAGCCAAGTGAGTCGATCGTCTGGGAGCGCTGTGGAGGGCTCATGGTGTTTGATCGAACCATGGGGGATTGGTTTATGGCCAGGTCGGCAATAGAAGGCGTACCAGTAGCAGATGCATAGACACTTTGAGGTAGTTGTGCCGGAAGGGTCGTGATTGTTGAGTCCATAAGTTTAGCGATATAATGCATTGCGATGGCGAATTCCGGTTGAGTGAGTTGTCCGTTTTGTTGAACATCAGCCAATTGCCTATTTAGACCCCCCCAATTGAATTGAATTGAATTGAATTGATTTTTTTTTTGTAAAAAACGAAAAAGTTAAGATTATAGGATTCACAAAGGGACACGACACATATACGCATAAGTGTGTATGTATGTATGTACGTATATATATGTGTGTGTGTGTGCGGGCACAAAATACGAGTCCAATTACCATATCTGGCCAAGTGTCTCGGCGGGTAACTGTGACTTGAGAAAGATGCTCTTGGCAGTTTCTGCGTCCAAGACACCATTGTTCGGGTGATGAGCACGGAAGATGGCAGCATACTTTTCACGTTCTGTGGGAGTGATGATTTCTGAGGGTGGTAATGCTTGTGTGGATACTGGTGTCTGTGCCTGTGCCGGTGCCTGTGCCGGTGTTGATGCAGATGCCGGTGCTGGTGAAGCTCTGGTCATGACAGGGCTTGTAGATAAAGGAATGCCCTTGAATCTAGGAAGAGGAACAACTATTGAATTGCAGGAAATTAGTATCATAGCTTTTTTTTTTAAAAAAAAGAAAAATGACTATATGTATATATATATATATATATATGAAAATATTTACCTGTAGAAAGAACAGGTTGGGAAACTTGCTTGCCATTCTGTGCACAAGCGATAAGTTTGAGAGCGATAGAGAATGTCTCTGGTGTTAGATAACCATTATTTTCATGGTCGGTGGCCTCCCAGATCTAGGAATTACGGTGTCCGTGAGTTGAACGATTGAATTGGTTGATCAAAAAAAAGAAAAAAAAAGAAAAAGAAATGTCACGTACATTAGACAAGATCTGGTTTGGTACACCAGACGTCGCAAAGAATTGTACTGCCTCTGACCCAGTAACGATTCCGGGATTCGATTTTGATGTCATCTGAAAAAGCTTTGCATAGTATGGAGCCTCCTGGGGTGTGAGATTAGATTCCCATGAGAAAGTGTTATTAGTGGTTGTCATGGTGATTAATAAATAAGAAAGAAAGAAAGAAAGAGTGAGTGAGTGAATGAGGTAAGAAAAAAAAAGAGAGTAAAGAAGGTTGCCTAGACAACGAAGGGTTTACCTAGCAACGTGCAAGCTAAAATCATGTGATAACCTCCATGGCTATAACCATAAAAGGCATTTTTTTAAGTGAAGATTTCAATTAAAGAAAAAGCAAAAAAAAAGGTGTTGTTTAATCAGCACCCCGACAGCAAGAGACAAAATGTTAGCAAAGCACAATTAAAAGACAATAGATGAATTTGTTTTTTTTTCGGTCAAAAACAATGACTATAATATATATATACATATATATATTCTTTATATCTAATGAATACATAAAAATCAATGTTTATTAAATGGGATAATTTGTTTAAAGAATCAACAGAAAAAAGAAAAAAAAAGATATCAGATAAGTTGAAATATACCTTTTTGTCAAATAAACACTCCTCTGTAATTGATTGTATAAATTACGGATCTTGGGATATTTCTAAAAGACAATAGACCGAGATAGACAAACCTAGCCAAGTCTTCAAAACTGTTCACATAAGGATATAGTACAGAGTATAGAACAGATTCTGATCAAGACTTTTTTAAGGTAGACAAAGGCATTACATGTTTTCAACAAATAAATAGCCATAGAATCCCAACTTTTTAGGTTTATTCTCTCTCTTTTGTATTCTAATACACACACACACATACACACAAGCATGTATGTATGTACGTATAAAGATGTATAAATTCTATATAGTACAATAAGAATAATTCATGTAAGAAGAAAAGAATCCGAAACCGTCTCCCCCCCCCCCTTCGATCAATGTTAAATAGTATCGTATAATAATTTTATTTATTTTTGTTACAATAGAGTCTTGTTAATAACCAAGGATCTCTTGGATCTTGAAAATCAAATCGAGACCGAGAAAAATAAGTGTTTAATATACTTGTAATCTACAATACTATTCTTTCTTTTTGTGTGTGTATATAATAAAAAAAAAATCAAAGCAGTTGAAATTAAAGTCTTTATCATGCAAGGTTCTCTTTGCAATTTATAATTACGTATCATACTAAATTCACCATTTATTTATTTGTTTATTTATTATTATGGTAGTGGTAGTGGTAGTATTTCATGTTGATTTTATTGTATGATCTAAAGGCTCACAAACAATCAATAAAGAAGCTTCTACAATAACCTTGGTCATTCTTTTAAAAAAATCAATGACAAACGGCATATTTACCTCTTATTTTATTTACATAATAATCATAGAGAGAGAGAGAAAAAAGAGAGAGAGAGAGATAAAAGTTATTCTGTGCCTCTATGGTAAATGAATGACCCATGGTTTGGTAATATGATTTATACATATTCAACAAAGAAATCGATATTTTTGTTTTTGTTTTAGCCAATAGATTACCATGGTTTCTTACTCACGCGAGGTAGCATGATAGGATCTGTCAACCGAAACAATAAAGAATAATATATATATATATATATTATATAAAAACTCTTTTATTATTACTATTAATTGATTATTTATTTATTTATTTAATTTGAAACATAATGATAATTAAAGACTAATAGCTTCTTTAAAGTCTAAATAAATATATATATAATTACACAAACAAGACAAAACAGGTTCAATGATGATATTGCTATATTGGGTTTCTTCTATCTCTCTAATACATATGGATATTTTGGGTGTACTTCCAATTAAGGTGTCTAAAACAAAAGAAGAAGAAGAAGAATTAATCCTTGGAATATATATTAGCTAGTCTGACATTTTGTATGGTCGTAAATAAATGTGGGGTACCAGTATAATTACACTAGAGCATTTATAGTCTTGAATCTAAAAAAGACTTTAAATTTATGCGTCTACCAAAAAGAAGAAGAAGAGTTGTACTATGTTATGTGTACTTGAAATAGATGCCATTTTGTTTTTTTTACCTTTAGCTTATATAATTTACATTATCAATAAAAAGAAAAGTAAAGAGAAAGTAAAGAGTGCCTCATAATTAGCTTTGTAGAACAAGAAGGCATAGATAAATAAGATAAGCTGAAACAGATACAGAATTTTAAGGCTATTTCTTTTGTTTGTTTTGTTCAGTGCTCGGTTTAATAAGCATTAAAGAGTTCCTAAATAAAGAAAAGCACAAGAGCAAACACGTATATGTATTAAAGCATAAACACAGCATTTGTCATCGTCTTGGTAACAAACTTTTCCCATACTCTAGATTAGAATTCGTTTAAATAAATAAAAGAAATTATAGAGCTGTATATGACTATGGTGTTCAAACCAGTTTCAAGAAAGAATGAAAGAAAGAAAGAAAGCTTATATCTGTTTTGGTATAATCTTTTAAATCTTATCTTTACAAACCTGTCCATTACTCGAAATTGAAACAAAGAGAACAAAAAGGTATATCTTTTATATGTCTTTTATATATATATATTCATTTATTTAAAAAATAAATTGAAATGAAATTGAAATGAAATAAAAGTAACTATTATTATGTAAAAGAAAAGAATATATATAAAAAGAGAGAGTGAAAATAATATTATTATACAAGAAAAGAATTTGTCTACCTGTAAATTGTTTATAACTAACAAATGATTATTATTTTTTTAAATAAATAAATGAAATAAAGTAGAAAGACAAATTAGTAAATGATATCTACTTTAACAGTTTGTAATCCAAATGATTAAGACACAAGTTGTGTATAGAATGACAATAAACATTCATAAAAGGTAACTGCTCCAGGCAATTTTCCTCAAATTCAACGATTTTCATTGCTTTATTGGGCTCATTTTGTCCCACGCCCCGAGAACTCAACCCACTACTATTACCATTACCATTACCATTACCATTGCCATTGCCATCGACTCTAAGTATCTTGGTATGCTTGGTATGCTTGGTATGCTTGGCTTGCTCATCATTGGTAAACGCACTAGAGACAACCCTGTAATGCCAAACAGGCTCATAATCGCCTTTACCCCACACGACCTGCGGATGGCTGATATTAAGTGATATCAATCTGTGTGTTTGTAGATCAAGTCGGATAGGGCTCGAAAAGGCTTCTGACCAGCGACATGAAATCAAATCAAGATGGGTCAAGTGCCGGCAGACCATTGAAAGGTAGCCAAAGATCTCATCCTTGAATGACACCTGCCGCAAAACAAGCGTGGTGAGTGGATGATTTGTGGGCGCACAGAACGAGGTCAGGCCGAGCGGACCATGCTCGAGCGTAAGCTCTCGGAGGCCTTGGCACTGGGTCAGAACAGCATCGATCCCCAAAATATCGTAACCCGTGCATCGTGCCGAGAGTGTCAGAGAAGTTATCTGTCGATAATACGGTCCGGTGAGCTGTTCAACAGAAGAGCACCAGTCCCACAAGGTCAGCGTTCGGAGTCTTGGCTGGCGAGTAGACGCCAGAGATTTTACCATGCTCTTTGTACGCCAGGTCATGTCACCCAAAGACAGAGATCTCAGCCGTGTCTCGGTTCGTTCGAGCATCTCAAAGAATGATCCGTCCAAGGCAATGTGGTGCAGATGGAGGTCTATGATATGCCGGCAGTGCTGAGCCAAATAGACCATTGCATTGTAACGTGCCTTGATGGTCTCCGGAGGATCGTTTAGTCGAGAGGCCATGTTGTTGCTCTCCCAGTCTTCACAATAACTTTCATTGAGTTCGAGAAACTGGACAGTTGGGTACTTGTGTGCAATATAATAGATCCATTCGTAGTGTTCATACAAATTCCAGCATCCTTGTAGTCTGAAGGTACGAAGGATCGTAGATGGTGTGTATCTTGAGGTAATCTGAGAAAGCTCTAAGTTTGATGCTTGTAGGGTAATGTCAACCAGACAAAGCGTCTCTAGTTGAGGACACGATGTGTGAATCCATTCTAGTAAATCAAATCTGAGCGTCATATGGGTGATGGATAATGAGCGTAGATGTCGAGCGTTTGGTATGACTGTAAGAAACGTTCGGATTGGATGGAGTCCGGCATGGTCTGGAAAACAGATACTGAGGTGCGTGAGTTGATTGACGGTAGATAAGACAGTATTTGAGAGTGTAGTGTCGAAACGTTCGGTGATCTGGCGTAGATATTTCCAGCTTCCGAGGTGTCTTGCTAGGTCGACTGCATCGATAGGGTGCGTTTTTGGGACTACAAGTCTATCTATACGGATAACACGCAAGAGAGGACAGACGATCGTGAGTTGCCGCAGTTCTTCGGGACTAATGGTGGTGTCTTGGATGGCCAGGCTGCGGACAAAGTAACCGACTGAATCAAGGCCGGTTGTGGAGTAGTGACATGCCAACATAGTTTCAAGAAGGGACTTGAACTGTCGGTGGCCGGTCGTAGTGATGTTGCAGTAGAGTGCGGGCATAAATATGTCATGCCATTGATGACTAACAGATAGACAAACTCGACGGTCTGTCACGGAGAGATGGGTTGCAACGAGTTCAAAGATGTCAAAGAAAAGGTGTTGATGAATTGATGTCTGCATCTTTTACTACTTTGGCAAAGTAGTATCTTTATTTCTTAATTATTATTTTTTGTAAAAAAAAAAGGGGGGGATTGGTTGTTATAAGAGGGTTATTCAGATAAATAAAAAAAGAAGAAGAGGTGGAATCCTTTTGGTCAATAGTCTCGTTAGCCAGTCCAGCCGTAGTCAACTGTAGCAATTCTTTCGTTAAAACAGAAGTTTAGGTGAACAACCTCTGATTTTCATTTTTATAACAATTATCTTTGGAGTATATGCAATTTCTTGTACAACATGAACTATTTATGGTGAAAGTGTGATCACCTCCCATTTACATTATACTTTAATAATACTGATTTTTTTTGATTTTTTTTTTGCGATTTACTCACTCACTCACTTACTGGTAATTATATATATATGTATATAAATATATAAATATAATTGTGCAACCTACTATTAAAGCAAAGCACAATAGTAACAATAAGTATAGACATGCGCAACACTTTTAGAGAAGAAATAAACAAATTGAACGTAAGAAATAGAATACAAAAAATACAAAAAAATGCGTCATTCATAAAATAGTGCGCAAAAATAAATAAATCAAAAAAAATAAAATAAAAAAAAAATACGCAGATTCAGCCCGAAAATCCAATAATAATAAACTTTTTGTTTTTTTTAGACACCCAAAAATAAAATAAAAAAGAAACTATGTGTGACCATTACACATTGTGCTTCAATAATTGTTTGGAATATGGTAACTCTTTGTAGGACAATCCAGATGTTGTACCAACTCTTCTGACAAGCACGAGACTTGTAGACGTGGCCCTTTTTCTTTTCTTTTTTTCTTTCTTTCTTTCTTTTGAAGTCAGGAATAATAGGGCAGAATACTATGTGTGGGTGTATTAATAGAAGCTTAGCAGAAAGAAATAAATAAAGAAAGAGTGGTTAAAGAAGTGAAAGTATTGAATGGATTTAGGCTGTTTGTGTGTCTGTGGACGTCTTTCATATGTCTGTAAAGAAAATCCAGGGCACCACCTAAAGAAAAAAAAAGAGAGAGAGAAAAAAGAAATGTGACTCAAATAAGGTGACTTTTTTTTTCTTCTTTTTTTTACTTTTCTCTTGTAATGATAATGATAAAAATTAAGGATCTATCCCGCAAAAAGTAAGGGCGAGGCATTCACCCTTTGTTTTCATAGGATGAATTTGTCCACGTGGATAAAACGTAAAGATTATGTTTCGACTTTACTAGCAATCCCGTGTATCTAGTCTAGACAATAAAAATAAAAATTGTTTTATTTTTGACCTTGGATTTGGATTCTATTGGTGTCTTATGAAATGACTGACACCATGCGCTTTCCAGAAAGTGAGCTGGACAATTCATTAGTAATTTGGTACCTATCTATGATACACCAATTGGTTTATTCTATACATCTTTAATTTTCTTTAAAAAGATTAATAATATAATTATTATGAAATAAGGGGATCTGGCACGATCACAGACCTTTTTTTTAAAAAAAATTAATTTATTGCCTTATTGCTTTATTGCTTTATTATGTATATTAATTATTAGTGTCCAAGTAAGTACAAGCTCATATGAAAAAAAAGAAAATAAAGTATATAAAGAAAATAATCTATGCTAGAAAGTATCTCAAACCACCACAGATTGGTTGATGTCATTATTATTATTATTATTACTATCAGGAGAAAGGGTAGATAGAGATGCCCGGATAGCTTCATACGCAGTGTCATGAAAGAAAGGATACGGTTTATCTTTTAGCAGAGTCTTGCCAACTGGTTGAATAGTACCATAGTTGGCAGAATTTTGCTGGACACTAATAATAGGCTGTGATGAGGAAGTATCGCCAGTCTTTGGAAGACTAGGCAATTCAGTATCTGATTTTCCAAATCCAGCGACCAGAAGAGTGTGTCGGATGGGCATATGTGTCAATCGAATAAAGTGAAATTCGATTGTGTGGCCACTATATCTATTCAATGTGGTCTGGATATCTACCAGGGCTTGTAGTCCACTCGAGTCCAGATGATTGACACTCCCGAAATCCAGAATAAGTGCATGGAGGCGTGGCCGGAACGACAAAGATAGATCTAAATCAGAGGTACCGGTATCGGAATCATTCCATGCCCGGCCTGCACTAGACTCATCATTGTAATCTCTTCGTCGAGTGTGTTCCTTGCAATAATCAACCACTCTGTCAACCACATAGCTAGAATTGAGATACGTAATCGACTCTTCAATACGACACAGCAGAATCCCGGGTGGCAAGGCATCAGATTGATATACCGCCTGTTCCTTGGCTAGAGATAAAGAATGGCCAAAAACAGCCGTCTGTGGCTCCAATGAAGGCACGCCACCCAACACCCAGACTCTGGGTCGTGCAATCCGGAAAAGAAGAATCATGACAGACAAAAAGACGGATGCGTAGATGCCATTCTCAACAGAGGTAAAGAAAGTGACTATTACCGAAGACAGGAAGATGACCAGCTCCCACACACTCACTGCCGAAAGTTGCTTTACATATCTTGGTTTGGAGACAAGATCCACGACAGCATGAATCACAATTGCAGACAGGATGGCATCTGGAATATAGTAAAAGGCCGGAGTCAGGATATATAGGGAAAGAAGCACGACGATTCCCGAGAATAGTCCAGCAAAGGGAGTTTGTACACCCGAACGTGCCTTGATAGCCGTCCGTGAAAATGATCCTGTGGACGGGTAAGCGCTGATTACAATTGTTAATTTTTAATAAATAATAATAATAATAATAATAATAATAATAATAATAATAATAAGTTACCCCAGAAAAGAAGCCCATATGTTTGTAAAGCCAATTGCAATGATTTCTTGGTTAGGATTTATGGAATAATCATTGATCCTCCCAAACGCCTTTCCGATCGCAATATGCTCAAGTACAAGAATCACAATTGCAGACGGAAGTGTGCCTGCAATGGATGACACCAATGTAGAGTCGATGTGTGGTGCAGCAATAGAATTAAATCCGGATGGAATGTCCTTGAGTATACTGATCGGGCTCACGGTTTTGCCGATATTGATCACGAAAGCTCCGAGCGTGCCAAAGATCACCAGTAGTCCGTTACGCATAATGCTTATGAAAAAGAACGTCTCGCTGTAGCGTGGATACTTCTTGGCTAGTCCAAGGCACATTGATCGTAAGCCATAGAGCCAGACCAAGCCCACAAGTCCAAAGACAGCATCTAGGCGTAGATCCCAGCATTTCTGAAACACATGGACTAGTAATCTAAAGGTTGGCTCCTGAGTATTGATGTTTGGGATGCCCAAGAGTTTCGGTATTTGGCCAATGGTTATTGTTAATGCAGATGCAGTCATAAAGCCCGCTATAGCCGGACCTTTTTTTTTGATTATATAAAAGATAACAATCAAATTTTTTTTTATACTTGGTTAACCACAAGTGATCGAGTCCAATGTCATATATATAAAAAAAGATTTAATAGAAGAGAAAATCACGTACCTGGTACAAGATCAACCAGTATACCAAGTCTTAGTAACCCTATGGCTAATGTTGCCATACCCGTAAATAGTGAAAGGGCCGCCGCAACATCAGGGCCGGTGATCGTAGGATTTTCGCTCACCACACGTGTAATGGTTTGACCGACAAGAAGAGACATAACAGCTAAAATTTGGAAAGATTAGATTTTATTTTGTGTGTGTGAATAGATATGATTGTCAATTAACCAATTAATTGATTAGTCTACCTGTTGGGCCAATACTAATGTCTTTTGAAGTAGCAAACAAACAGTATACGCAAAGGCCTACAAAAGCCGTGCTACATTGGCATAGGTTAGCTTATTAATCAACAGCCAAGTAATAATAAAGAAGGGGGGGGGGGAGGAAAGTATACTCTAGAACAAAATAGAAAAAATAAAATAAAATAAAATAAACTTACTAAAGTCCATACTGGGGAGGAAGACAGGCAATTTTGGCATATCCCATTCCTTGAGGAACAACTACTATTCCGACTGTGATTCCAGCAACAAGATCTTTCAGGAACCACTATAATAAATTACTTGATTAATTAATTAACTCTGGATGTCATTTTATTAAGGTGGTGGGGCTCAGACTAGAAATACCCTTGTGTTGTATCGATGTATCCATGTGGCAATGGGGAATATACCGACAAGGTAGTCGTATGTATAGTTGGGTATATTTGAGATAAATAGGCGCGTTTCTTCATGGTATGATCGTTCGTCTGAGGGATATTTCGTTGTTCTGTTCATAGCTGTGAATAAAGTAGTTAAACCACAAGTCTGTCTTGATAATAAATAAATAAAAAAGAATATATAGAAAAAAGAATCAAATCCAAAGTCTTGAACATATATTTTATATGTAAGTCCTAACCTAGCGGACATTCATCCTTTCACCCCCCCACGCCAACAGTATGTCCACACCACCACACTACCACACTACCACCACCACCACCACACCACCCCCCTTCATGCTTAGAAAGTAGGAGTAATCCCCCCCAACCACGATCCGCCCTTGAAGATACGCCATTCTATTGCGCAATCACACCTTTTGATATCTGACCCACCAAGTAGATTCTTTTGAATTTGTCATTAAAACCATCCCTGATTGGACGCAAGTCTATTACGGCTTATCGCACAAGTACCCCCCGAATAAGATACAAAATAGATAACTTATTTCTGTCTTTCCCATGAAAATATAAATAATTTTTTTTTAAAATAAATAAATAAATAAATAAGAAATGCAATTTCAAGAAGATGAACAAAGTACTTCAAGTCCTTTATCTTCTTCTTCTTCTTCTTTTCTTTTATTATCATTTCAAAAGAATTTAGATTAGATCTTTCAAGACCTCCTGGATCGGTCCCGCGATCGGTCACGTCTAGAAGACGACGACCTGCTGCTAGATGACCCATTATACCGTGATCTATCCCGACTATTTGACCGTTTACGGCTCGAACTAGAGCTTGCCCGGCTACGGTTCCGGTCAGGGCTACGACTGCGACTGCGACTGCGACTGCGACCACGACAACTACGACTATGACTATGACTATGACTATGACTATGCCCAGGACTAGGGCTACGACTAAGGCTACGACTACGACTACGACGACGGCGGCGATGAGACTCAGAACGTTCTTCTCGCTCATCTTCATATTTCCTTTTCGAGATCTTTTTGAACAAACTTGACTCCTTATATTCATACACGCTTTTTCTGCTCGGTTTCTTAGCATCCTTGTCGACTTCTTCTGGTTTTGCACCCAATCCCAATAAAGCATCTCTCTGTTTGACAGGTGTAATTGCCGGTGGTCTAAAATATCCATACAATTTATGAATATTTATATTTATATACATATAGTCACACCCTATTTGTTAATAATGACAGCACTGAAGTGAAAAGCATAAATACTTACGGTGCTGACATGCGGTTTCTTCCAATACCCTGACCTTCTTTCCATCCAAGCCCACGTAAAAGTGCAGCCCCAAATTCTTCTACTGGAATATTCTCATAATCATCCATTGTAGCCTCATCTGGTCTTGTCTTGATATCTTCTCGGAAAGCGTCTGTTTCGTTGACTGGAATTACAAGTGTCGAGGCTGGCTTTTCTTCTTCTTCACCGACCTGAGATGCTATAAGCAATTATAACATTTATTTATTTCTTCAACTTTTTTTTTTAAAAAAAATAAAGAAAATAAAATAAAAATTACCTTTGAGAATAGCCTTTAGTGCCTGTGCTTCCAATGATTCTGGCTCTTCAGGTTCATTGGGTTGTGCTGATTGATGTGGTTCTTCCGATTGGGTTTCTGTAAATGCTTGCTCTTCTAATTCTAATGCTGTTCCTTCGGATGATGATATTGTGGTCTGTTTTGCCATGATTTGTAGTCCAAATGCTGCCTCGCCTACATTGATAACTTCTGGTGCTGACACTTGTTCAAATGACTGCGCCTGCGCAGGTACGTAGATTTGTTTCTTTTTAGCTCTCCAGTCAATATTTTCTAATGGTGCAATAGCAAGTGGTGCCTTTTCTACTTTAGGTGCCAATCTAAATAGAAAGAAAGAAAAAAAAGAAAGAAAATAAATAAATAAATAATAATAAATAAATAAAACATACTCTTTGGCTTTGTTGTCTTCAAATCCAACAAGCATCTCTACTTCGTCTTCATCGTCTTGATCGTCATCGTCTCCAAAACCTAACCGACGATTACCGAAAGTTGGTGCGGCTGTCTTTTTTGTCTGCAAGGGTAATCGTGCTTTGGATGGGGATCCTACACCCATGGCAAATCCCGTTTTCTTTCCGGGTGAACCGTTAAATGACATTATGGCTATGGAAAGAAAAAAAAAGTATGCAAAATGGATATGTATATATTATAAAGATACAATAAAAATAAAAATAAAAATAAAAATAAAATAAAATAAAATGGTAATTGGTCAATCAATTGTATAAAGACTCATTTCCTTTTGTCTGTTCAACATTTTTATTTTTTTATTTTTTATTTTTCCTAGTTTGCGCTAATTCACGTGGTCGGATTTTTTGTTTTTTTTTGTTTTTTCTGATTTGACAATATATTTATATTATATATATATATGTGTGTAGGTGAGTGGGTGAGTGAGTAATTGACCACACATAAAGTCTCTTTCTATTTTCTGTTTTTGCAATTTTGGTTGGGTGGTTATGATAGATATCCATTGGCTATCTGTAGGTGACGTCTTGGGCTACTGCATTTAACATAGAACCACAGCTGTAGTACTCCTAGCAAGTCATATAAAGCAGGGTAAATCTGTAATAAAATTGCCTGTGCACATCAGGACTAGTTTTAAAAATATATATATATATATATATATAATATTAATGCAATTCTTCAAAGTACTATCCAAATACTACAAAGTAGTTGTAGAATAGTGGAACTATTTTCCGGTTCGGACCTTAGTAGTCTGTCCGTAGGAAGAGACATGTATTTTGCACAGATCCTTAAATTGTTATACCACCCATAGGAAGTAGGATAAGACTCAAGGGTCACTGACCATCTTAATAAAAGCAGTTCTTTTCCTTTTGTTTTGCTGTAAGAGAGTACCTTGAGAGATCCCTGAACGAGAACAATAAAAAAAAATAAGAGCCGCCCTTTCGTTGAGACACTTGTTGACAGTACTGAGTAAAATCCGAAATACTGCCACTTTAACGTTCCTCCGATCCCTGTGAACCATAACCGCGAACCGGCCAAAGACGACCTCTACCAGCTACATCCCCAGTGCACCTTACACCTCCCCAAACTCTTTAAAATTTCAGATCACTCGCTAGATTCCCCATTCTTGAGCCGGACTACCATATACCCATCCCTCTTGAAGTCCTTCTGACCAACCCTTTACCCAGTATTACACAGTCCTTTTCTTTTCTTTTCTTTTCTTTTTTGGTTATTGAATACAATTCTGAAACTTCTGTTATCTGTCATTCGGATTTACTGCGTCGGTACTGCCAAGACATCTTTCTTTTCTCTATTTCTCTCCCCATTTTTCATGGATATATTTTTTGAACTATCAATGTTGGCATAAACCAAATGTATTTGTTAAAGAAGACAAGAAAGAATACTATTAATATATATATATATATTAAGTATATCAGGGTTCTTATAAATTTGGATTTTTGGGACAGTTAAAGGTCTAGGATACTCTCCTTTTTAATATATTTATTCAATTGGTGTATATATATAAAGCACATCTTCTAAAGGTAAAAGTTGTCAAGACTATTAAAAGTGCTTAAAGATGTAGTTTGTATCCATTGTATCATGTGGCATAAAGCCTGTAGGTATATTTTTATATAAAAGTATATTCTTGGAGTATTATTCCCGCTTGGAAAAAAAAAAGAATAAAAAAAAAGAAGGGTAACTTGGGAGTTTTTGGTTTCCTGAGCCTCTTGGCTAACTGATTTAAATACAGTGTAGTAAGATCTATATACTGTTAAACCTTAATTAACCAACAAAAGACACACTTGTATTAGATATAAATTTTTTTTAATAGTATATATTGCCTGTTAAAGAAGAAAGGAAGTATTCTTATGTCACTTCTATTAATGGAATGGTAGGATACGTATATCTTATACACATAAGGCTTTTTTGTATTAGTCTCACACTCCAAGATCGAACAAAGTACAGTGTCACAAAGCATGCTTGAGTCAAATGAGGGAAGATATCGGAACCTAAAAAAATAATATATGGATGGGTGTGGGTGTACTAAACAGGGCGTAATACTCGAAAAATAAAAATCCCCATTCTTATACATCTCTCTTTCTTTTATATACAAACATTCTCTTGTTCCTATGGATGATGCCGCGTTTCTCAATTGGCTATTGACCAACCAGGTCGAAGAAAATATTCTTGCTGAGCACCTTGCTCCACCCTTCAACACTCCAGAACATATAGCCACGGCCTCAACACCAACAACGACAACGACAACGGATGTCTCGACTGCCGAACTTTTCCAATATTATCTAGGCGACGAGATTGAACAATACTGCTCAAACACACTCTCATCCGCATCTCCCAATACAGTAATCCAACAAACGCCATCGCCATCACCACCACAATCACAACCCATCGCACATTTCCAGGAAAACAAGCCACCGATTATCTTTGAACACACTGTTGTTGCTGATACCAGCAATACTCATCATCCTCCCTCCTTCCCCTCTCAAAAAAGTGTATCAGGTTCACCTAAACAAGGTCCATTTATAGGTCGAATGAACTTTAGAAGTTCTTCTGACGACGAAGCTGAAGTCAATAAAGCCACAAATCCAAAAGAAAGACGTCAGTTACGCAACAAAATATCAGCTCGAAAGTTTAGAGATAGACGCAAAGGTAACCATGATTTTTTAAAGAGAGAGAGAGAGAAAAAAAAAGGGGAGAAAATCGATGCTGACAAATCAATCAAATCAAATCAAAATCAACAACCACAACAACAAATATACATACACATACATATTTGGCAGACTACATTGCTTCTCTCGAAAAGGAGATCGAACAATACAAGCAAGAAACCAGAAGTTTGAAATTGGATGTAAACTGGGCAAACTCAACTATGGCCAAACTGCAGAAAGAGAACGATGAACTCCGTATGAAACTCATGCTCTACGAGAAAGGTATCATGCCAATACCAGCAATCGAAAGTACGAACAATAGTTTGTTGGACTCCTCTATTTTCCTGCCTCTCCAGCCCTCGAACCCCCTCCTTGGTTCATTCTCTTCATCTTCGTCTTCCTCGTCTTCTTCTCAGTCTCCTCCATTGATCTGGCAATCTGACGTCGACACTATGCTTTCGCATGCTCTATTCCCTACTTGGGATATGTCCCGAGTTATCGCCGACAAGCAAGCAGCGTCTGGAAACCAACCTTCCCAGGCCGGAAGTATCTTACAGCGTTATCCACTCCTTGGTCCGGCCTTGATGTCTATTGTGATCGATCATTCCTTGAACATGAACACCGAAGATATCCTGGCCATGCCCCAAGGTACTGCCGAATATCCTCCTTCACTTAAATGGACCAAGGCTTCTTCGCCCAAAGAGATCGAGTCCCTTTGGAACATGCTCCAACCTCCTCGTAGCGGGGCTGATAAAGAAGAAGATAGCAAGACAGCCGTAGATGATGAGAATGAATCTTTGCTGAGTGAGACCGAGACCGAGACCGGTGCTGAGACTGCACCAGATAATGTTGCAATTAAAAAGGAAGCCATCAAATCAGAATCAAAAGATAAAGAAGATGAAGATGAAGATGAAATTGAAGAAGATTTGGAAAGAGCAAACCTGTTTGGTTATACCCCTTACTACTACTGCCCTATTGCTTGGTTCCAGCGTAATATCACCTGGTTGATCTGTAAACGTCTTCACGAAAAGTTCCAGAGATGCAGTGCAGAGACCCGGTTCCGCTGTAACTCGAATTACAAAAGCTGTTTCCGGAAGCAAGACTAAGCAAAGACTGGAAAATAACATTATGCATATCGCTACCTCCACCACTCTCATATAACTTTCATCTAAACCTTCATTTTAACTTTCTCTTTCTCCCTCCCTACTATCCCTCTTTCCGTATTTCTTTCTTCCTTTGATTTCAAATTACTTTAAATTCGAGTATTGGGCGCATTCATCATAACTAACCAAAAACAATAAATAAATAAATAAATAAATAAATATAAATATAAATATAAATATAAATTATTATTATTTTTAAAAAAAAAAGCTTTGCCGTTAATCTTATCAAGGTTTATTTAATAACCCGATTTGATATCAATAGCCTCTTGAAATGCCTAACATTTATATAATATACCTACTATATACACTAAGAAGCTAAATCCTTTTTTTTTGTCTTTCTCTCAAGCAATAAAACCTACGTACAAAAAAAAAAGAAAAGAAATTCAAAAGAGAAAACATGAGATATTTTCTTAACATGCGACTGTTTATTAAGAACAATAGCTTAAGACTTTAAACTTTCAAATACATCCTGGCATCGATGTTGCAAACTGTCTACCACCAAATTTTATGCAAAGTTCGACACATAATCTTTACCCTTCTCGTTGTACTACATGCCTTTCAAATCACAACACCTAAAAAATCCCGAAAAATCATCTGTAATCTCGAAAACTCAAAAGCAGTGCAAATTGGACAAAAGTGTCCCATTAATTTGGTAGGTAAATGGGAAATTCCGTCCGAAAAGTCTTGATTTACGCTACCATATATATAGGAACACCTAAAGTCCTTAAAAACCTCCAGCCCAGAAACAGCTCTATACATAATCATATTATCCTTCTTTCATTTGGTTTTCTCGATCATATTTTCTTTCTTGAAGCTTTTGAAACCTTTTTTTTTTTCTAATATCTTCAAGTCCCCCACTTTCTCTCTCTTTATGATATACTTGACAGTGACCAGAATTTATGCCAGCTATATGTATATGGCACAGTCGTATTTGTAAAAAAAAAATGCCTTTTCTGATAGGAACCACTAGTGTTTTCTGATAGAGATGTGTGTTGAATGTTGGACTCGATTAATAAAAATGGTGAAAACAATGATTTTACTTTACTTTTTATTTTATTTTTTATTTTTATTTTGTAAAGGTCAAAAATGTTTTTGGCCGTGATTGGGTATATAATCCGGGTAGTTCTAATACTTACTTGATAACAGTATATTGTTTATATTATCTCTAAATTATAGTAGAAATAAATATTCTGGGTCCAGGGTTATTGAGGTATTTTGATAGAAGTGGGTTCATAATATATATATATAAAAAGGAAATATAAATATGTGGAGACCGATGGGATAAAGTGAGACTTTGGGGGGGTTTTTTTTAATAAGAAATAATGAGGAGTTGTATCTGTTAAAGATACTGTTTCTAGCTTGATGTTTTCTATCTCTTTTATATATATTTTTTCCTTGGGAAAAGTTCTTACCTCTTGTTACTGTCTTTTGAGAAAAAAAATATTTTTATGTTATATTTTCCGAAATGTGTTAAGAAAGTGTATTGGCTCTTTGATATCAACTACTCTTTGTTGATGTTGTTTCAGATCAATACTTGACTTGAGTCACATATTTTAAGTCAGTTAGTTCATAGCCTAGATTCTGCAAATGAAACATTTATAACAAGCCAAATACAAGTTAACACAATTTCTTTCTCACAGATACTTTTTTGTGTATGTGTGTGTGTGTTATTTATTGGTATAATTAGGATATAAAAGTGTGGTTCCTTTAACATACATAACACATTCAACAACTCTTCCCTACACTTGATTTAATGGGTAAGAGCAGTCAACAATTCTGTTGCTTTAAACATTAACACATTATTTCTATTCAAAATTTATTCTAGTTGAAAGATATAAAAACGTCGGGGTATTTAATAAGTGCAACTATGAGTGGACTGTATCGGAATGGTCCAAGATACCTTTGAATACGATTTCAGAAAGCCTGTTCTTTAATCTCAAGAATAATGAATGGTAGGAAAAGAGTTTATAAGCAGATTATGGCTATGATTTATTTATGTTAAAGAGAGTAAATATTTTAAAGAATAGACTACTGATAATTATATATTCAATTTATAGCAATGTCCAGGTACGATGAAGCTAACACTGATGTTTGAATGTCAGTATATAATGCTTATAAACAAGCTGAATAAAGGGACCTCAGAGCGTCCAGAGGTATGCTATCTTCAAATTAACTATATAATAGTGTGTATATGCGTATTTACATCGGTTTGTTATAATAGTCTCTTGGGATATTCGTCTTGGTAGGAAAGAAAGTTACAGAAAGTGACAAAGAAGATTCTACCGAGAAAATCAAAGTTTCTTTATCTATAATAAAGCCAGGTAAATAACCTGTAGATGACAGCAAAATTATATGCATGAATGATAGCATTTAATAATAATAAAATCATATTATAACATGTTTTTTTAGGAGCTTCGTATGAGCCTGAGTATGGCAAATATTATAATACCATATATTGAGTTTATTGTTTGTTTTTTTAACCTTAAAGATAATTTAGAAGTAAGGACTCCAAATGGACGTGTATATTATGGAACCACTACATTGAAAAAAGTGCAAACGTATGTCACTGGCGACAAACTTACTTTTTCTATCGGTGTGTCTCTTGAAGGATAATAATAATAATAATAGTAAAAGTCAAAAGTCAAAAACCTACTGTGTGAACTCTGTTTACATAAGAAAATATTTGCCGTGCTAATTAGTTTCTGTATAAAACGTTGTCAGAAATAAAAAGCGAAAAGAGTTTTCAATGAGTCCAGAAAACAAAATAGAATATAGAGAAAATGAAGTACTGTGATAACGCTCGGGTTTACCCAACAGTAAGAAATATAATAATAGATATATATATAGAAAGAAAAAGAACAAACATTCCAAGAAGTGTGTCTATACCTATCCCCAAGAGCTGTTATAAATTAAGGACGATTAGAATAAAAGTGTAAAGCAAATCATATAAAAGTAAAATTAGAATCAAGATCAATAAAATAAAGGTAGATAGAAATAGAAAATTTATCATTGCTTCTTTAAAGATTCTTACATGCGAACAATTAATACTATTTTGCTGTAAGTATCATGTGAAAAGTAATAACCATGAAATACAATGCACAAGAATGTACATTGTGCAAGGAATCGAAGGAGACTCTGTAAATAGCCCCATACTTCTTTGCAGGATATCATGGTCTGAGCAGAACCAATACAGCACACATATTTATCACTCGATATCTTCTGGTAAAAATATAACAGGAACAGCCTTAATATTGCCGAATCTCAATTCGCCATATCCATTGTAAAGCCCGTGCGTCCAGTTGTTCTCTCGCTCGTATCCACTATACGAGCTATCATCCTTAAAAGTCAAACTGGCTGTATTCGACTGAAAGCTTTGATCGTATTTAAGTATGACATCGACTTTTTCCTCTGAAAGTACTATAGTTTCTTGGCCAGCTCTCCAAACAACCGGTTCGTACTCATATGTATATAGCCAATAAATATGATGAATTGCTAATAAAGGAGATCTTAGATCAATCTCAGTTTTCTTTCTTTCGTTCTTTTCGTCTGATAATCGAGGGTCGTTTAGTTGAGGCAGAAGTATCAGGCTGACAGCATAATCTCTACCTGTTTGTTTGGATGATGTACTGTATTCAACAATGCCAATTCCCAGAGTGTTTAAGAAAGTATATGGCATACCAATTAGCAAATCTCCAGGATTTTTACATCTAAATCCTAGGACACACAAATTATCCAAAGTCATATCTCTCAATCTTTCGCACCTTAAAGAGATATAATTCAATACTTTGGCAAATGTAGTACACCGATATAGACTTAAGATCTGTAGTCCATGTTGCTGTAGTTTTAGATCCTCGGTTGTTGGACTTGGTTTAATGCGCAATGTTCTACCACTAAATCCCACTCGTTTGGGGGCCGGGCAATTGTCCAATAGATCATTTATAAGAAGATCCACATTGTTACCACTGATTTAAATCCTTGTCAAAAATGGGTAGTAAGAGGATATCCAACAGTCGGCTAGCTCTTAACTTTCCTAAAACAAGACACCACCACTTTAGCTAAATAAAGGATCACTTCACCCAACAGTTCAATTTATATTTTTAAATATTTTTTTTTGAAGATGTTTTTAGTAATCAATTTTAAATCCTTTTCAAATAATCTTTATTTAGAATACAATAAGTTGCACTGGTGGAGGTACAACCTTTAGCTAAAATTATAAATTAGAGATAAAGATGACTGTTTGGGATGCTCTTTGCAATTAGACTTTGTACCTTGGCTTATGACTTTGGTCATCTACTGTTTATGTCTTGTATTTTTACGCTCAAAATTGAACTTACAATATATTACTTGTGTGAATTTGGTTTTTACTTTATTTTCTTTTGAAAAGAGCCTATCATACGGCCTATTCTCTACCAGTCAAAATATTCTTTTTCATATTTAACAAGAGCAGTTTTAATCTTTTTAAATCTCAATTCGGCATATCCATAGTCAAGTCTGCAGTATCTTTCCATTTTGGAGATATTTTCATTACACAAGCTGGCATCTTTTACTGTTTGACTGATTCTGTTTGACCGCAAGTTTTGGTAGTATTCAAGTGGGGTATTGGATCCTTTTTCTGTAAGCTTCATAGTGTATATGTAAGCACGCCCACAATAATTCCAGATACTATATGTATGGAACCACCCAATATGGTTAATTCCTATTATAGGCCACTTTGAATCCATTTCCTTTTTTTCTGTTTCGTTCTTTTCGTCTGATAATTGAGACACAAGTGTCAGATCAATAGTATGATTTGGGCCCGTTACTTCGTCCGATGTGCCGTATTGGAGCAGGCCGATGTTCAAAGTCTTTAGGCTAGTATGTGTCATATCGAGTAGCATGCATCCTGTTTTTTCACAGATAGATCCCTCGATGAACACATTATCCAAGGTCATATATTCCAAACTTCTACACCTGAAAGAAAAGTAATTTAATAATTCAGTGGTTACAGCGCACTCGTGCAAGATTAAAATCTGCAATCCATGCTGATAATGCTGCTCCTGTTTCTGCTGCGCTGACTCCTCGGTTGTCGTTTCTGGATCAATGCTCAAATATCCAGCACCAAATTTCAGTTGTTTGAGTGCCACACATCTGTCCAATAGATTACCAAGGTTAAGAGAAGATCCGTCGCTATTGATGCAAATATTTGTCAAAACCGGATAGTAAGAGGATAATTCGAGAATCGAATTTTCGTCATTATCGCTATATATAAACCCTGTAAGCGAAAGACTTTCGAGTGTTTCAGAAAATGACCGTAAAATTCTGTCGATGTCAATCGGATACGAACGGTCTACTTCATCGCAATGTGTTCCGTCTAATTCCAAATGCTTCAGAGGGACTTTTAATGCATAAAACAATTCCCATAAAACAAAGTCGCCAAACACAAAATACTCGTCGATCGTAAAGTTGAATGTTTCCAGGTGCCGAAATGCATTTGGATTGGATTGAAAAAGAGATATCATTGCCAGCTTCTGGCCCGAGTTCATATTGTCAGTACGTACTTGTGTGGCGTTTAGCTTTAGAGAGCGCAAGTTCGGATACTTGTATCCAAAATAGTACAGCCACAAAGGATTCCATTTATTCCAATCTCTATTATAGTAAATGCTATGGCATTCGTATGCTATCGAATATATATCCAGGGTCGTGACAGCAAAAGCCGGTGTCGTATTTGGGATTGTGTCCAATATAGACGAAAAGTCGATATTGAGATATATTTCAGCGTCAATAGAAGATAGTTTTTGCAAGTTTTGGTGCATTTTGTCAAAGTCAACAACACTAAATTCCGTGTGAAACCCTTGCTCTACTCTGTGTATTTCCAATTTTTGGAGCATGCTACACGTGTTTATGAATTCAAATAGGTCTTTTGCTGACTGTTTGTCTTTAGTTGCACGCAAGTGTATCTTCAAACTTTCCAAAGACTTCCATACTGCATCTGATCTTGTTATCTCTGTATAGACATTTCTATAGTCGTTACTCCCTAGATCCAAGCGCTTCAAGTTTGGCAGATGTTTGAATAATCCAAAAAAATGTATCTCTGGTACTTCTAATGGATAACTAAAATTAGGTGTGCGTAAACTGTGAACCCATAGACAATGTAATGTGGATACATTTTGGGAAGTTTTGATCATTTCAATAAGTTCTTTCGCTCGTTGACAGGTATCAATCTGTATATTTCTCCACAGGGCCTCTTGAAACGGATATCTCCATGCCTTGCAGGTTAGGGCACAAGAACATTTGTCCGTTGTTGATAAGTTAACAGCAATCTGCGAAAGAATTTCATATGGTAGCTCTGCCATTACAATTATAATAATTATATAGAAAGAAAAGGAAAGGGAGAAAGAAATGAAACAGATGAAAATCAGTATATTGCCATATATATATATATATGACAATAAAATGAAAATCTCCAGCTAAAAGAACATAAACGTTGCGACAAACTAATGGTGCGAGTTACAATTCTGGTTACATTTGAATCATTGAGGTAACCATAAAGATGTACAAGGCGCAGCAACACCTTGTTAGTTTGGCTTTTGTAGCACATTATCATTTTTTTAAAGAAGGACAAAAACAAAAAAGAAGACAAACTAGGAGAAGTGAAAATGAATAACAGCCAACCGAAAGCTATTTTGTTTCCAAGTACGACTACAGTTGTTTTTTTTTTTTAAAAAAAATATATGAATAATGATATCACAGAACATTTGGAATGCACAAAAAGAGTTCGTTAATTTATGTTGTGACCTAGCAAGCTCAAATATTCAGTCCAATACAGAGCAGCTTTCTCACTGTATTGATGATCTGATAGCTCAAAATTAGATATTTTACTATCAAGATATTTTGCTTTGTTTTATAACTTTTATTTTCCACCGTCAATTCCTTGTTTTATTACACTCAGAATGAAATATCACAGTATATTGTTTGAGTATTTTTTTAATTTACTATTTGTTTTTGAAAATACTCTCTTATACACTATATTATCTAACTCTCTTTGCCGGTTGCTTTCAATATCAAAGGAAAATCTTCAACCTTACCAAATCTAAATTTGCTGTATCCTTTATAAAGCTCGTATTTCCAGCAGTCTTCTAGTTCCTCTTCATCATACAAGCCGTGATCATGTAAAGGTGAGTTGATACTGTTTGACTGAACGTTTTTTAAGTATTCAAGTGAAATATGGATTCTTTAAATTGAAAGTTCCATAGTGTCTGTACCGAATATCCCAGTTGACAATGAGGTATTTGCGATTGTTATTAGGTTAATATCTCAATAATGGGAAAATTAGATACTGTGAGAGTGTTATTTATTAAAGAGACAAAATAATATTGTTTATATCTGTTGTTATTAAAGTTCCTGTAATTCAAATTCCTGTTATGTAATGGTTGGTTTATACTGTATGAGTGTTTAGTGTGCGTGTGCCTGGTGTGTAACAGTTCCGGAGATAGTTAACTTGCCAGGTTCATTAGCAAGAAGGAACCAGTGTTTCGTTGTGGAATCTGTTCTTCATTCAATTGTGATGTGTATAACACAAATGGGAAGCACGAAAACAATTATTTGGGCTTGAACTGGGGGAGGTAAACCCATAGGAAGGTATGGCTAATGAGAATATAGAGAAGAGGTTCGAGAGTAAGGTTTAAGAGGAACAGAGAGGAAGAATTACTCTAATTGTTTTTGTAGTAAACGAAGCCATACGTCTGTTTTTTTTTGTAATTGAAAGATCAAGTGTAGAGTGTAAGTCATGTAATTAAGAGTACCTTTAGTCGTATTATTTGAATTTAGCTTTATATAAAATATATATACTTTGGAAAATGTAGTTCAAAAAAAAAGAAGCAGCCCCAGCTATTACATTTCTAAAAATATTTACTAAAAATATTGGATAGTTTATGATCTGCTCTATAGATTCCCATTTTTATACATATTTTTTTTCTTCTTCTTATTTAAATAAGATAGTAGCTTATAACAATAATTAGAAAAACTCGTAAAAATTATGATTACTACAAAGCTGATAACGTTCAAGGTATTTAGCTCGCTTTTTTTTTTGTTAAATTATCATTAAAAGACAAAAATCCAATAAAATCATCTTAAGAAAAGAAGAGTGTGTTTGAAAATATTATTATTTTTCAAGTGCTTCATTTTTATTGAAAGTTAAAGTGAAAGTAAAAGTGCTACTGCCGCAGATTCTCTAATAAAATCACAGAGTTTTAAGAAATTTTGTAATTTTTAAAGAAAATTAAAAGGGGGGAGTGAGAGAGTGGGGGGAAGGGTAAGTTATGCATTTATGAAATTAGAGTTAAGAGAGTCTTGGGGGGTTGGTTTTATAAAACGAATAGTGAAGGATTGATTATATGTTGAAATTATTTCTAAGAGTCTAGAAAAGCATTGGATTTTTTAATAAACGAATAGTAACGGGACGATTTTTGGGTATTGACCAATTCTGAAAATGTTAGGATATATTTAGATTCGTTAACAAAATGAATGGTGAAGGTATCTCCTTTTTTGTCTCACAAAAGCATAAAATATATATGTAAAAAAAAACTAGCCCGTCTAATTCAATTTATAAAAAAATCTAAAAAGATCTCTGAAACACTAAGGCGTTTCTGAAACAAATAGCTACCCCGTCCAACGAACCGGTTTGTAAATCACCAAAGTTTTCCTAGCAGTGGTGATATTTTTTGAAACACTTGATTACCCCTACCCAATCGTTTTATAAAAAAAATATAAGGTTTCTCTAAAACGCCACTCTTGCATGGACCGCATGACTGATATTCATCTCACTCTCCCCTTTTAATTTTATTTTCTAAAAATTATGAAATCTTCTCAAATTCTGTGATTTTGTGAGAATTTGCAACAGTAGCACTTTTCTTTTCAATAAATTGTACTGATACGCTACCCTAATATTTTAAAACAGTTGGTGTTGACAGACCAAAAGTTCAAAGAAAAGGGCAAAAAAAGGTCAATTTTTTAATCGACTCTAAATAACTAGTATTCTTCAAGTGTCATTTTGGTTGAAAAGAAGAGCATGTATTTGATGAAAACTGTGTGCTAGGGAGCAAAATCTAGAATAATTTACAATAAAAGATTCCCAGTTAATGATAGGGACGGCATTATAAGCACAATTTTGAACAATTGTTTTTTTTAAAAAAAGGTGCGGACAGTCATAAATTAGTCTGATTAACCAAATTGATCCTGAACATGTTTTATCCTTTTTTTGCCTTTCTTTAATCTTTTATTCTGTCTACTCCAACTATTTTCAAATATTAGTGTAGCGTATCAGTACAATTTATTGAAAAGAAAAGTGCTACTGTTGCAAATTCTCACAAAATCACAGAATTTGAGAAGATTTCATAATTTTTAGAAAATAAAATTAAAAGGGGAGAGTGAGATGAATATCAGTCATGCGGTCCATGCAAGAGTGGCGTTTTAGAGAAACCTTATATTTTTTTTATAAAACGATTGGGTAGGGGTAATCAAGTGTTTCAAAAAATATCACCACTGCTAGGAAAACTTTGGTGATTTACAAACCGGTTCGTTGGACGGGGTAGCTATTTGTTTCAGAAACGCCTTAGTGTTTCAGAGATCTTTTTAGATTTTTTTATAAATTGAATTAGACGGGCTAGTTTTTTTTTACATATATATTTTATGCTTTTGTGAGACAAAAAAGGAGATACCTTCACCATTCATTTTGTTAACGAATCTAAATATATCCTAACATTTTCAGAATTGGTCAATACCCAAAAATCGTCCCGTTACTATTCGTTTATTAAAAAATCCAATGCTTTTCTAGACTCTTAGAAATAATTTCAACATATAATCAATCCTTCACTATTCGTTTTATAAAACCAACCCCCCAAGACTCTCTTAACTCTAATTTCATAAATGCATAACTTACCCTTCCCCCCACTCTCTCACTCCCCCCTTTTAATTTTCTTTAAAAATTACAAAATTTCTTAAAACTCTGTGATTTTATTAGAGAATCTGCGGCAGTAGCACTTTTACTTTCACTTTAACTTTCAATAAAAATGAAGCACTTGAAAAATAATAATATTTTCAAACACACTCTTCTTTTCTTAAGATGATTTTATTTTTTAAAATTATGTATGTGATTTCCATGCTCCAACTGATAAAAATTTAAAAATTTAAAAATATATTGTTGTTAGAAATACTTTAATTATAGAAGAGTTTTTTAACGGCATTTTCCAAAAATCATTTAATTAATAAGCAAATTGAATTTAAATACTACTTCTGCAGACACCCTAATCATTTTCTAATTCTTTGTTACTAATTACATACTTGTAGGTTAAAAAAACAAGAATCAGTTTAATCTTTAGAGCAAATTTATAACCAAGATGAATAGAAAATAAATATACAGGTAAAGGGTGCTTATGGAACTCCTTATCGGAAAAGTTGTTTTTATTGAAACCATTTAAATATTGCTTTTTTTTAAAAAATAAATAAATAAATAATTTCGTAGATATACCAGAAAACTAGCTGGGAAGGAACAATGGCTCTTCCAAAATTCGGGTGAGACCGTCAAACGAACTGCGAATAAACAATTGCTGATTCAGAGTTCAATTTTCCGTGGGCTCGTTCACATCAGAAAATTCATCGCCGTTCTCATCTGAAATACCAACTGGAACTTGTAAGATTATACTGATGAAGTTTGCAGAAGACTTGTGGTTTCGTCTGTGATAGTTTTAGAATGTATCTTATTAAGACCAGCTTCCAAGAGCTACAATATATACTGCAAGTATTCCACACTCCAATGCAAGGTAGGGGGCTATCGATCTAATTGATACTGTGTAGTGTGTTTACCTGGGTAGCGAATTTCTAATTCAAGGAGAAATTGTAGAAGTCTGTACTGCTCGGCTTGGTTGGTTGACTTTGACGAAAAATGCCTCTTGTGGGCGAATTGTGCTTTAGGATTGTCACGGAGAGCGCAAAAGGTACGAACAGGGCAGAGACTAGCGGCTGCATGCTTCTAGATAATTATCGTCTTCCCTATTCTCCGTCCTTTCTGACTTTCTTTGGGTGCCAAAACATCAAAAGTGAGCGCACCAGATGTGAAGTTGACGGTGGCGGAAAACAACCGAAGTTTTGAGAAATCGGAAGGTCGTAGAAAGGTAGCCATGGCTAGAAGAAACGCTGACTTCTGTGATAGTGGGGGGGAGAGATGTACTCGTGGAGGAAACAGTTGATGCTATGTATAATAAAGTTGGTCCAATATTAACTGTGGGTTTGGTCTGTCGAAATCGAGTGTCTTTTGTATGGGAGACAAACAAAAAGAAAGTATATGTCTTCATACTACCGTATACTACTTGGTTAAATGTGTAACTTCAAAATGTCCATCCGATGATTCTTTATTGCTGCCAGACTATATACACAGGAATGGAAATACACCAG